GGATGGATGGATGGATGGATGGATGGATGGATGGATGGATGGGAGGTAGGACAGATTAACAGATGAGACACAAACCCACCTCGGTGACAAAATGCCTCGCGATAGAGACGTCCACATGATTCCGCTCGAAGAGAGAATGCATCGTCCGAATAGTGGGTAGAACGTAGCCGCAAGTGATGAGGTGGACCAGCAGTCCCACCAGCATTCGCTTGTACTCCAACTGGAAAGGGAGAAAAAAAACAACCAGTCAATCATAGTTTAATCAGCCCCGTGTCAATTGCCGAGCACATGATTGCCAATGGGATACAGAACCCCAACGTTGAAAGTAACGCTATTATTTGAAAAGACAATCATGAATACTGTTGTAGAAGTATGAAAAATAGGGGACCTCATTTAACAAAAATATTTTTGGGAACACTGAAGACTTCTTCAAAAAAGTTACTACGTTAAATCAATAACTGTGTGTGGTTAGTTCCTCAGTTTGTTCATGCGAAAATTCCAACAACACAGTTGCAATTCAAGGGGATAAGTGAACACCACCCTAACAAGAAAAGGAGATAGATAACCGATACTTATTAAAGCGATTCAGACTCCTCAAAACCTATTCCCAAGGCCGATTAAGTGTCCCTAAACATGAGCAGATAATCAAAAATCAACAAGCCTAACCCCGATTAAATCCTTTGTTTTACTATCCACAGACCACAATTTTAATTCCAACTCCTAAGAAAAAGGGTGCATGAACGTAGTTCCTGGATCGAAATAAGATCCCCACTTCATCCCCAAGCATTTAAAAGTAACTAGATCCTAAACGAATCTGCAGGAATAGGATGTTAAAGTAAAATACAGATGCCGTTTTTTTTTAGTTATCCTACCTGAATGGGATAGAAATAAGAATGGCAACTTTTCGCCACAAGCACAAAGACAACACCATGGACCGGATAAGAAAACTTGAGAGAGTATAATTCCAAGATAGAAACTAATTATGATTAACAGCTAACATAGTCAAGCAGATTTACGGACCACGATCTAACTATAATTGCAATAAAAACTTATTTGCGACCGCATTTTACCATTTCAAACTCTCATGAATCCTGAATGTGCGGTAGAAAGGACAAAAACTTTAAATGAAAGGCCGAATGGCCTAATAACTTGATCAGTAATGGATGCATCAAATCATCGGAACGGAGTTCAGTCGGGATGACTTACCAAATTGTCTCGGTAAATATGTCATAAACTTACACAAAAAGATCAGCTAGGTGTGCCAATTCACATCACTTTATCTCTCGTGGCCACAACCAATGATCCAAATCAAACTGACAAGAAAATCCATAATGCTTACTTTAGCCATACTTGCTATCACACTACCCCTCCCAGTCTTGCTTGATTCGATCCCCCTGTCAGTGACATAGAATCTTAGTCATTTCGCATAAACTGCTAGTCTCACCAGGCTACTTCTCGATCCGCGTAGTATTAAAATAGCTGTGAAAGACAACCTCACCTGACTGAGATCCTCCATGCCCTCCATAACAGACCCGAGCAGTTCAGTGACGAAGGAGAGTAACGCGGGCCGAATGAAGGGGTTAAGGGTGGCAAGCTCATTCACAACGATGCAGTAGGGCTTCATTGTCTCGAGGTTGAGCTCAAAGTCCACCCGCTTGGAGCGGAAGATGACCCAGAGGAAGCGGAATACACCAAAAGATACCGCTCGGTGGTGCAGGCACTGCAATAGGGTCGGCAAATCACGGAAGGCTCGTAAGCTCACCGCGCTGCCTGTCATGGTATTCCACTGAAGTAGAGAAGAGGATTTGTTAGTCATTAATGACTCAGTGTTATCTCGCGATCTTACAGCAGGGTATCTTTTACCAGGCGAATCCTTAGCCTCCCGTAATTTAGCCTCTACGGCATTGATACTAATGCTTTGCCCCTCTTAACCTTTGCTGCGGAAGTCCATGCCTTCCTGTTAGCTTATGACAAACTTATGTCCAGACTCGGGCTTCCGTTAATGTGCCCAGCGGTGATTCGGTCACCAGTGCTCAGTGGACGAATGACTATTACAATCAAATAAATGAAAAATGGGAAGGCTTGTGATTAGAAAAGGTAAAAGGTATTATTCGACTAACCACGGCACACAGATAATGCTGCGCAAATCCGTAAACAGGCCTGATACCGCCTTAAAGGCACTGAATGGTTTCTTAAAGCCGTGCAAAATGCTGGAATATTGACCGACTACACAAAAAGCAGCATTTTCAGGCTCAAATAACTATAGAACATTTCATAACTAAAATAATAACCCGCCTTTCCTGCAACGTTTTACACACTTAGCCTTTAAAAATATCATCAAACCCCTAAGTATTTCGATTTGCTCCCTTCAATACACACGTAAAGTAAAACTTTTCAGGTAGAAGAGGAAATTTACCAAAGCTAGGGACCGGGTATTTCAAGTTCAGCAAATACGCTGAGGGCAAAAGGGAAGGAGAGAAAGCTCACGTGTTTGCAGATGCGGCTAGCCTCCAACACCTCCCTATTGACCTCAGCGATTCGTGAGCGGTCGAGGCGGATTCGGCACTCGGTTTCAAAGTCCACCTTCTCTGCGGTCACCGAGGCGTAGGCATAGAGGTAAGCGTAGCACTCCTGCTGCTCGCTCAGCAGGCGCTCCGGACTTGCAAACAACGCGTCCGCTAGCATCACTGCAAAAGCGTGGTGGAGCACAGTGTAGCCAGCCCAGTATTTAAACCTTCGCGGCGTGGAAACTATGACCGTAGCCCTTACTACTCAACACCGTTGTTCTTTTTTCACAGGATACATTGAGCTGGTTGGTGCTACACCCCTATGGCCCGGTAACATTGGCTACAGTCCCTCCTCTCTCTTGGAGCAGTAGTGTCGTGTAGCTAACTGTTACTCCCGTTAAACAACACTGATTTCAGGCAAAAATACACGCGGATCCAACTTCCAGAGTAAACGACCTAAAGTAATGTGTTGTTCGTATGGCTGTTCTACCTTTTTGATTTTGAACCTCTTCATGCTGATGAAAAAGTGAAAACAATATAAGGAGGAATATTACTTTACCAGAGATCATTTTTTTAAAAAAAACAGTGGTTAATTCAGGATTCGGATCGAATCAAGGAGTAACTCGATTTCTGTTGAATGAAACGAAAAGTCTACCCAAGTAAAACTCATTATGCAAGAAGAGAATCGAACATCAAATGTAACCAAGCTCACTCACATAGATAGATCCACAATCACCAGAGGAACGAAAAGAGGGAAACATACTTTAATAATTTACAGCGTGGAAAATGCAGGATTAGAGTAGTAGAATTACTAACCGATGAAAAGAGGCTGCCGAATCAGGCCGACTGGAGGAGGTGCTTCGCCTCTGTATGCCAAATAAAGCTGCAAAATGCAGAGAAATTGGCCCATGGTGTGGTTCGAAAATAAATCCTACTTTAAGCATAACTATAGCATTGTGGGATCACCGGCGTTTAGCGAATTTCAGCCCTAGATAAGAAGTTTAACCTCTATTCCAACCGACTAGATAGACGCTCTCCAACACTGGGGCAAAAATGAATCTTCGAGATTAATAGCGAATTCAGTGAGGTCGAAAATATTGCAACCATAAACGTAGAACAGACTATCTGCCAATAAAAGCTTTTGGCACCCTTTCAGTTGATAAAATTTAACATGTCCTTCAACCACTTTAGAGAAGTAAAATAAAATTTCACGAATTTGACCATTATTCCACTAAGTACTTCTAAACAAATGATATTCACTTTTCATTTATAAAAAGGTTAAGAACTCACCGCGTCGAGTGGTTGGGGAAGAAGGGACTGTTCAGAGAGTATGGCGCGCATAGCAGCCACCTCAGTGGGGTAGTTTCGGGCGAAGCAGAAGTAGACGCTGTACCGACTGACATCCCGCCCACGTCGACTCGCCTCTGACTCGAGTAGCCAGGAGAGGTGCCTCGCAGCGTTGTCATTTCTCTGGCGAATCAGACATTGCAGCATTGACTGAATTATTAGGTAGGTCTGTTCACTATGACAACCCATCTCCTACAAGGAAAAGTAACAAAACGCCTCTGAGACGGCGGCTGGGGACAGTGTTAGAGGTGAATGGGGATGTGGTGTGAGGAGGATTACATTTTAGCTTTTGAGGAGTGGTTGAATTATTCGGTGCGGCATTGCAGATGATTTTAGATCGGCCAGATAAAACATCCGGACTTTGATAGTGAATGTGTTAAGCGGCACTGCACTGAAGTATGTACAAGCGATACGTAGGACTGCAGCCCTGGCAGCAGTACGAAACTCGTTGCCAAAGGGAATATGTGCCTATTGATCACTAACTAGTATCAAAAGTATTTTTCGTCGATTCTTCAATGAGAAGGGAGGCTGTTGACGTTAAAGAGGCAACGGGTGAAACCTCAGCTAGGTCATGCTAGCAAGCGATGCAGATAATAAATAGTCACCAGATTGCGGAAACAAATATACGTTTAAGTATTAATAACCTGTCATAAGACCCCAATTTCCATCGGATACAATGGTTCTGATGCGTTGAACAACTGTTTACGACTAGCCTTAAAAGTTGTTCTTGGGCAAAAGGAAAAGAAAGCAGTGCTCTCTGTCCCCAAACCAAAGTTTTTGTTAAGAGTCTTGTATAAATAGGGACTGTAACATCCGACTCAGATTAGCAATTGCTCGAAAAATAGCAACTCAGCAAAGTAAAATGTTTTAATGGAATACCAAAAGGCGAGTCCTCCAGTCTCCTGTGGCACCTGCATGGAGCCCTATTCATATTACCTGTATCTATACTCCCATCTATTCTTACGTTACTCATCAAAATGTGTGCTTTAAAACGTTCTAAGGAGAAGGTCTAGCGCACACTCATATTCTAACACATACACAGAAAATACTCCCGAACTAAAATATTAAAGGTTGCACTTTCTGGTAAACCGAAAAAAAGCAGAAGTCACGGTCTCAATATAAAAACATCACTCACATAAGGCTTAAATATCCGAAGACCCGGATCAACAAGATACAGTAGTTAAGAAGGTACTACTGTATCGCTATGGGGATACGAACTCAACGATTTCCCTGAAAAAAAACAGCTACTTTAGACACGGGACGATAGGAACTAATTTTACCTCCGAAGTAAAGAGTGCCACATAGATGATCATTCGGAAAACAAGACAAGACTTGACAACGAGTATGAACCATGACTCCAAAAAATACATGGAAAACTCGTCTTTTCATATCTCATCCGAAAAGACGACTTTATTCTTACCAAAAAGTGTCGCAGAATCTGGTAAATCCTCTTTTTATCGGGGTCTGCCTCCACATCAAGCAGACAATGATTGAACACCGTATCCTGTTGCTGTTGTTGCTGTAGTAGTTGCTGCTGTGTAGAAGACATGGAGGCAGACTTGAGAAAAGCGACGTCGTGCAAGAAGAGATCGTCATCCATCAGCTCCGTATTGGCGCTTAACAATGGGTGGAGAATGTATGCAACGCACTTGAGGAAGATCTCCAACGTGTTCCAGGCCAAGGGCACGGAGATAAGCTCACCGATGAGCTCCTCCTTCACGGCTATGCAAGGCATGGTGAGGGAGAGGAAAGGGCAGTCTTCGTTACGTGGTTGTTGGGCTAACTCGTAGATGGTTTGACGCCATCGCGCCGATTCGATTAGATGACTCAGCCACTCCATTGTGTCCTGCGAACCAAAAGGTAAAAAACCTAACGACTTTGCCCAGGGTCTACCTTGAGCTCGAGTGGTCTTAGACCTGATATAGCATTAGCCCCACAGCACCCCGAAGTTTAGCTTTAAACAGAACTTTAAAACAAGTTGGGCTTACATCAACATTTTCCTCAGTAAGGCACTTGATGGCTTTGTTTCGGTCATAATTTTGCAAGATGGTCTCCATAACAACAGACTCGATAATATTGCGCGTTGATTGCGCATCGTCGTCGGTGTAGGTAAGCCATGTGCCAATCTCAAAGAGAAATTCAATGGCGCCTTTATAGCTATCGACTAATATGTCGGCAGGATTTTCTGATTCTTTACTGGTTTCAGACGCAGCACCACTATTTCCGTGGTCCGTTTCAGTATTCTGAACTCTGTCAAATTAATCGCAATTTATTAGCTGTGATCACGATTGCATCTAACAATGCAATTTCCAAAGAAACGAATACCAAATAATACAATCAGAAGAACTAAAAGTAGGTAACCTCATTATATCTCCGTATCACAAATCACAAACTAAGCAAAGCAGTTCGGAAAAAAGAGCCAAGACCGGACACAAAAATGTGTGGTGACAAAGTGTACACGTAACTAAGAGTGGTCAATGGCAAAAAGTTAGTAAATGAACCTTGTCGGTAATAATAATACTAAAAAACAACCCATATCGAAGGGAAACACTAAAACACAAAGTAGCACCGCACAAGGATACCCAAAAAGGAAGAGAAATTCAGCTCCAACATACACTTCAATAGCCTCTGCAACAACTGAAGGGTTTTCAAGAATAGCATCTTTCCTCCGCAAAATCTTCAATGCCTCATCGCGATTCATTTTCCCCGAGGGCGGATAATACGCAGTCCACTAAAACAATTAAAATATTTGGAAATCTGGTTTGCTTTGACTTTCCTTTTATTGATATCTATTAGTAGTATGCATCATTTTAATGGCCTAACAAACAATTCCTATTTTATAAACCCTCTAACTTTTAAAAGTTAGAGTTGCAGAAATTGTGTAACCAAAATCAAAGACATTTGTTGGGAGGCCAAGATTTGCTGAAGCCATTAATTATGTGCTGGTTTTAACATACACTACGGTTTGTGCCATAGGATTTGCTCCACTTACTAATAGAAGCAGCTTCTACTTAAACCTTTCGAAATCTGCTTCCTGTAAGCTTGAAATCTTCACATAATAACCTATTCAGCACTCATTATTGCTAGCGAGTGCTGCATAAGCAACACGTATTCTTCTGAACTTATCTTGGTACACTTTTTTATGACCTTAACTCATTTTTTTTCATCTTTGCCTGTTAAGTACGCCTTCCTCCCATAGTTTGTAAAACTCGTTGTCGTGGCTAGTAAATCTACCCCTCCTATTTCATCCTATCTATGCTATATACATTCTCATGAGGTTTATTTTGCTTCCAAATCTTAGCCAGAGCCCTAGTAAGTCGAAATTTAACGGGAAAACCTACATCAGTGATGTGCTGTAGGGCGGAGGGGCTATTGGCGAGGCCCGAATGCCATGCCACGGACCAAAAGTGATTTGGCATTTCACTTAGTTGCGCATTTAATTACGTGGGCACTGTAGTCCCTACGCATTGTGCAGATTGACCATCGAGTCATGCTACCGGTCTCCCAGTCCTTCTTCACATTAGTGCTATACGCTTTTTCCAGTCTCTGCATGCTACGGCTAAGTTAGGGAAATTGCTTGCCTTTACAATCTTTTTTTTCGCTTGACCCGAATGTGGCAAGCTGCAGAGACTTTGGTGACTGCTTAGTTAAACACTACATTCAAATGTGGCTTTATGAAATCACACCCCAAAACGCCTATACAATTGGTTATTTTCCGCAGCCAACCTTTCGTTAAATTAGCAATAGCTTTATCATGCAGGAAAAACTAGGGTTTGCTTTGTTTTACCCAGACAATGGCAGTTTGGAATCTTTGGGAATTGTTTTGCTTCTTAATAAAAAAAATTTCATCCAATTTCAAAAAGTGTTGGTGTTATTTTCATATTCTGAGTCTCTCTGCACCTCCACTAACAACACAATACCATTTTGGAGGTAAAATACTTGACGGTATACTGTATGAAGGATGTATGGCATTTAAGTCACTCACATGACTAAACTCAAAGGGCTTAATATGGATTATGTCTCCACTTGACTCCCGCTGAACAGTTCACTGTCCCCTGCGCTCCATAGTAATACCTCCTAGCTGGGCAATAAGTCCCGCTTTAGTGATAACCATCACCCCAATACGGTATTCGGAGTAGGTGTTACAGGTAATATTTACTTCATAGTGGGGTCCTGCACATACTTAGCAGAGATTAAGCAGCGCATTCTCAAATGGTGCCGCTGCTTCTAGTCTGAACAGGAAGGACTGCGAGATGACAAGGCTTTCCGTCCAATAGTTTTGCATATTCAAAAAATCCACATTATTTACGGTTTCCATGAGAAAATGTCTTATGAAAAAGTGTCTGGTCAAAAGTTTCTATATTGAAGGTGGTGGCAGTGTTAGATTACTCGAAGAAGTGTCTGAACGAACCTAATCAAATGTGCGCCAACACCACTATGATGAATGTCGCGATGCTATGAAACCCTCCAAGTGTTTTAAGCATGATTAAAAAATATCAGGCACTTGTCTAAAGGAGGAGTATGGTAACTAAAACTTTTCGTTCGGTCTTTAGCTTTAAGATGTAAAATTTATCAAAAGTGCAAAGGTTACAAACTTCAATAACAACCACATTTCGCACTTATTATTACCTCTCATTGCAGAGTAAATTAGCATAATTTTCTTAACTCTCCAATGACTGAAAAATTCAGTTGCCCTACCGACTTGCTCTCCGCAAAGTTCGAGAAGAAAGGTCACTTCACGGCCTACTTGCAGCATCAGTCAGTAATGTTCCTCAAGCCTAAATTCACTTCCAGGTAGATAACGAGTAAAGCCTATAATATGGGACCTTCTCCCATATACATGATAACGATTGGAACTGTTCACATTACTATAAATTTAGATTATGGATTCATTTAATGTTACCTACACCTTATGGTAATAAACAGTTCCCGTGATAGGTCTAGGAGTGCCACCCCAATGGGGTGCTAAACAATAACTGTGCAACTCGCAGTTAACACAGTATGAACCAACTCCTAAGTAGCATGGGTTAAAAAGACCTTTACTACATTTACAACAACTGCAAATACCAAAATGATTGCCGTTACCTAGATGTAAAGTATGTGGTTTTGCTTTAGTTTCTGTTTATTGTAAAATTTTCTCGCTCCTCCGAAGAACTTACAGTAAATACGAATATGTATTTATTCATAATTAGTCATGAATGCTAAGACTTGTGTGAACAGTTTGTAGTCCAAGTGGCAATTTTACCTCCAAATTGAAAAGTCATTGGAACCTCCGTATAGCAATTCAGACGCTGATTATGTACAAAGTGGGCTGATGCACCTTTCAATCGCTCATCGGCTCCTGCTTAGTGAATGTCTGGGACGCAACATTGTTGGCACCAGCATTAAGAAGGAGATGGGCAGTGGAGAAGAGTGTCTCTGTTTTGGGAACCTCGTTACCTCCCAGCTCGTGTGATTCGCTTGACGGAGGAAAGTCATTCGTAGTAGTTTGTGCAACCGAAGCATCTGCATTTACCCTAGAGAGAAGAAGCGATCAGACAATTGTCTTTTTATCTTAAGCCTTCAAGCACCAGCGCAAAGCCTTAATTATGCTTCTAGGCGTTAACACAGAGTTTATTAATAAATATACAAAAATTATCATTTTTAATGTTTTAATTTTTCCACTCCGGTTTGGTTCCGGCAGACAATCTTCCTTCCTTAAGACACTCAAGCAAGTCCTCTACTAACTTCGCCGCTAGAAAGTGAATGGTACGGGCTCAGGCATCGTATTCCATCAGCCTGTGTTTATGAGGTAGGGTGCGTGACAAGTATCCTAACACATCTCAAATGTGGTTCCTGTGAATGTCCAACCGCTTTCACTTCATTGTTTATGGAATTAAACAGTTGTAACAGTAAGAACAAATCTTGCCTTACATCGAATCCGGCGTCCACTGAGCACTCGTATCGCCAGGTTTGGCCTTGTTGTGGAGTGAAGAGAGCGCCTGCAGACGACAGAGACTCAGGCAGCTGAGCTGCGCCTGAGCCTGGGCTTGCTGCTGGCTGCGGTATGCAAGGATCTGGTGCTGCCGCTTAATCCCCAACACGTGGGCCCGTGGGCAGCCGCTGAGACTGCGGTGGCTGGTGTAGTTCCGCGTCACGTGACCCGAGCCATCGCATCCCGGGGTAGGACATCTGTGTAAAGGCGAGTAAAAATGGTGCCATAGTTTTCTTCTCTGTCACGGTAATAACGTAGTAAGCCATTAATTTATCTATTTACCTTCTCTCCGTAAGATAACACCTACTTTATGGATGGGCGATTCTGCAGCAGTGTTTCCTGAAAGATTATATCATTTTAAAAACCTATTGCTAAACTTTTCGTCATTTCACATAAACTCTTAAGCATGTCAACTTGCAGTTAACATATGAGAAAAAAACATTGGCCACTTTTATTCTCAACTAGAATGAGCCAAATGTTTGCTAGATGAAACTTCAAGAAGGAACTGTTCAATTTAGTTGCTTAAGATGCCCAAAACCTTACCTTTATGTGCTTAATTGAGGTTTGTTTTTGCTTGAATTAATTTAACAATTACTGAGACAACCATGACTTTTGAAACCTAATTTTGGAGGATAGTTTTGATATTTGAGAGGGGGAGATATGAAAAACTTATTACTTTTTACCCTACATATTTCAAAGGTATAAATGAATAACCGGAAGGTGATAAAACTTCTCTGGCTGAAATATAGAAAACGAAATAAGGCACCGAATTTTATAACCATCCTTTTACTATACTAAAGTACTGGTGAAGGGGGAAGCTCAGGTCCCGTCAATGTGCTTCAAACGGCGTCTACTCCTTAGAATACATCATCGACTTGACTATTCATCGTTTCACTTATTCCAAGTTTTTTGTACTTTTCTGAAAGACTTTATTATTCTTGACCTTTTTAGTAATATTTTTCCTTTAAAGCTCATTCAACATTTATGGGAATTTTCGCGTCGCTTATAATTAATTCCAAAATATCTCAAAAGTCTGAAATATTTTCTTTTTTGGTTATGACTGCTTCTCTGAAAATCATCTACTTTTCCCACTTAAACATTTTAAAAATGACACTGAGTAAAAAAAGATTCAAAAAAACTAAATAATGATTGTCCAAGTAAATTACTTTTTAGGTGGTTAGTATCAAGGATGTCTGATCAAAACGGCGTAAGAAATCCGTAGTTGTACATTTGTCCGTAATTAAATTTTCATTTTTTTTTGTACAAATAAGTATCTCATTATGACTTGGCGAAGATTCACCTAGTATGGATAATTTGACAGCACAATCCTATTTGGGAGTGAGTAGCAAATAATTCCCCTTTACGGAAACTAAGTCGCTCTCCACTTGTTATATTTCAAATTTCGGGAACTGTGCGGACTTAACAAAACAAAACTTCGCGGCATCCTTCTTTTGAAATCAACATTGGCTGATTACGATGTGATTACATTGAAATTTGCGCTGAAAAACCTTTCATAAAAATGGCACAAAGGAGGCTTTTGTGCTCAGTTACTACTTGACAGCACTTTGCCATTTTAACCCGTCACCTGCTTATTTACAAATCTATTTACTCCGTGTGGCAATCACTAGATTGCTCTGCTACTGAGTAAGTTAGGAAATAGGGTCTTGTAGACTTTCTCTAGGTGATTTAAGTACTTCGAACACAAAACTGGATGGATAAGCTAAACAGAACAGAATATTATTACCACTTTTCCCCATGGACCGTTTCACACAGATTAAGGAGAAAATCCCGCAGACAAACATTTTAGTGCATAAAAGATGTGAGATCTTTTCTACTAGTGCTGTTTAGAAGAATGCTTTAATGGCTAAGCCGCTTAATTTAGGCCATTATTTGTTGCTTCTAGTGATAAGTTTAGATACACCTCTTTCAATCCTAAATTAGTTCAACTGACTGGTTTTGAGGTGCTCAGCGACATTTGCCTGACTATTTTATAGCATTGGATATTTTCTAACACTAGAATTTGCCTGCCAGACTGTATTTTTGAGACAGTGAGCGCTAATATCACCAAGTTTGGAAAGTAAATCACTAAGGCCCTTACTTTTGTTCTACATGGAAGGCCTGTACAATGGCTTTGTCCGCTTTTGGACAACCACTGATGCTACGATGCGAGGCGTAGTTGCCCGAAGCATGACTGCTACCGTCACAACCGGGCACAGGACACTGTAACAGCTTCCGTCCAGGCCGTCTAGCCGACGGAGCTTTAGCCGTTACAGGCATCTTCGACGGCCCAACTACGGAGGAGACAGAGATAGAGGGGGGAGACGAGGTAGGCGTCCGTACTGTTAAGTCTTCTGGGTACAGCTCTCCGGCTTGGTAGGAGCAGAGGCTGAAATTTTCAGACTCAGTAGATCAGCTGCTCTTTCATTCACCCAAAGGTACCCAAAAAAAGATCAATTCAATGTTCACTCGATAAAGTTATAGTTCAAATGTTAGTAAAACAATATTATTTCCTTTCGCTACCAACTCAGGTGTTTGAAATGGCTGCAGGGCCAAACCTTTTACCATAAGTTATCTAGCTTCACAAGTAGATGATTCCACAAACCGCAGACGTTGACTGTTTTGTAATTACTTCAGCTCTTCTTACCTTGCTGCCGAGGTCAAGGCATGTCTATACGAAATGATGGGAATTAAATATTGACAATATCGCATTTAGTTCTCACGTCTTTCCAAAATCTTATCATATTTCTGTGAATTCGGTTAAATACGTTCCTCTTACGTTTGCTAAACTTTGTTCATTTACTTGGTGCCAGTCTCTCCTACATTCTGTTCCAGATGACACAGGTTTATTAAGTTATCCGTGAAGACCTCGTTGTGATGATGTGAGAAAGATCTGCGTTTCTTAGGTATCGGCAGTGCATCCACTCTTGTATCCTTACGCATTCGGAGTGGCTAACAGACTAAAAATATCGCTGCTGTGGGGTTACTTCAACTGAGATCTAAAGTAAAGAGTGTGTGCAGGGGAGGTGACGCAGCGTATAACTTTCCTCCTCGAATAATGATAAATGGTTGTATTAATAAAGATGAAAACTTCATCACTATTTACAATTTAACTACCAGAAAACGTTACACTTTATTCGTGCCAATCATCAAGTTGGTGCAGCCGAGTTGTAATACCGTTGTAAAATAAAACTTCAGTACTTCCGTAAAATGCCCCTTCAAAAATTCTTATACATTATGTGATTCCGATACGAGACATGCGGATCATATGAAGCATTAAATTGAATCATTTAGCAGTGCCTACATATCTATCCTTTTCAGTGGAAACTTCTAGTCATTTATCATCGTTATCTGCTTTACTCTTTTTTGCAGTCATTTCGATCCCAAAGAAGTGGATCGCCAAAGTTCCTAGCGTCAGGGTGGCTTGATCCCTTCAACCATTCACACAAGGCTAAGCTACACATTTCATCTAAATTGGCTCTGATACATTTCAAAAGCTCATTCCAAACTTTTGTAATATTTGTATCATAAGTCTGGTTAGCGAGAGTCACAGTATGGCTCACTTATGTGCTTTTTTTCCATCACTTGATTAATGAAACCGTCTTGATTGATGGTTTTAAGCATGAAAGTCGAGTACAATGAAGTGAATATCAGTAGTGTTGATCCTAAATGTGTACATTCACTAAAGAAATGTAGTGATTGACAGCAAAAAGTGCTCAAATATAATTTACCTTACTCCTGAATCACAAAACATTTCTTGTTTACAAATTCCTTGAGGAAATCTCACTGTTAAGACCACCCACATAAAAAGTAGTCAAAGGTGGACATTAGTGTTTTTGCTTAAAGCTTTTATCTGCCACAGTTTAAAAATGAAAAATTAGATACCAAGCACACGCAAACAAGGATCTTATAAATCATTTCCTTTATTTCACTCGGTCTGTATTAATGGAATTAGGCTTTAATCAAGAAAAGCTTCATACAATTTTAATTTAAATTTTGCGCCATACAATTGATGGTAAAACTGCATTATAAGAGTAAAATCCGTTCTTTGGTCTCCTTTAAACATAAAAATTAGAAGTTACCTGACCAAACAAGAGCTATTAATTTGTGACTTTGAATGTTCATAGCATTTTAAAATGGGTTCGCACTCTTGTGATGAAATGGAACAGACGTAGGTTAAATGAAGTGAGGGGTATTTTCGTACTGAATTGAAATACCAAAGGAACTGTCACATAAAGCTCAAGTCAAGAATGGTTACCTAGAGGAGTTATTGTTTTTTTTCTCCTTTGATAGAGATAAATCAATCGGTCCTTCCTGTAAATCATTCAGCGAGCCGTGAAAGCAGGGCCTCTCCTCACCCATAGGGGCAGTAGACTTCCAATCCTCAGAAGAAGAAGGCCAAAAAAGGTCATTCTGGAGTTGCTGTTGTTTGTACCCTGACGGCGAAAAAGATAGCTTATTAGGCACTTTAAAAGCCGATCGGTAGAAGTGACCAATCGTCATCGAGGACTGCATGGGATTGACGCGTTCTCGAAGTCGTTGCAAATCTTGCTGACTACAGCAGAGGTCCGTGTCGCTGGCGGAAAGGAGGTAGTACTTTTCAGAACCCAGAATCTCCATGTTTCTTCTTGAAGAAGAAAAGCTGTTGTTCTATGCTTGATTCTTGCTTTGATATCTCATGTCTCCAGCCAATCACCGAACTCGCGTCCGTGGTCACTTTGGTGTGGGTGAGACGTAACCCAATCACAAGTGCAGATTTGCGCGCTGTAGATATGGGCATAAAAGGGGATTGGACGAAATGTCAGCATCCCGTACAATGCCCAATGTGAGATTAAGTGAAAGTAAATTGCATAAATTTGTATAAGATGTGGTCTTTGATAAATTTCATATGCACATCATTTGATTCACATTTATCGGTGCATTCTTAATGTGATTTAATGAGGGTCTTATTAGTTTTGGGTTAATTGATTGACTGATATACAAGAGGTAGCAATTTTCCTCACCACCTATCGCGTAAATTCCAGTAAAACACTTTTAAATCACATTGTATCGATGGACATCACTCGTTGCTATGTGGCTAATTCCATGCAAACTGCTTGTTCACTTTTAAAAGGGCCTCATCTTCATGTTTGATCTGTCTGTTCACTTGGGGGAAAATATTTTCTCTCACACCCGATCTGGAGCACTTTGAACTTGGCTATTATTGCTGCTTCTTTAAAAAATACTTTGTCGATAGTTTCAGGGATGTGCTTCTGATTTCGTATCGAGCCTCTAATTTTTTGGCTGTCTTCTGCATCAATGTTAATGCGTTGCTTTGCGAAGTACCAAATTCCCTGTCATTATTTTGTCAGAACAAATACAATCCAAAAATGTTAGGAATATGGGTTTAATAATTGACTTTTATGAAACAAATGGATTATAGGCCGAGTAATTTCCTATTTACAACTTCCAAAGCAATAAAGAACTGCATAACAGCGAGAACTTTAATGCAATTTTACGTAGCATAAGATTAGAAAATAGCGCTGTCCACCCAAATTTCGTGGCTTTTTAGTTCTTATCATTTTTTATTGCATGTCGATAAGGATAGTCACTTAACAACAAAGTCATCGACAAATGTTTCATGCATCCACACTGTTAGTTGACTTGAAGGAGGTAATTATTGTATGCAAACACCTAAAACTTTATGTGAATTTTCCATTGAGGTTAGTGAAAAAGGACATTAATTGTGACAATATTTACACTTCATTTTTTATAAAATGAAGTGGCTTTCGGGTCAGTAAACACAATGGGTATTCAAAAATTTACAAAAAATGCGCATTCTTTTTCTTGCTTCACTAAATTGCACTCATGTGCTGAAAGGGAAGCGTAAAGTCTGTGCGCTCTCTTCTACCATCATAATACGCAGATGTACTCTTAACTCGGTCAAAAGTTTGGAATTTGAAAGCTCGCTATCAAAGGAGCGTAAAGGACGGAATATATCATAGCATCCTAATTTTCTATGGTTCAAGTCGTGTCTGTTATAATGAAGCAAAAATTGCCCGAGCTGACCTGCATACAATATGCACGACGCAATTGAAACGTGTTTCTTTAGGACGGTACACCTCTCGATGGTACCTTATATTCCTCCACAAATATTACCAACTATCCTCACCAAGTAAACACTCTTTAGCGTTAATTCTAATAAATGAAAATCATATGTGATTACTGCATTATCTCACACCCTTCCTGCTTCCATTTAGTAATTAGTTTTCACAAAACTTTCAGCTTAGGAAAATTTCTTATTTTCTACCAAGGATATATGAAAAAATTAGCTTGGAATATGTTTTAAGGCAGCAAAGAATGCATCTTGCCTACCAATGTTGACATCCGTTTTAGTGAGCCTTTATATTACTTCTTGATCACAGCAGTTCAACCGCAGTTACTGGGTTGCGCGCGGTGCAATTTACCACAATTTCTTTCATTTCTACGGACTACGTGAGTAAGTTATGTGTCTCAAAGTTGGATGAATATAAATTTCACTGATGCCATAATTTATTAAACCTCCGTATGATACTTATACAGCCAGAAAAAATCTTTTAAAGTTGCATATTTAGTCCCCCTCTTACTGATTTAAATTATTTCGAAGCACGTAGATTCTGCTTATTCTGTGAATTTGCGCTGAAGTATTACGTGATTAAAAAGTTGGAGGAGGTGATACACCTTTTGAGAAGTCACACATTTTTCATGAATGAGACACTTCAAAGCTCTTTAAATGATTCGCATAGCAACTTTGAAAACGGTAACTTGAAAAGCAAAGTTACAACAACAAAGTTCTTGAGAGCTGACGGACTGAAGAAAAATGAAAGGCAGAAATGAGAAGATTAGGATACGAATATGTAAACGAAAGCGTCAACGGTCGAAACAAGGGAAGATAGTTAAATACCAGTTTATATGGAGAATAAAAGGATGATGATTCGACGACATCCACTGCTAAAGGTAGCGTGATGCCACTTTACTGAATAGAAACAAAAAAATGCTGAGGTTTCCTTTGTATGTTTAGGTACGACCTGATAGCGCTTATCTCCGCCTTTGTGCTTGTGCCCACAGGTGTGAAAAGCGTTTTCTCCTCTTTCCACCCCAAACACAAACTGCGTGTGAACTTTGGACCAGTTGGGTAATAAAAATTGTGGAGAACAAACAACGCCACTCCGCGGCCACCCACAGGATCAAATGTGGGCGGGGATGGACGAGAACTAGGGGTAATTAACCCGGATTCGGCTTTTACTCGGCCATTTCAAAGGCTTCCAGGAGACCAATTTCGTCAGCATTAGCTAGTAAAACCAGCCCCATTCGGTCCGCTAAGTGGGGGCCCTGTGTCTGAAACTACGGTTTCATCCTCACTGACTTATGCCACCGATGTTCGCGCAAACTTTATGCCACAGGTGACTGAGCAGAAATGTGACATATTTCGTGTTTTCATTTTGACCTTCTCTGTCACTACGGTGTGGCATGAAGTAGTATGAGTCTGATGGATATTGACTGAAACGGAGAAATTTAAAGACGCATCATCAAAGCCTTCCTTCTCATTATTTTGATTTTTAGTCGTAATACCTTATTGCAGATAATATGTTTAAAAAACATGACCCTCACATCAAATAACCTTGATTAAGCCTAAAGGGTGTAGTTTGGACTTCTTTGCGTTAGTCATTTAAACAGAGCTTAGAAGATGCGGAAGCTTCTCGCAGCATTTTCAATACTGCATTTGGGACGGATGATGTATGTGGAAGCTAACCGTCCTGTCCAATTTAAACTTCTCTAACCAATTTAACGATGGTGATTATTCTCTCAAAGATAGACGCATTGCATCCAGATAATCCTCTGTTTTCAATACTAACGGCAACTACACGTCCATTCAAGATTAACTTCAAATGGATTCTGAGTTGCTTTTACGATGAGTGACATAGCGATTCGCCTATGAAAAAATCAACTTGGACGGTCATAGAAGTTGCCAAGCAGATGGGTCTCATCCATTAACAAATGACAGTAAAATCAAAAAACTATTAATTTATACCTTATCCACCTCAAGTCCATTTGGCATTTATCGCCCATCGCAATTTTTACGCAGAGGATCTCGTATTGAGAAATTAGTTTTGTCTCTGGTAAGCCCCACTTTGTGTAGGATTCACAGTAGATGGATTTGCTTAATATGAATTCCTTGACATTGGTCTAAAGTCACAGCTGCACATCCTTAAGTTGAAGAAGGAAAGATTCTTTGTAAGAAGCAGACAAGACCAGTTAATCCAACAAGTGATATCATGACCAAATTAAATGGATTTTGCCCTCACATTAGCCTTATAGTGCCACAATCCCCTCAACTCTACATTTACCTACGCGAATTCTCTTGGTTTTCAACCGCCCTGCTGCACACCTACTTTCACAAGCACTCGTCACGTTCACGGGTAAACTGTCAATCCGGTCTACTGGCGCATCATTCAAGTGTATTTGCATTAGGCTAAACAGCACATCCCAATAACTTCTTGAGAGGGAGAACGTCTTATCCACAAGTTATCATGGAAGTGGCAGCATTAGCATAAATTGGTCTACCATACTCATTTACGGGCATTCGGATTTGTCTGCGAATTCCCCAGGCACATTCTTTTGGCATTATCATGCAAAATTTCCATCACAGAATTTCTTTACGTAGTAACGTAGTAACCTTCTAAAACTTGTGAAGTGTCTGGTTGTGAAAAGTAAGCGATGCTTTTGCTTTTATCCTGCTTCGCCTTGTTTTTTAAGCTATTTCTTCAAATGTTTAATATATGCAATTATTTCTGACCATTAGTGGTTGACAGAGTACCAAGCTGCCAACTGCAAAACATTCCGGGATGAAAGTACTTGAAAAACCACAGAATGCCTTCCCATTTGATATAATATCATCACGCAGTTGGTTTACCTACCGCTACGTCAAACTTGCTTTTATTTGCATATGGCTTGGTTTTAAAACTGGAGAGTTGTTAACTGTAATCTACGTCTGCAAATGGCAAGGGTACGGTTCACTAGTTGGTAGGAGGGTGAGAAAAGAAGGGAAAATGACTTACGAAATTTAGGACCAGTCAATCACTCGGGTGAAATGCCCATTCTTATTCCTCCATGACAGCAAAGGATAGCAATGCATGACCTCATGCATACCGCCGCAAACTTTGCAAGAAATTTATAATTCGACTGAAATGGAAAAGAGGTACTTCCTCATCCTCATCCTCCGCATTTCCTCCAAGTGATGTTTACGACAAATTTTCCCTACGCTAGCAATCTTTTGTTAAATGGGGAATTTGATAGGTTAACAGGTTGGCACTCGTTTTGTTTAACAAAATATTTAATAAAATACTAAATGGGTGTCATTTTAGTGTCTGTAGTTTCTATAATATTTATTTTAATTCGTGCCATAATTGCGTTCATTCTTGGCAACTGACTTTTTTTAAGTACTACCTTCATGCATAATGGTAGATTTGGTTTCCTGAAAGGCAGTTTGGTGCACCGAGATGGGCAGAAAATCGTAGGGAGCAGCACAAGTGAGAGGACAGATAGTCAAACGTGAAAGTTTCCAGCAAGAGGACTAATTGCAGAACGACTGCACTGAAACTAGTCCACATGTGGCGAAAGCGGATAAAGCGGAGGATGATGATAACTTTTCCCTTAAAAGGCAGTTTTGTTTGCGTGATTGTGTGTATTTTGTTCGTTAAACCAGATGGTCAGATGGTGATTTACTAATCCCAAGGTAGTGGCGCCAGCTAAAAAATTTTTCCCTAATTTTTCTAGTGTTGACTTCGCACTGCTAGTTAGCCAATCTCACATCTTTATGCCCTATGAAACTTTTTAATCAACTCTGCAACACAATAGGCTTAACCAACAAGTTCTCAGACAACTAATAGACGAGGCAAATTACTCTTCCTGGAGCGCCTTCCCATGGTCACTGTAAAGTAGCTAGATTGGGATATTTCGAAGCCCCCCAATTATATCCTCTATCACTTTACCTATTCGTAGATGAATTTGGAAATTTGTCCTAAAAATCGAATTTTTTAAGCTTATTTTCGGAAAAAAATCTTAACAAGATTAAAAAGGGGAATTGGTAGGATTTTTGGCCCCCTTCTCTACACTCGAGTGCTTCTGTACGTCAAACGCCACTCGAATAGGCTCAAACAGGTAAACATTCCGCAAGAGTCCAAAGCACCCTGCCAGTGGAACTACATCCTGTAGTAAAGATTGCGAAGGACCACAAAGTAAAACAGACAGACCTATTAAAAATCTCCTTACAATACCAACATAGCGGAGAGTTCTCCCAATTCCCTTGTCCATATGATGATAGCCTTGATTTAGGTACTGTAGGGTCCTGCTCGAGACATTAGCACTGCAAAAATGTTACGAACTTCTACTTGTAAAAGCTGCAAATTATAGGACCACAATACAAATTTGGCGTTGTTTTTTTTTTGTTCATTTCTCCAAAACTACCCTTTCCTTAAGTTGACATCGGATTTGTTTCGAGAAGTTTACAATATGAAAGCCACATAATTCCGTGCTGTGGATCTTTTTTAATCGTTTGCATTCCCATCGAGAAATAGATTCATGCACAGGCATACAGAGGGACTGACTGTCAGTTCGCTGCATTCTACCCCATTTTCTTATTAGACTAATTTAACTATTAGTTGTACTTGTAATTTTGACTGTTTGAGTCACTTGGAAAACTTTTGAGCAAATATTATGTGACTTTAAGTCAATGTAGTTGAAATGTCTGATTTTAAAACAAAATCCTTGGCTCTCTGGCATTAACTCACGTATCGACTTTGTGATCTTGTCCAAATGGCTTGACTGTTTTAGAGTTTCTCTCATGAAAAGGTAAATATGCCTGCAACGGCTTCATAAAATCTCATTATGCACTCTTGCAATCTACTTTGATCATACTTGGTGACCTCGGCTAAGATAAGTGATCAAAGCTACTGACGCAAATTAGAGTTGATGAGGCGTAAGTGTCGCGTCTAAAGTTCGTCAGACTATTCCTGGCATGATAAAAAGCATCACTTTAACATGGAACTCTACCCTGATAGGAGAGTTGGCTTGAGATGAGGCTCCCTAGGTTTTCCACTGAGCCGTGCAATTGCTTCAGTATGCAAAATCAAGACAACACCAATTTTATGTAAACCTGCTATACATTTACATCCACCATATAAAGAAAATAATATCTGCCCTGCTAATACTTGTGCTTGTAGGAGTAAAAAGTCGTTAGCTATTCTGAATGCTTGATCAAGGCATTGCTTCTATTTAGCCCATCATTTATCACTTTACTTATCTACTGCTTAACGGAAGTTGGTGTTATACGTAATGCGAAATCGTCTTGGTTAATCAAAGACTACCCAAAGATAAATTGTAGCTATCTAAGTCTTTCCTGAAGATGAAGGAACTCAAAATACTAGGACAGAAATTACAGTGTCGATGAATAGAAGGGGTGAGGGGCCACTGGCATGGAGCAAAACCAAAGTGAATCGTTAAACAAATGATCAAATTATTATAGTCTGCGAGTATTTGCATTGCCTTATCACATAGGCGTGTTCTAAAGACGTTTTATGTTTGGCAAGTCACACCTCACTTCAAGACACAGGCAGCCTGTGTGCCTGTCAGATATGAAAACTTTGTAGTTCACAAAGAGTTGGTGTTATGTATGTAGAGTTTTTATTACCAAAAAAACCAATAGTGGAACCCGGTTTAATTGGGATTTGCCCAGGAATACCACATATTTCAAAGTTTTTACAGATAGATTATCAACTGTGATTGAGGAAATGAAAGATTTTCCATGTAATGCCTCACAAGTATATTGCAAGTTAAACAACCTAGTGTATTCTCCTAATACGAGGACCAGTTGATCGCTGTTTTCTAGAACTAAAAGTGTCACTAGCTTTGTTATTTTGATGAAGTGATGCAGGTAGAAGTTTTGAAGCTTATAACACCGATGTTTTATGCGCTTGTAAAGTGCACAAGATGATTCCACCTTCTTCTGTCTTCTATGTTGTTCCTGTTATATGATTTCATAACTACAAACTTAGATACAATTCCGTGCGGCCTGCTCCCACATACGGAAATATTCCACTTCAGTTTTCATCAAAGTGTACGGAACAATTTCTGTTAAAATGTCCACTTTTTATAAGATGATAATTTTCCGTTCCATAATGAAGACGTCAAAATGCATAAAAGAGGTGGGTTTCTCACCAAAGTCAGCTCTAAGCCTCCATTGGCTAACAAGAGTGGGACTAGTGAGTGCGGTCACATTCTTGTAAGTTTGGCCATGAATACGTGTAAGAGCATAACAAGGCGGAGCAGCTAAAGGCCTTCTTCTAGGCGGGAGACGAATTGAAGTTGGTGCATCGCAACATCTGAAAGTTCATTTCCCCAATTTTAAACAAAAATATAAGCTTACTTTTTAACCTACATTGTTTACAATTTATTGAGAAATGAACTTGTTGACTGGGACGCCATTTTTCTAATTTTTTTGACATAGTCCTTAACAACTCATTTATCGCACTCACAGATTCGCCTAAATAAGTTTGCTCCTTTTCTGTTGTAAAAGTAAATAGAAAAAGTGTAAGTCAACTTAGTCGGCGGTTGAAAGACAAGCAAGGACAATAAGTCACCCAGTAGTAGGCAACCCCTGGTCGGGCAACTTCACGGCCACTCGCAATAAATCAGCTCTACAATGTGGCAGTTTTTGCCTCCTGGGTAGGTTAAACGATGCATTGTCTCGTCACATCTGGTTTCTTCATCTCCAGGTGTGTTTTTTTTCCTCCTCCTCACCTATCAATATATTGCTTTTGAGTTTACCAGATACCTGTTGTGAGAGGACACGATCATCAGCACGCTTTCATTCTTCCATGTATTGAAGGTCTAATCTTTCAAAAATATGGTGGAATTAAAAAATTAATGGTGGGATCAAAGTTTGACTACAAAAATGAAATTTTTGCTACCTTTAGGGCACTTGTCATTCCGGACACCTTTGATCATGTTGGTTTGCTGTACTTAGGAGTGCGCAAGAGAAGATAGGAATTACCGGTGAGATGAAATAAAGAATTATGTATTTTATCAATGGCTAATGCACATACTTCAATAATTTATATTTGTAGAACTTCTGATGCCTTATATATTCCAAAAAAGTATTAACTTAAATGCAACCACTTTTAAGTTTTCAGTTCTCTACGAATTGTATCAAAGATATTTGCTGTCTTGAACTCTTATTTACTCCCAAAGAATATAAGTCATTGCAAAGCTCAAAATTTTTCTGACTTTGAACGTTCGATAAACTGAATAAATTTGCAAAAATTGGGATAATATGGAGAGTTACAAAGTATTTCAGAATGGCAGGGTTTAGTGCAAAACATCTGCATTGAAGCGAAGACAAGTGCTAACAAATCTGAAGATGAAGAAAAAGCTGAACGTCTTAACTTCACCAAAATGGGAAATCTTCTTAGTTTACCTCTAATTCTGACAATATCCAATTCGTTACTTTTGACGAAACGTCAAAACCAATTATTTAGAAAGCATAAATAAAAATATCATTTTCGGTAACTCAAAATGTGGGTTAGTGGTGCAACCTTTAAAATAAGAAGCCAAAACTCAAACTTTCAATTATCTTCCACTCAACATTAGCTGATCTTTAAAGGTAAATATCTGGATTTTTGTTTCTAATTTGGAGCATCAGCATGCCTACGTACTTTTCTACTCCAGAATCTCTTCCTAAAAGCTCCGTCAGTATGAGAACTTAACTTTGTTTTGGGGTCAAGGAGTTTTATTAGAGCAAAATCGTAGTGATTTATCAAGTACTTAAAGAATGCTTTAATTAAGAATGAACATCAGAGACTGCTTACAGTTAACAGACGGATCACCAGCTAAGTCGACTGGTCTGAAACTGCACTCGCTGCCCTTTTACTGTATTCTTTTTATATTTCTTTTAGGCCTTTTAAACGCATTTTAACAATGCATCCATAAATTTGAAAACATTCAAATAAAACTTGCTTTTTATCAATATTTGGACTTTTTCTAACAGTAAAGGTCATTAAAACTTATGTAGTTATGAAGAAAAAAATAAATTACGATTAGTAACTATAGCTACCATTTAAAGTTTGCACCTACTTTGGAGATTGAACTTGCGGAGTGACAAGCTCTCATAAAAGAGGTGCTAACGCTTTATTTACAGTTAGAGAAGCGTTTATTGAGTAAAATATAAAGATAGCAGTATCGGAAGCATAATTATTTTTGAAGAGTGTATCTTAGCGGATTTAAAAATAAACATGTATTTTGATGTACGCTTTGAAGACTGCATAAAGTTTTAATCTGATACAGAAAGACAAAGCTTAGTGCCTTAACTTTGCCAAAACAGGAAGTGGGAAAAATATGTTATATGCTCCCTCAGTGGGGTAAAGGCTCGATAACATTCAAAAGCTTTTCCACCGCCATATAATGTTTATTTGGTCAGTTAGAAATGAAATGTCTAAGCTACCTTACCTCCAAGTATCATAGGGCAAAATGTCAGTAGCGCCACCATTTGACAGATTTGTTTTAATGAGAAATGAAGAGTTTGATTGAATTTCCCAAAAAGCAAATAGATTGGAAGTCCGCAGATCACTCCTTTTGCCATGACTATCATTAAGTCCGGCTTGCTATCCTATTTAGACGTTTAGTTACTTAACATTGTGCCAATTGGAAATCTCACAGCCTGATGATTATTTATTTCTTTCCACCAAAACTAACTGCATTTGGTATTACCTTCCAAAGTATTAATCGTTCTATTTGAAATTAAGGGTTGAGCCCAGAAGGAACTTTTAAAAAGGCTTCAAGAGGTTTCATTGATTTACTCTAAGCATATTTTAATCGGACTAGTTTACTGCCCTTAAGAGAGGGAAGAAAGGAAATGCGGGAATAGAAGCTTGAAATCTTTGTCATTCCAGTCCCACTAACACAAGTGAATAAAACGCGATTTTTGCAAAAAGGCAGCTAGGGCAACCTATGGTTCTACGCTTTTAAATGCAAATATCCTTAAAACTGAAGATGTAGATGTTAAATAGTTATATTTCACAATTTGTTGATTAACTGCGTAATCATCACCTCCACCGAAAAGTCATCAGTCACATCTGCAATGTTCCATGAGCATAGCATAACCTAAAATGAACAAGATTGGTACTGTCTGCACCACTCAAAATGATAAATCACCAGAGCAATCTTAAGGAATTTACTGATTAAGTGAAGTCAACGAAAATCTCACAACAAGTGCAAACGAGCAAAAACAATACGATCACTAACCTTGTTGTGTACTATAAAAGACGGTTAGTTGCATAACAATTCCAACTCTTTTCAAATAACCATCTGCGTCGAACTGCCGAAATCAAATGTATCAAAAACAAAAAGATTTTTAGCACGACGAAAAAAGTTATGTAGGGCGCCTTTATGCGAATATAATGCGCACCTGATGTAAGCATTGTTTGCAAACCTTTTGATGGTTTTTTGAGACCTCAGTGACTCCAGTCCTCCAGTGTTGTCGGTGAGGGATTAAGTACAGATGCTTGAACTGCCTTTAGAGAATTTGCTTATTTTAGTTATCTCCTAGTAGCAGTGCTTATTTACAGGAGTTGCCGGAAGATAAAATCGTACGATCCCTGTTTACTATTAAAGGTGCATACTTTTTTGTAATAGCTACTAAATGAAGCAGAACACGGCCTTATTCCATGGCAATACGCATGCTAAATCATGGGCTTATTTACACCAATTTGAGAATAGATGCTTTTATGAGTTTTGTTTCACTTCCTAGCCCATTTTACGATAAAGACTTACTAAATTTTGGTCCAGCAACCATCAAACACCTTGAAATAGAAGTTGTTGGAGGTGGATTGGCAACCTGACCGGGTTTATGAGGTCAGCTTCAATTGAACAGATGCATATGCGATTTATCAATCATCTATCTGCCTGACCCCTCTTCTCTCACTCGGACACTGTTGGTGTGTGTGATAAAACCCGTCGACTGCCATTTTAGAAGCGGTGGCCTCATCCATAAGCATAAATATCCAAGCTGCAGCGTCGTGTCCTAATAAAAATTGATAATAAAATCCTTCTCGCCCCTGACGCACTTATGCCACAGTTCGCCTAACTGGCAAATAAACCGGACGAAGGCGTCCAAATGGAGTGGTGGCGGTGGTGGTGAAGCAAGTTCAGCCTAATAAGTTGCTACGTATACTAGGGAGAAGGAGATGCAGTGGAGTGCTCTTCATATTGCCAAAAGCCGTCAGTTTCAGCTTCCCCAACTCTAAATGGGGCTGAAGACTTCGCAAAGCAGCATATTCTTATTAATGCAGTTGAAGGGAATCAAAAAGAAAGTGGAAGGCAATAGTTCTTACATCTCCTATATCATATGGTCTATGAACTTTTTGACCGTGATGGTAGGATATTATCCTTCTGAGTTGGTTTTGAGTACTATTACTGCTGATTTTGCTATACCTTCACAAAAAAATAGAGAAGCTGACAATTTTAATTAACTCCATGAGTTTTGTGATGCAATTTAATTTGAAATAAATCCGCAAGATTAGAGACTACATTGGTGCCAGCAGAAATTATTGTTAGGTCTACTTATTTCTTCTGAATCCTATTCAGTAAGCATCAACGTTGGTAGAAGTGGTTAGAAGCACTGCTTGAGTCCAAATACTCGCCGGAAAAGGTTATGTTGTTTGTTGATTAACACAGTTGACAGATAAAATTATTGAGCTGAATGGATGGTTAATTAAAAAGCATAAACCGCCACCAATCCCTTTAAGAGAGGCAAGCCTACGCCTGATATCCTGACACTAGCATTAGTGTCACAGTTCAAAATACGTGGGTTGAGTCGAAAAACTCCATAATCCAAACTTTTTAGATTACTTTTAACTGTCTTTAAGTATTTGTTTCACCTTAAAAGATGTTATATTCGGACTTTACGAATATTATTATTCTTGTAAAACTGCCAACCCTAGCACTTGGGGCTCAGTTACTTTGGCCACATTGTAAACGTTATTTGTCTCTTAAACTCGCGGTTTTTGGTGAAGGGTCTCTTAGGGGCTCCGGACTATGCCAGTAGCCGCAAGCCCTATTTTGCATTGGCAATGTATGTTCTCCTAGAATATTGTCTCTTCATCTCCATAAAAGACTCTGGGCTCCACAATACCGAAAAAGTAGGGCTTGTGCATAGCTACCGGAATTATGTGATAATTGCGCAACTAAAGTCATCTAGTGACTAAGCCAACTGTGACAAATATACTAGTCACAATTATGTAGAAAGACATGAACTGCATTAACGGGAGGTTTCCTTTCACCATGTTCTTGTTTTCAGACAAAATATTCGTCGAGTTTTGGGATATAGTTTATGACGTGAACTACAACCTACACAGTTGCGATATGGTGCAGGCAAGGAGAGATTGACTTCCCCCACCCCTTCCCTCGTGCCCTTCCATATGAGGGAGGGATGGGGATGTTATGGTGACCCAAACAGCAACCATCATTCTGTTCACAAATTGATTAATCGCAAGACGAGAAGACGTGCTTGTGACATCGTTTTTCGAGCACCTGCAATTGGGACTTTTGACTACCGTGGAACCACAGGATTGGGAGCCCTGTGGCAGTAGCAGCAGCAGGTGGTATTAGCAAATGAAATTCTCCATAGTGAACGTATTCACGGACACATCGCAGTCTGCTAAATGTCCCTTCCATGTCCGCTGCAACAAACCACCTTGCTGACAGGATGTTTCAGCTCCACTATCCAATTTTAATGAACTGGAATCCCGGGGGCTTAATAAAAACTTACCTTCCTAGCGCATTTGACCCCAAGTTTCAATTAAAATGCTCATTTAGAGATATTGGGGTTCATTAATTAGCTTTTAGGAAAATTGTTTGACCTACTCGAAGTGTTGCTAACTGCGATATCTTAGTCGTCAATTTCCCCTGGGTGCTGTTGGTAGTTTCTGGTCCACTTTGTAGAAAACTGGCCGAATATGCTCATTACTGGTCAAAAGGAACATATATTTAACTGTCCGATCTTTTAACACAATTACAAACAGAGATTAGGTTTCCACCCTTGCATTTTGCAGACATTTATCCTTCAGTAATATAACTGAAAGTAGAATAATAGAGAAACTAAAATGGTTTGTCCAAACCGAAGCTAACCTCAGTCGATAAAATGATGTGCTCCAGTACAGCTTATTCATTCCGTAGAGCGATAGACACTTAAGTGTAGAATGACAAATTAGCCATAAACTCATTGTTACTTCCATAATAGTTGTTAATACATCCTAATTGTTAGCTGACTGGTTTGCTTATGGCAGAAACCAAGGATACAAATACTTTGTACTGTAATTTTGGCCCCATTGCTGAAGAAATGTGGACCTTGGTTGTTGTATACGTGAGGTCCGAATGAAAAACACAAGTTTTGGTTCCTTATTTTAATTTAAAATTCCATTTTATGACACTTTGGTACCCTCACTGCCAGAATCTCAGAGCAAAATGGACCACCACAATGTGGCACAAACGCATTTGAAAACATTTCACGTTTGCCATACGATTCGACGTGGACAAATGGATGAAGATTTTATAAAAGGCATGTTACATATGTGTGACGCCAGATAAGAAAACCAGAAAGTTAGAAACATGTTCAGCTTGTTAGTTTTCCTGCTGATTTAAAAGTAGTCACACATCGGAATAATGCACGGTAATTTTTTATTCACAAACGGGTAGATGCTCTTGGTCCGCTATCAAGCATGGAAAGTGCGCAGGTGAGAGGAGAAACTTGACTCCATTTGCAGCGAAGGAACCGCAAAAAGTCGCTATTTGGAGGAGCACATTAGGAGTGGAATTTCAAACTTGAGTTGAAATTTTTCTCACACACAACGAGGAGAGAGAGAGAGAGAAGAGGACACACCGACCCAGTTTGGTGGCCAATTAAAATGGCTCTGCAAAATCAGATTCATTTGAATACGCACATCAAGACGCTTAAAGAAGTTTGTTTAAAATAATGTTTCCTCTAAATTAAAGAAAATTAATTTTATTCTGCACAAAATTGTGACTTGATAATGTGTAGGCTAGTCATGATAATTAAGAACTCTTTATACTTTTTTGGCTGAGAAGTTTACGAGCAGGCGAAGCATTTCATCCGTCAAGCTGTTGTCATCAACACCGTAAGGCACACGAATAGAAAGCTTTGTTGATAGATTTGCCTTTTGGAAAAAGACGACGTGCACCACATCTAGACGGCTATACAACACACGTACAACCACAAACGGATTTGAAAGGGTTCTGGTCAAACTTGTTTGAAATTCACTTACTGCCCAGATGATTTTTTTAACAGCCTTGAAATCAAAACGGAATGCTCGGGTCTTTGCGTTAGTGCCTCAGCTAGAATGAATAAAACCAAATGGGGCTTTGAAGAAGATTTTATAAACTTCAGGGTCTTCCAAAAATCTTAAATGGCTAAATAATACTAACAAAATAATAAATCCTTTGGCTTGGGTGAAATAACTCTTTATTTGTAGTTCGTGGCATTGGGCTTTTAGCGGAGGTCGATTGGGCTCCGACCAGCAATGCATCTTCCAGAATTTCTTCCTACTGTATTGAAAAGCCAATGCTCTTGAGAGATTCGCAACCGAACACTCCTTGATGCGCTTTGCAGCTCTAAAGAGAGGAGTTATTTCAGTTCTAAAAGAGCATTATGATTTTTTAGAGCAGTTGTTGAGGCTAATCCTTCCAGCACTGGCGCAAAACATTCATAGTAAGCACTTCTGATGAAGGACCATCACGACGGTGCTTACTAATTTTTTTTTATTTCGTCATCACTACTTGGCAAAAATTTTAAAAATCCTTACAGTGAATTTCTTTTAATCAAAATGTTATACTGACAAGCTGGAATGGTTCAGCATCCAACCTTTATATGCCATTAAATAAAGTCTTTCGTGTGCGACAGATTTAGAGAGCATTATCAAAAAATTTCTTATAGTGATGCAAAAACAACGTCTAAAAGATCAATAGTTAAACCGAATAATTTGCCATCAAGTTATTTGTATTCCTCTTCTTTGTGACGAAATATTAATGATAAAATTGGTGCCGTAGGAAATCCTGTTAAAAATGGGGTAGTTAGCGTCATTCCCCTCGGAGTGATTAGACAAAATTGCTTGCTAATCCATTACTCTTTAATTGTTCCTGGTCTAAGATGTTTGAAGAAATGAATTAATCCTCTTAAAATGGACCTTATGCGTATTAGTGCTGCTACTGTTAATGTGGCATCGAGGTAAACAATTTGGTGGCATTACTGATTTTAGACATCTCAAAAGCAGCAATATATACACCTTTTAAAATTTTATTGCCACTCCAGTTAATGCACGAAACAAAATAACAATGATTTCCAGGCATTGAACATCTGATTTTTGTGTGGTTGAAAGAAAAGCAATCCTTTGTAGTTTTTTTCCTTCTGCCCTCCATTTTAGATCCCTGGATAGAAAGATAAGCTGGAGAAGACTATGTACTGTGGTAATGTGGGATTTTAGAAACGGCAAATGTTCTACGGAAAATCGGATTCCGTTTCCGTCTCGGGAATCGAATGCACCTCCTCAAACACTAGACTGGTCCAATCTGCGCACCTGATTCTATAAGGTATACCTAGATAAAGATGCACCGCAAAGCGCCATCATTGTTTCGATGATCCTCTTTGGGCACACTAGGTTCAGTGAATTTCTTTCAAGGTGTTTCTTCTTCGGCGGCATACCTTTATAAGGACGCATCTTGTGATGATGGACTGTGATTGGTTACACGCGCAGCCGTGTGTTGTGAACCGAGTGATTTGTTGTGACATGATCTCCACTACTCGAAATGCATTGCTGCTCGAATGTTGTGAATTTGCAATGTGCCCTGGGTAGCAGGGTGGAATGATGTATAGGGCTGCACTAAATCCCCTGCATGATAGACATTAGATTGTCTGTGTTTGTCGTCACACGGCTTTTGTCTAGTATACGACAGACATGGGTGCGCACACACTAGGTCGACTTTTCTCGGATCTCTTTTTCAGTCATATTTAAAAAAATTATATCAAGCAGATACTCTCACCACCCACAGGAGTACTACTATCGTCAGTGCTCAGAACGATTGGTGGGGCACCTAATTCGGATGTAGAACATTTGCTCGAGTTCTTTGAACGCTTCACCACGTACTTTTCCTGACTTGAATTTCTTTTCGATTCACTTTTTCGTAAGATTATGCAGCGGACTGGTGAAATGAGCACAGCCGTCGATAGAACACCTGTAGTAGCCTACTAAGCCTAGAAAACTACGGGATTCTGTTGCAGGGAACTACTTGGACCGTGTAGGAACTCGAGCGATTCATTGATGTGAGGTAGAGAAAAGGCAGTATTCTTTGTTAATCAGTTTAATTCTTCAAAATCAAGGCGCAGACAAAGGCATTCATCCCTTTTTGCCAAGGTAATAATTGAGGACCAGAGCAAATGAGGTTTTGTGGCCTCGTCCTTGAGCTTCTAGCCGACTCGAAGGTCGGCATTTTCTAGCAAGGAGGGTGGTACGCGTCTGGGTAGCTGGCAGATGGATCAAGCTAAGCCGATGTCTATTTTGTGCTTCCCATTGCTTTTCTTTTTAGTTTAAAACCTTGCCAAGAGCAAGTATTTAACCAGGAGCTTCTTAAATTCATTCCCCCAATACCGATGATGTGAAACGTAGTCTCAAGTATAAGCTTTACAGATACCGTCAACGCCAGTCTTTAGCGAAGTAAAGTCAACAATTTAATGCCTTGGTAGGAAGAGAGGGTAGCTTCAAGAGAATTTAGAATGATTCTAGTTCTCCGCAGAAAATCGCCCCCCAAGGTTAATATCGTAAGCTAAATTTGATCAAAAAGGGATGATACTGACAGGCTTTTCTTGCCTATGATAACGTGCAACAATGCTTTACAGTCTTAGCCATCATTTTTGGTAAAGGAACGGGAAAGCCCTAAGGATTACTACTGCACTGGCTAGGTCAGAGCCAAAGAGGAATGGCATGACTGCCCTTCTAATTTGCCTTGGGCTTGCAAATATGAATTTGAGTCATTTGGAAGCAGTCGTGATCAAGAAGGAGGCTCTTCTAAAGTTAGAGTGTTGAGTGATGAATAGACCCTTATTCAAGCTCTCGTAAGCTCATCGAATATTTCTTATTGTCTTTCCCCACCTTACAGTTACGATGGAAGACTCTAACTGTCTGGCCAACGCCTATTCTTCCTACGAGTTAAAGAATTCGGTATCCAGGCTAATGCATGTTTTCACTGAGGCCAAAATAAGGCTTTGGAGGATACAAATAGGGTCTGTTTTATGAGAAATAGGACATTATCTCTGCCTTTGTGATGGACAGCGCCTTCCTATTTACAAGGTTGACCCAAACTTGACCGCTTGCTACATGAAGGGCCTATTCAAATAAATATTTATCACAGTGATATCTTCCTAACTAGCTAAAAGGAAGTAACGAATGTTTGAAATTCTACGAAGTTGTTTATTTGAGAGCTTTGCTACTGCTCTACTTCAAGTTGCCACCAGTTAAATAGAATTTTACACTAAAATCTAATCTACGTTGCGCTTTCTAGCTATAGCTAATTCATACCAAAATGAAGTTCCACACTTAACGATTCTGCATGACCAAGTAGAAATGCATTTTATTTCAGAAATGACCGTACATTTTAAATAATTCTTAATAATTTCTCCATTTAGCGTACTTGTGAGTTTCAAGTCACGCTATTGCGCATGCGCCCCTTCAAATAGTAGTTGTGGCATTTACAATTGGGAAAACTCAAAAAAACTATTGAAATACGTTCTTTTCGTTAAATTACACTTTCTACTCACCTACTTCTTTCAGTCAAATCCCGAATAATAGGACTATTGGTGCGTCAGGTGGATCAAAGGAGTTCACCAATTCTAGATGTCCTGATCGGGAGGTGTTTTTGACCCTGTACTATAGAGGAAGCATTGGAACATAAACCAGGAGATCCCATATGCTTACATTTTTCCATGTATTACTTTCTGCTATCAAGAAGGACGATCTCTAGACTGGTTTAAAAGATTTGTGTTGGCTATTACAAGTAGTAGTGCAACATACCTGCTATTTACTACTTCGCGCAGTACCTCTAAAGTGGAATACCTTTCATTATGTTGCAGTAAAATTCAGCCTATTAGTTTGAGCCGAAAGCTTCTCCTGAGTGCGGTCAAATGGATGATCAACGGCTCCTTATCTTTGGCCGCTGGGTGAATTCGTTTTACCACGCTTCGTCTTTGCTAGACTTGCGCAATACCGTGAAGGTAGCCTTCGGCATAGCCTACCTCAAGTTCCAACGCTATGTGCACCACGATCTCGCCACGCGCAAATGCCTTGTTGGGGAGGGCAATGTCGTCAAGATTGGAGACTTTGGTCTCGCTTGCATGATTTTACGTGAGTTTCTGTGCTCTTGCTGCATAATACATTCCTCCGCTTCTCCCTCTGTGAGATCTTAGTTTGTCACGTCTCTGATGACGGAAATGTTAGAATCGCTAGGGTCTCCAGGCCTCTTCTTCCAGCTTCTCATTCGAGCTCATCAATTTGCAATAGCGCAGAGGGTCATCTTGTTTCATCCACAACCATCTTGACACACCTTCCACTCACCACTGTATTGAGTAGCGCAGCAGGATTAGACCTTTTAACACAAATATCCGAACCTAAATGTTACGATTTGGCTTTAATTTATTGCATAGATTCTTGGAAGAAATTCATATTGTTGCGTAGTTTAAGGCACAACTTTTAGAAGATATACACTCTAAGCCATGATTGCACAAATAAACTAATGAATAGGATTTAAGACGGTTTTTCTTTGAATGTTTCGATGCCCATGTTAACTCTTTTGGCCAAAACTGAAAATAATTTCTTGCTTTACAAACTACGGATCTCGAATGTATTTCCTATTCGAACAGGGATTTTAAAAGGAGCTGGTTGACTTTGCGAGAATTTCATTGCCAGTCACCGGATCATGTCAAGAGCAAACACGAGGAAGTTAAAACAAATTCTGACGTAGTTTTGTCTCACTTAATGCAACTTTGCCGCAAAAATTTTTGCAATTTTATCCTCATGCTGTAATTCCTCTTAATGGGAAGCGCCCTTGCACTATGTTAAGACGTTCTTTCTAAGGCTTCTCTTGAGATGATTTGCGATCTTTGATTTCACTTAATGAACCATATCAAACGACTTGATTATTTTAAATAATCTCCATACGAAATTAGTTAGAAGTTATATCAACCTCCATCATCACAAGTGGGATTGTCGTTGCACCTTTTAGGAGTTACTTTTAAATTACCTCCGAGAAGATACAGCTCCTGCTTCTTTGAATAGTTTATAACTGTCCTGAGGCAACGTTGCTATTTGACTAACGTGCTTTAATCATAAGTAGCATTCCATGAGCCTCTTCACTCCCTTGCAAATCGGTTCCAAACTCATTGACGTGGCACTCTGCTCTGTCGGTCGCTCAGTGCTTCTGCATGTTCCAGTAAATGGGCTTTTAGACCCTCATCTCTTATAACGCTCTCAAAGCTGATTTTGGCATTAAAATTTCAATGAAAATTTCGAACCCTACCCATGAACATTATATAGCGTCTAGTTTCACCATGGGTATCTACTGATTCATTTGACAAATTAATTTCAAAACAGATGCCACAGGCACAAGTTCTGACACATTCACAATAATTTATAATTAGATATTCGCCATATTTGTCGACGCACCATCTTCTGAAGTGCTTTGCTCAGTTATTGGGTTGGTGGGCTTATGTGACGTCCAATGGACTTCCCATACCTCGTTAAGTGTTTCTTTACCAGACCTCGTGCTGACATGAGCGCTCATGCAAAGGCATGCTGTCCTCTTCACCACTTCGTTTCGGTGCGTTACGAGCAAATGTCATTTTCAGTCTCGAGGATATCTCTTTTGCTTGACATGGCTTAAGAAAACAGCAAGCTTTCGGATGAATAACAGGGAAACCTTTAGTCCTGTTCTTAAAAACTCCTTCCCACTGCTAACATTTGGTATATGCTTACCTTCATAGTACCTCCTGTTTTACTTCTCGTTCTGTCAGAGCCAAATCTGCTAACAGATTTAACTGAACAACTAAATGTGGTATCCTACCTCATTTAAACCTAGTGGTACTCCTCTAGTAAAATACTTTACAACGTTGGTTTATTTCGCAGGTTTGCGAGGTTTATTTTAATTGAAGTAAATCTAGCAGCTTTTTAATGGATTCACAGATTTCATAATTTGATTTTGAAAATTACGTGGTCACTTTTATCTCGAAATCTCTATAATTCATTAAGATTATTGAATGATTTTTCCATTATAATCAACATGGTTTGAACTATATTCGTAGTCCTGAAACCACTTTAAGACTTGACGTTTAATGCAATAGAAGGATATTTGTCCATAGAAGTAAACAAGAAAAGTAATTTTTCTGGAATTATTATACCTACAACGCAGAGAACTCCTTTGACGACTAAAGGCACTTGCAAATGATCGGTTTCAACCAAGTTTAAATGGGAAATCTTGCCAGCCCAACAGTGGGTCACAGATATCTTCCACGGTAAAATGCGTTCTCTTTAACAGGACGGGAGGAAATATGAAATAGGAGAGCATCAAACTTAGGGACTGGAGCCACAACTATCCTATCCCGAAAGTGTTCCATGGAGCAGATGAAAACAGCTGGGAGCAGGAGCGCGAGAGGGAGAGAGAAAACGCATCAAATTTCAAAGATAGCGCGGGCGCTATCATGAAGGGCAGTCATATACTGCTTGTGTGTGTAGGTGGGTGTATGTGGGTTTTTTTGGGTCTGGGAAATAATCGAGGCAATAAAGAGCCCCATTTGTGGGCTTCAGGTGGTGTTCCTAGACAGACTGTTCGCCTGGAAAAAAAAGTTTCCTGAGCGATTAGAGGTTAAACCAAAGTAGATTTCAATAAATGAAGGACGTTTCAGTCGGAATGAACCAAAATTGGCAATCTGAAAGATCCATGCTACGGATCATTCTGATGAAGAGCAAGTAGCTCCTTTTAAAAGCAATCCTTCATGAATGTCATTAGCATCTGTCACGTTTGTCACTGTCCTTGTTAATACAGGATGCGGACATTATTTTGCTTCAAACTAGACTTCCCTCAATTTAAACAAAACTGAAACCTCCCTTTTGCTTGATTTTCCACTCAGGCTTCATCAGCATCATCAGCGAATTAACTTTGGACGAGACCAACTTATTGGCAGGTAAAATATTTACATAGTCCGAAGAGATCACTATTAGGATAATCTCTTTAAAGCTACCCATTAGCGTAGAATGCAATGGTGTCATAAGATGGTCTTGTGTAATTATAAGCCCAAAGTTCAGTAATATGAAGTAGAAAATTTCATTCCATTCTGCATTTGGCTAATTCGTTAAGCAAATTTAAGCACCTCGAGTCTTTCCTGAATACGAGAGAAGGCCAAATACTAGAGTAGAATACGTATTGCTGACGTGCAGAAGGGGTGGGAGGTGGGCAATTGCATGGCCCGGAGGACCTGCAGCCCTCCGCAAGTACAAAGGCGAAGTCTTGAGTGCCCATGAAGAGAAAAAAGAAGTGAACAAGTTACCAAAGCATTACATAAATAATGGAACCTTTACTGCAGTTTTGTTTTCTAAGACAGAGAACAAATACTAGCTAAATCAACCCGGGAAATTAATGGAACAAATTGTGTTTACAGAGCCACAAATACCGCCTTTTTTTTATTGGTTATGGAAATAATCCAACTTTAAATTTCTTCTTCCTTAGAGGCTTTAAGAAGAGAAAGGAACATAATTAGCAACAAAGATGATAATTAGCTGATTTTGAATTAGGATTTTTCTTAATCCTCTACAGAGAGCAATGCCGAACCGAAGAAACCCGAGGTCAGAGGAATTTCACGATCTCGGCCGTCTTAAATGCGATTTGCATGCGGCGCGTGCCATACCAGATGGAGAAATTAAGGGTGGTCAAAGCACGATGCTAAGTTGTTTTATTTAGTAAAAGAGTAAATAAGTTGAGATTAAGTGCTAAAATGTAAATTTTAAAACAAATTTGATCATCATTTCACAGAAAGAACGAGAATATTTCTTCTATGCCATTAAAAATTTATGTACAGCATTAGCAAAGTTTTACCATACCTATCATCATGAAATTTGCGAGGCAGTACCAAAAACTGTTCTGAATCACAATATTTCAGAACCATTAAAGCCGATTATCCTTAAACAGGTGCCAACACTTTCAAAAAGTTGTTAACTTGAACCAGTGATTCTCTAGTTCACACAAAGGACAAACCCAAAGTGGAAATAAATGCATTATTCATATTCATCTGGGTTTACTACTTTCATGCGGCGTTGATAGATATCTCTGTGAAGTAACCATGCTGCTTAAATTCGTAAGTACAGACATCTTCACTGTGATGAGTGGGATAGACGATATCTGAGGACCACGGTCTGAGAGCAAACCGGTGGAAGTCCGGGTGATACCCTCCGCCTTTCCAGCCCTAAATGTCAGCCTACTAATGTCTACAAGTAACAATGTTTGCAACACAAGACGTCAGAATCCAAGGATGGCGGCTACGTAGAAATTAATTAAACAGGGAAACGCCAAGCACTCATTAGTCAAACACTTATGCTCTTCTTCATTAAAAGCGCTCCTCCCGTGTTCTGCTATCTACAAATCTACAGCCTATCCCCCCAAATCCAAACTCAATCTGGTCACAACTGTGTCCTCTAGCCTCAGAGGGAATACGCGCCAATCTGCATTTATTCAGCGAATATTCCTACTAATTAACAAAAAACCCAGGACCTCGAAAACTGAAACAGAAATAGCGACTACCATGACTCTGGGGCAGCGAGTCGAAAAGTATGGCAAGACTGCTCAGGATTTTGCCTAACATCCCCCTTGTGGAGCGTTTTTTAATTGTACGCAATGAAAATTTCCAAAGGTACTATTGACTTACACCACGGCCATTGGATGGTTCATTTACACTCCATAGACAGGCTCGTTGCATCCTACATTCGGGCCCTTGTCCAAATAGTGCTAATTAGGGATTAACTGTGACAACTGGTCAGAAGTGACGGCCACTAGAGGAACATACACCTACAGAACCCCCATGTGCCATTAAGCGATAGGGGTTTGTAGAAGTATGGAGAAGTACTGAACGACCTAATGATGAACAATCAAGTACAGTAGAATCAATCTTGGTCAGCATTTATGGTCCTGAACGGATTTAAATTCGCTGGATAATAGCAGACGTCCTAGTGTAAACTGGATTTCATAGTTGCCTCCATTTAGAAACATCGAGCGCATAATTTGAAAGCCACCAACCTCAGATGTGAATCAAAAGACAGTTACATGAAAAAAAGGGGACACTTAAGATGTACTGATTGCATATTTTTACAAAACTAGCGAATATAGCTGAAGACAGATCAAGAAACATAAGTGTAAGTAGCTTTTAAGCCAACCGACATGCGAACCACTCTCCCGATATCAAAGCAACCTATGATAGGTGAATTGGTAAGCTCTATTAACTAGACAGCTGATTAAACCAGGAAACGCAATCTACAACTTTTAAATACACTCAGCGGCCACTCGTGACCAACTTGTCACCGAGGAAAATTTTTCTGTTACTGAAGCCCTCGTCAGCGAAGTGATGTTCCAATTTTGGCGAGTTGGGGAAGTCAGGCTGGCCCTAGACAGAGAGAAAGTGTAAACGTAAAGAACCTTACTGGGTAGACAGCCGGACGTCTAAGTCTCTCGATACGAAATCCCTTGAAACCCGTTTCCCAGGTCTGTATGAAAAGGCAATCAAGGGAAACGTAATGCATACCCTCGGTGAATACTTTACTTGATACCAAAAGGTACAAACGGCAAGATAGGGAATGAGTGCCAACGGCAGAGCTTTCCGTAGAACGGGGGTGTATTTTTGACCCTATAACAATGACCTCAAGCATTGTTCCCGTACCAGAACCGGTCTGAAGATACCGGCCAAGCCATCAAAGAATTTACAGTAAGCCCGCCTGAAAATATTCTTGCGTGTAAATTCAGGTACATCCACCGGTTCACGTGGGGAAAGTTTTTGATCAGCAAGCCATTGTTTACGGGAAGCCCTTTCGGAATCAGTCATTGGTTTAATCAGACGTTCGCGTTCGGTCGGCATCGGTTCGATGTTGAAAGGGTAAAACTTCCCCCCTCTTCTCATGCGTAATTCTTTCATGTACTCTTCTTTATACAGCTGCTTTTGCATTTCAATAATAGCATCATCCAATTTAGTAAACGACATTCTCCAAAGCCAAGGACACTACAGCTGGCAATTCAAAAAACGCGGGCTGCGTCGGGTAAATATCTAGCCTAAATAATAATTACCAAACCAAATACAGGTTACGAGCAAAGTTTTATGCAGCTAGAAATCTTTAATAACATAAACGACAAAATAATATCACTTTTGCAACTCACGTACCAACGATTTTGTTGTACCCTGATTTATTTTAAAAAGAAAACAAACTGAGCCTCCCGTTTTGTAATACTACTATTTACTTGTGCTTTTAATCAAAAGTAAATATATTAACAACACCCTTATCTTAGGGGCCATGGTTGCATAAGGAGTTCAGCATTTCCTCTCCCTTTGTCTCTAGCCCACTTGATTGTATGGGATGCATAGTAGAGAGCAGCTTACGTTTGAGTAGTTTGCGGAAGGTATGCAGGCTATTAAAGCTAATAGGCGATAAGAGTTCGTTCCCTCTTTTAGGATCAGTGACAACCTCTCAGCCACAGGCTGGGAAAACTGTCCCTGCATGGCCTAGATGTTTAATGCAAACATGCATTAAATTTTTTGCTACATGATTAAATTTAGACTTAACTATAATTTTAACTTGTGAATAGGGCCAAGAATGCCAATACACTAAGTTGCCTTTGGGATCTAAGATTTTTATCAGGTGCGCTTCACACAGCAAAACATTGAAGTGACATTAGTTCAAAGTTAGCTCTTTATTGGGAATCAATTTTCTCTACACAGACCCTGATTTTTTGAATAGATGAAATAAGTCCGCTGTTAATTATGACTTCACGAAGGTAGATCCTTTTTTAAAGAATGTTTTAGTGCTAATTTATGCACTTTGAACGAGCGCGACCCGTGAAAATTGTTATTGGCGATAAAGTGAAATCAGTAATTTAAAGAAAATTTGGTTCAGTTCACAATATCAAATGTTCTCTGCCCAAAGAGTACAACGCTTAAAATGATCGGCTATTAAAATGCCTAAAACCCAATTTTATGCCTATCAAAATTGGTGATTTAGTAAATTAAGAATCAAAATTGATAACCTTGGTGTCCGTACGTGAGACAATCCAATTGGGGGAACAGAGAGAAAGCTCGAGATCCGAGAAGTTCTAGAATACTCCAGGGCTAGGCACTAAAAAATACTTCTAGAGGATTAAATTGGGGGTGTTCTCTGGGATTGTAGACATCCCCATCAGCTTACGCCTTATGTCATTAGTATGGAGAGCATTATTCAATCAAAATTTGGAAAATTACCCACATATTTTAATCCATCTAAACAAAACTAACCGAATATTGAAGGTGTGTCCAACGAACACATCTGAAGAGTACCTACAGTGTACGGTTCTGCACTCCTGTCAAAGGCTATTTAAAGTTGTGAAATTCTTATGTTAGTATGAGGCTGGTCGCTTTTCCTTTTCCATTTAAATAACTCAATTTGTCTTAAGAAATTCACTTTCTTCCTCCACTTGCCTTTTAAAAGTAGAGCACATGTTTGGGAATGAAACTTTGGGTAGGGAATGGCAAGTCGCATCTTACGAATGACAAATAAGACTCAAGAAATGTCCTGTTTGCAAGAGCTTAAACTAATTTGCTAGAATTCATGTTATTTTGGGTCCTGAAGACGCCCAGATCAAAAACCTCAACTTTTTATTTCTATTTAGAGTAAAATTAGACTTAAAACACTACTGGGCCAGTTTAATCAAAATACTGTTTGTCTGTAAGTCCAAATTAATCAAAATCTATTCCTTAAGACATTGTGCAGTGTCCCGAGACTTCTCTGAGGTGGTAATAACCCATTTCAGTCCGGGGAAGACTTATTATTAGTGTGTAGGAACGCCTGGGAGGCTAAGGACAGCTTTCAGAACGTAAAGAGCCGGCGTAGGTAAATGCACTGCTAAGTATGATGTCGAGTAGCCACAAATGCGGAGCCTTCGTTGAATTCTTTGGTAAAAACAAATTGTGGCACTATTTTAGCCACCCTCTTAATAAGGCCATTTGAAAAGTGAAAGGGACAAAATACAGTGACCTTTGTTGATTCAAATAACCGCGTGCCAGCACCTAAGCCAAGAAGCTTCGCACAGCCTATTTACCACTTGATACAGTAAAAAGCCCAACGGATTGTAATGTGAAATTTTCCCAAATGGATGGGACAGTAAATCCGTCTTATGAATATATCCTTGAAGGCTCCTTCAGATCAAGCACAAACATTTCACTAGAATGAATGCTATCCGTAATGTGAATTTTTAATTGAAAGGCTGATGAAAATAGAGGCGCGGAAAATGGGATTTGGCGTTCTGGAGTGCTTGTCAGTGCCATCAGCTTTAAATTAAATTGCTTTTCTGCATTACAGTTTGCCTAATTTTCATTGACTGCCAAAAATAAATAAATCGAGTTATGGGTTTGAAAACTGTAATAGTTTCTCCAGACTATTATGTACCTTAGTTAATGAAATTGCTGTAAAAGAAAAGCGAAATATTCGACAAATATCGCCGCACAGCACCATATGTCTTCACTAAAGCAGTGCGGCATATGAATGCGGAGAGGTGACTGTTGCTTGCGAGAGAGGTGCTAGGATGCTAAAAACCGGGATCCGGAGTGATCCGGTTAATTTGATCCGTTAGGTAGGTGCTGCGGGAGGGAATGAGGCCCTAGTGTACCGAGAAAACCAAAGAAAGAGGATGATTACATGTAAAAGTGCCCTCAAAACCGTGACGAAGAGTTAAACAAAATAATCAAGGTAGTACGTAATGCTTTAGCCTTGATTTCGCTAAAAGTGCCTTAAACTTTGGCAGGATAAGTCAGTATTTCAGCTTGCCTAAATAAATACACTGTAGCAGACCTCCAACCCTTACGGAATTATCATGACCCATCAAGTTGCGGGAAATTGTAGCAAGGCCTTAAAAACTAGATTTAGCACCCATACTGAAGCATTACACAGATTCTTAAGGCTAGGTCTCGGTACTATACCCAAGATTTGATTTACTGGCTTTCTGCGTTCAATATACACATAATCAGGACTAGGATACGGTATCGTAGGTTCATCTTTTAAGCGGATTCTTTGCAAAAAAAAACTACATGCTGCTGTTTGCAAAAACAACTTTCCTAAATTTTGATCGGAGGCCCATATTTGGAGACAGAAAAGCATATTAGGTGGATTCTAAAATGTCGAAAGCATTAAAGTTGCCTTCCTGGCAACGAAGTAGTTCAAAAAACCTGAATTTAAGGTATCGGTTACCTAGTAGAGACGATGCAGTAAACATAAGCGCCCTATAAAGTGTCACATGCACTGTAAGGCTCAGATCTGGAAGCAAAATAGACACAGACTTGCAGAAGGACTGAGACCTGTACCGCCTTTTGGAGGGTTAGAACGCAATGGACTGAAGGCCTCTATGAATTTACAGTCGAAAACCCGCCCTCAGCTGTATAAAACAGAGATACATCTACGTTTCTGAAATAGTGACAAGAGAAACCTTCGTCGTTGTTATTCTCAGTATAGTTTGGATTGCATCTGCCACATAGATGTCACGGTTTCTCTCCATTTCAGCGCCGGTTCACATTCCCAGGGTGGTAGGTGGCACATTTCCAGGACCAAACCTGCTTGTCATAACGAATTTCTTTTTAAAAACTGCCCTATTCTAGGTACCATATCAAGACTCCTTTACAGATTTATGGTAAAAGCAAAAATGCACACAGATATCCGCATAAATACCTGCATAAAGTTGCTTGAAGTTAGTTTTCAAGTTTGAGATTTGTGAACAATTTGATTAGCTTACTGTTTGAGTGGCATGCAGTCCAACCGGTCACGAAAATTCGGTTCGTGACATTGATGCCTGAAAGCTTTAAGTAAATTGCCTTTTCTCTCAACGCTCGCTAGTTTAATCAACTAATTCCTCCGTTTATCAATATGTGATTCATCTATTTGTCCACCTTCTTCCAAACTATTCATCCACGATGAAAATGTCCGTCGAATCTTTTTTCAACCCCACCATCGTTCATCCACCTGGCCAGCCCATTCCAGTATATCATTCTAGATTTGTCAATTCCGATTTTAATGGCTGACTTATCCCTCATCCTTGTGGGATTCATTCACCTAGTTCAAATCCACGCCTTATGTATCCGCCTACCTCTGATCCACTCATAGGGTCCCGGGCCCAAGATCCATCTACTTATCTGTTCCAGACCATTCTCCAAAAGTGAGTTCCTACGTTTGAAAGCACTTTATCCATCGTTCTCGGATTACCCCATTCATTTCGGATCAATCATTCCACCTACCGGTTACGAAACCTCCAACATACATTTCATTCACCAAGAATCCACTCACCTAGCGCTCAACCAGCCTTTGTTAACTTCAATACTCCCACATGAATTACTCAAAATTTGAATCTCGCAAGCCAACGTCAATACCACCAATGAAAATAAATTTCTGAACTGACACATCATTGTTATTTGTCACCCAAAATCCATCCATTAGAGGTGGTAGCGACTTCTAAATTTGGTACTTTAGGAAACGGGGCATTGCATGTCCAACGATGCGACACTACCAATCAGTGCAACGATGACTGTGGTAGGATTGGACTTCAACTTACCGAATTCAGCCCATGGCGTAGGTTGACCAGTGTAGATTTCGTCAGTCAAACGGTCGCAACCATCATACACCTTGAGCGACTCAGCTTCCTTCCTTATGATCGGTATTTTAATTAAATGCTTTGTAAATCATTTCAGGGCCATCGAATCAGCTAATCATCCATTCATACCAGAATCAACAATTTACAAATTAGCAGATCCATTATTCATTTCTTTCAATCCTAACAAAAAAAATTACTCCAGGATCTCACAAACCCATTAGTCACGCAAACACTCAACCACAATATCAGTGATATTCTAATGGTAATCAAGGCATGATTAAAATTAGTAGGTAGAAATATGTACAATAGAGAGTGTGGGAGATGGGGAAAGTTAGGAACAAGGACTCAGTTTTGACGTGCCGTGACATGGCGACGGTAGAGAGGAAGGGGGGGTGGCGGACTGTCGCACCGCTCGGAGGTGGTACCCACTCCGACAGCGGTGCCAGAAGTAGCGGTGGCGGGATCGCGGTAAGCAGGGCGGTCCCACTCCTCGCAGAAGACCTGTAGACGCCCATGGATGCTGGCGAAGGAGGGACGCGCAGTCTCGTCGGCAGCCCAACACTCTAGCATGAGATCATAGAGCTCCACAGGGCACCCTGGCGGCGCCGGCATTCGGTAGCCAGCCTCCACTTGGCGCAACACTTCTGCATTGTGCATCCCGGGATAGGGGACTCTACCATAGGTCACTATCTCTGTCAGGAGGATGCCGAAGGACCAGATGTCAGAAGCAGTGGTAAAACGAGAGTAGTTTGCTGCCTCCGGTGCCGTCCATTTGATGGGGAAACGTGCGCCTGCGTGCGCCACGTATTCCTGATTCTGCAAAGCAATGGGATACCGCTAAAATAAACGTCTCGTGTTAAAAGCCTGACTTCGTTCATCAATTATGCTTATAATTTTTCCACATGGCTGGATAGTAGTATTACAACCTCTCTGGAACGTCAAAAGCAAAGAATATCAGGGCTTGCATATTTTCTAAAAGAAAAGCTGCCATCAGATCGGAGCAAATCAGCTTTCGATGACAGTAGACCTGAGCCCACTCTCCGCTTGTGCAAAGCTTAGAGTGCCTTCAATGCTACAGTGCAGCTGCTTCTCTTCAGAGGCCCTGTGAATCCTCGTACGAATAACTTGGACACTACGACCGATCCGTCACAAAGTGGAATCACGCGGTACTGGATTTATAGTGCGATATCAATGAGGAAATTGTTGCTTCGAGAGCACATTGAAAATGAACGTCAATCCAGATTTGATCGTGACGCGGATCAAGTCATTAAAGCTTTTGGTTCGAAACCTTTTAGCATTATTGCAAGACATGCTTGAGGGAACAACTACAGGATTGGAAAGATATTTGTTGATCTTCTTCAAATCAACATTCAAATTAAATATCTGCGTAACTACACCAAACCCTACGTAAGGTTGTGAATAAGCGTTGGTACTTTATATCCAGCAAATTCAAACAACAACGCTGCACCATAGCCACAAAATTACAACGACAATGTGCACCATTGGAATCGACTAGGAACCCGCATGAATTCCGTAGCTACGACTGCCACGTCATTGTAATTTCAAATCTCCGGGTCTGTGGAAGCTATCGATGCTATTGTACTACGAGAATAAAGGCGCGCTGTTTCTGGACGCTTACAATGAGTTGCCACCAAGCGGCTTAATATGCTGTTAAATTATAAGTGCATGTTAGAATAACAGTTTTTGTCGATTAATGCGATGATCCTCCAGACAGTAATCAGCCATGTAACGCAGTTACCCGCCCGACATTCTTTAAATCCTTACCCGTTTTCTGCTCTGCAAAATAAAAATTGTTGCAGCGCTTCTGGATGGTCGCTTAAAAGTACTACGCAAGGCCTAGTAATACATAAAAGAAAAGCGTTTTACCCGACTTGCAACTAGACTAATGTAAGAGCTGTTGCAAAGACCGAACAATTCGTCATTTAAAGGCATTTGGAGGAGAACTTAGTATTTAGTCTACCAACAAAACCGTCAAATAATGAACACAATCTAAAGCAATGCATTTATGGGTTTAAGATGTAGATATCTTGAATTTAGAGCACTTCATGGCAGGAACGGTGGCTGATCAAAGGGATGGAATCGTCCGAAGATGAAATCTCATGTCTGCATAATGAGAACATGTGTAAATAAAATACCTTAAGAGGCTCAGAGGTGAAATGCATCGACTATTGAGAGGACAGTACTGTTACGAAGAAAACGATGAATTTATAAAATCTCTCATCTTCAAGAAGTACGAAGAAAAGCGTGGTTCAAGTACGTGAAGGCAGTAAAGTAGCTCCAGTGAATAGGACCCGTGGTGATCATCCGACAGGTAGCAATATGAACATAAAGCCAAGCCATAAAATCATGTTCATCACCTGAGGGCCTAGAACTATGGAGCAAGTTCTTAACTTGTGATTAAATGTACTGCAGTGAAATTGGTTCACATTTACCATCGCAATGAAACATTTATGAATTCTTATTCTACAGTATCGTAGTATGACAGACTACCGTTTCTCCATACAAATGGGTGATAATGAAGAGAGGGGAAGTGGTGGAATGCAGAGCTTCTGGTGTGGTAAAGATCTGCTCGTACTTCAGGCCCAATCCCAGTGAATAAGACGAGTGATCGCACAATCCACGCCGGTGTCGGATTTTCCACACCCTCAGAAAACGGTTGATCAACAATTAGCTTATCCTAAACACGATTTGAATTAAAAAAAAAAACATACCAATTGAAAGTCCATTTACAACTTTTTGAATTACAAAAATAAAAAGCGCTACTTTGGAAGCCCTGGGCACCGCATAGTTTTTCTTTATGCACTTGGTAGCCTTAGCTATGTGAAGAGGTGAAGAGAGCATACAAAAAGGCTGATAATTTGCAACGTAGATAAATGACTAGTCACAAATTTTATAAGCGTGATTTGAATTGCACCATTTTCAAGTATAGGAAAGCACACTTTTTTCATAATAAACATTTTATTCCACTTGAAAAGTAATGAATGCTGAAATAATCAAATGGCATAATAAATACTTATGAGCTGTACCTATCGCCTCTCCTGCACAATAATCGGCATGCAATGCTTTGATTGTATATTTAACTCTTCACTATTGTGTCCCTGACCAGTGGCATGGCTACCAAACATGTTGGTAGCCCCCACCCCGGCCCCTCCGTATGTAAATAATACATATTCTGCCCCAGTAATGTCTTCTTTCGTTCTTAGAGAAGCCTCGAGGCACTATATTGGTGGCAGCGGGAAGCAAACCCTACCTTAAAGGGCGAATATCCTCAGTGGGAAGGAAGAGATGCATGCGCCGCAGATGGGAGAAGCAGTGACGAATCCTAACAGAAAATCCGAAAATGGCATTTCGCTTCGACAACTACACCAGTCCAGTGGTCTGCAGGAATGCTAAGAACCACTGAAGCAGCACTAGCCGTGAAGCTGTCGACAGTACCTGTTTGAAGGTAGACACGCAGTACCTCCTCCATCTCTCTACTTGCTGGAGAGAACCCAAATAGATATAGCCTGGATGGTACTGAAGTGAGAACAAAGTTCCAAGGAGGAAAAAACTCGAAATCTTATCCCCACGAAACGATTTCAAACCCTGTCCCTTATTAAATGACGGCTTTTGGGTCAGTATTCCTACGACTAGCGATAGACATCCGAGATGGTCGATAAATCCCCACCTTTCCCCAATGCAGTTCCCAAACAGGACAAAACACCAGATCCAGTTGAATTGCCAAGAGGGACCAGTGATGTTGAAGTCAAATGTCTACTCAGATGCACGCAAATTTAATGACTGGCGCGACTGGTTCACGGGTGGTTTTCCTTAGAGCGACGACTACGTTGTGATGGTAGCTGCAGGAGGTTGACCAAGAGGAGCGCCAGGGCGACGCTCAAAAGAAGAGATGATATATGTAAATACGTCGATTGTTTGTTTAACTTTTCGTCTTGGTTTCGAGACTACTGAAGTTCCGACCTTTGTTCTTTTCCTGAGAGGCATGGCCTTCGGGCAGTGCTAGTAGCCCCTTGGGCCTTCTATGTGCCGGTAATGCCTATTCTGCCTGAATATAATGTCTTCTTTCGTCTTCAGGGAAGTCTCGTGGTGTTCGTTAGGATAACGGAGCCCAGAGCACTTGCGATTGATTTCTGCACAGTTGATAAATTTGGGGAGATTACTCGCAAGTAAATGAGAGCAATGAGCATTTTGGAGGAGGGAGTTGTCGCAACAGTAGAAGTAATGAAACTTACCCCAAAATTTAGTGCTAGTAAATTGCAGTCCTGTCCAACCGAGTTTGACAAAACTTTATGATCCATTATCTCCATGTTAGGTTAAAGCAGTGGTAGGAATCTTCGACCGGTAAGTAGAGAGGAAATTGCGCCTTCTTATGCATAATTTATGCAACTTAGGAGTGAGAGACACTTAAACCACTTCATGTACACAATTCACCTGCACTAAATTGGTGGTATTTAAACTCATCCAGTAGTTACAGCAACATGTGACAAATGTTTAAAGTCCAAACAAATAAAAAATATCTAAAATGAAGCTAAAAATTTGTCAACATCTTGTCAGTTCAAGTGCACTGGAGACAAAAAAAGAAGTTAAGTGCCACAACTTCATGACGGACTTTTTGAAAAAAAAACAATCATTTCCTTCCTCTGGTAGCATTACAATTTCCGATGGAGTAAAATCATCGACAGTTTGCCTCCTTGCCTTCTTTGAAGTCATTAAAAAGTGGCCATCGAGTCGATTTGAAAAGTCATTTCAACTGACATGAAACCAAGAGTTATGACGATTGGGCATTCCTAAACCGGTCACAAAACAAGTTCATTTCGCTTTTGAAAAATTAGACAAACATTAAATAATTCATGCGACGTAAAATTATTTATTTTTAGTGAATGAAACGAGCCTAGAAAAAAATATGCTTTAAAAATTCTCAAGACGGAATAGAAATAATGAGGAAAAGAATGAGACCAAGTTTAGGGTGAAAAATGTAAGTAAGCCCGTTCTTTTATAAGTACGATCAAAACCGATTTTGTTGAAGTTTCTACCCTTCAACTAAAAATGAGGTTTCGGTGTTTGTGGAGAAGTTCTTATAGGTATTTCGGCTAAAACAGTTAAAAAAACATTGAACCATCAAGAACGGGGTAAAAGACAAGAATTTGCATTTTTAAGTTGACAATAAAGATAAAAAGTTGGTGACAGTATGACAAAGGGAACCATTAAAGTGCCATCTGTTTAATGAGAGCGAAATCTCAACACCCGAAGTGAAAAAAAAGGGGGTCTTAAAGATTGCTGATAGGACAATAGCGATCGTATGGCTGATTTTATGGATAGGTTTCACATTCTATCAATAGCAGGAGTTTAAAAGGGGAAACTTTTGATAAGGGAGAACGACAGAACGTATTGCAGATGTGCCTTTACCGCAACTGAAAATGTGTAGAGAAAGTAGAATTTATTGATTCCGACATTTCAGCTACCTACAGTTTGGAAATGTAGACGTCATACTTCGAAAGGGTAAACCACTGCTGAGGGCAAGATAAAAACAACGGATCAGAGGATCCTATCCTAAAAAAAATAAGCAGCCAGAGTGAAGGCCGAGGAAAAAACGAAACAGCCGAGAGATTAAAATGGAAAAATAGAAGAAAAATGATTCTGGTAGAATCAGCTACAGAAAAATTGGCAACGGAAACCGTCGCAGGTATCCCGAAAGGCTTAGTTGAGGAGAATGATGGAACATAATGAGGAACCAGAAGACCCTATTGGGCCAATGAGAAGTGATGAGTTCGAATAAAAACTAGAGAAAGAAGCCTGAAGACCCTAGAGATTATAACGTTTCCGTCATCAGAAACGTGGTGAACTAAGACCTCACAGAGGGGGAAGCAGAGGAACATATCGTGCAGCGAGAGCACAGACACTCACGTGGATCATGCGAGCGAGGCCAAAGTCTCCAATCTTGACAACATTGCCCTCCCCAACAAGGCAGTTGCGCGCGGCGAGATCGCGGTGCACGTAGCGTTGGGACTCGAGGTAGGCCATGCCGGAGGCTACCTGCACCGCAAGCAGCGCAAGGCCCGCCACACCCAGCGCTCGCCCCTCTGCGGACTGGAGGAAGGCAAGTAAGGAGCCCTTCGACATGAGCTCCGTGATGAGGTAGAACGGCGCCGACTGTGTGCACACCGCGTACAACTGGATAAGGTGTGGGTGGTGCAATCGCTTCATTGTCTGCGCTTCCATTAGAAAGTCCTCCGCATTGCACAAGTCTAGGAAAGAAAAATGATGGAAAACAAAATTAACCACCGGGTGAGGATGAGAGGCTGTTAACCGTCCGTTTGACTGTGTCTAGGGAGAAACTTTCGATTCACTGTAGAGGTACTATGCGTTGCACTACTACTTGTGATAGCCAACGCAAATTTCGTGAACAAATCCAGAGACCATTCGTAAAGATGACAGAAAACAGTACACGGAAAGAGATGTGGTGGTGGATGAAGCTTTCTTTCAACGAATGTTCAAAACCACAAGCCGTTAGTATTTTCTCACATTTGAGGATGTGAGGTACTCAGCATTGGGATACTTGAGACGTGTAAACATTACAATATTGCCACACTTCTATGCGTCAGTAGTGAGCCCGGTCGTGGCGACTAGCAACCCATCACGGCAGCGGTCACGCAGTGCTGTGGACATCCAGTAAGCACGCGGAACCCCTACCCAATCATAGAGATTTGGTCAACGCATAACCTGCCGTGCAGTGAAATCGGACAAAAGATCAACCTGCCTGCTAAACAATGAATGCAAACGAATGTTTTCAACTTTGAACAGTTAGCGCAAGCTGAGTAAAAAATATCCAGATCCACTGCATGGAATACAGTTAATAATGAATGCGCATAACCAATGCAATAAAATTGCTTACAAAATGTGTCTTTGAGGTTCAAGATGTGTAAAAAGGCAAAGTGACACGGTGAATGGGTGTTATCTTCACACTAAATCTTAGACATTTTCATTTATTTGTTTTCCATTATATCGAATCCACTTCTGATACGCTCAGAGTTAAATATTTTGATACTAGCAGTAATTTCTTCAGTTGGAGTTGAAAAGTTTATACTCCATGCCGCAATGCTCTAGCCTGATTGCTAAAGCAAATAGAATGTAGGAATTTCGAACACCCAAAGACATGAAAGTGAAGCCTTGACACCTTCGTGTTAGCCCAAGAGACAAGAAAATTATGGACGCAGTTATAGCGAAATATTTGAATCTCTGCTCGGAGGGTGATATTTTAAATCCTACCACCACAACAGCTCTAGCTAGACCACGGCACTGATAATTTCAAGATATAAATAGAAAAGCGGCAATTATACGGATTGGCTTTATGAATAACTTCCATGGTTCATCTGCTTCGATTTTGAGGCAAAGATTTGGATAAACCTAAAATGCAGACACTCATAATGATAGTGCTTTTATCGGACAACCTTATGTTCTGTAGAACACTTACCGATCACGGACGCAACACAAAGCTAAAACCGCAGAGAAGAGAAAGTTAAAGAATATGATATGAAGATGTGCTCTAGAACCACCAAAGTTGAATCTGTTGATAAGGTGTTTCACGAACTTGGTAGTCACCTCTTTCTTAGCAGTGATAGGACTTTGCCCTATTCAAAAAATTACGCCACAAAATTTCACAGCAATTGCCAGCATGAAAGTATGAAGGCAATAGTAAGCATTCAAAGGACACGAGGGAGGACCTGGGATATTTTTGAGTTAGTTTATGAGGGAGAAATATTTGAGGCATCATTCACAAAACATTATAGCGAACTCGACAGCCGAAACGATCTCAGCTAGATCCAGGGATCAACGCTCGTATAGTGGAGGAAAAAAAAGTGGAAATTGCAAATGGAAATGTGGAGGTTGTGTAGGCCGGTGTTAGGGAAAAACAAATCTTGTCGACCATCTACTTTAAAGTGGTGATGCAGATATCGATGCACTTGATCAAAATTTATTTTCACGTAGTAGTTTTAAACTTGAAAGAGGGAGAAAGGATAATAAATGCGTAATGGGAATCATTGAAGGCAAAACTGATACACTGACAATGTTACTTGGAAGCGAAAAAGAGTAGCAATGTCTACATTCTGTGGAGGAACCTCTATATTTTTGACAATTTTCTTCGCTTGTTCGTGGCGTGGGTGGATACTTTCAAGCCATTTGGCCGATAAAGGTAAGTCGTATCACTAAATAATTAGTTCTCACCTTTCCTTGGTAGGGAAAAGTGATTAGTCATATGTTATGTATAGGATGTATGTGTTTACTTGGATACTATGGCACTTCATGGGAAAAAACATAAATCGAGCCCAAATACGAAGCGGAGAAGGTTAAAAAGCACACCGTGGGTGCATAAGTGTTACGGTATGGTAAGAATAAAAAGCGCCGGTAAAGAATTCGAAAAATTGTGTCTACTTCTTCAATTGGTAAAAGCGTATGCATTGACATTTCGTGTTGATTCCAAATATTGAGAAATTGATGAATTTTAAATTGCCAATGGACGGTAAGGTGGGGAGTTTTGATCTTTCTTAGTCGACACAAGCAAATTCTTGTAGTTAGAATGAAACTTTTAGAAGTTTGTTCAAAAAGTGATAGCGCGATTTCGCTAAGCTAACCTCGGATAGATTGACGAAGTAATTGGTAGATAGGTGCAAGAGAACCACTAGTAGAAAGAAGCAATCCACATGTGCCCCCTGGGATATGAGGCTTCTGATGCAATTAAACAAGATTTGCTTCCTCATAGAGTTCCAAAAATGAAATAATTGAAAGGAATAGTGGACATGCAAGGGAGTAGGAGCGAAGCGATATGATGAAAGGCAGACCCTTAACATTTTAACCTATAAAGGACATAAGTAACAGCACCTAATATCTTCAAAAGCATCTTCATTACTTTGGTAATTAAGTGAATTTACTTAAACGATATGAGGCAGTATGAAATAACATTTTCGGAAGATAAAATCCACTTTTATAAAACCAAAGGCACTGATTCATGGGTGTTTGCTTCTGTAGCACATCATTGTGTTTCACGAAGTATTTATTCACCACAGATATGGTACAATGCTGAGGGGAATAAACTAGACCAAAAAAACCAAAGAATATAGTGGCTGCTCAGAGTTGGACACGTTGGTAAATGTTTAACAAAAATACCGATACGTGGAAACGAGATTTCGTTGCTATCTCATGGCAATCCCAAATTTGAAAGAAAGAGCAGGAGAAGGTAAGCGGTGACACATTCACCTCCTGCCTAGAGGATGATTGCTAGAATAGCTAATAACACAATAGCTGCACGCAGATAAGAGGCGCAGTGAGAATGTAAGTGGCGAAAACCAAGTGACCCAAAGGAAAAAAAGGCATCAAATGTACGTTCAAAAAAAGCTGGGACTACATTAAGTGTACTTTCTGTTAGGTTACTGGTATACCTTTTTAGATACCATAGGATCACAGAAAAGCAGCAAATAATTGGAGGCGAGAAATTGAGGTACAAGACTTGGGACAAAGTGAACGTAATGCTATCAAAAATTAAATAGTCAAAGCTTAGAAAACTTCGTGCTTTAATTGTACAACACATAGAGTACAATGTGCATAAGCGTCTAACGAAGAGGGGAGGCATTGGATGCCAATGCGTGGAAAGTTCTGCAAAAGTAGTTAACAAAATGCCAAAGGAACCAATCAAGGTACCAACACGGGGAACCTAAATGTCAAGGCACAAAGGGGAGATGAACAATGTGTTTTTAAGTAATGTAACTTTTATTTAAGGAAAGAAAAGGCAAAGTATTTAGGAGTTTTGTTTCGGAAAATATGTCCAAATTGCCATGCAAGATGGAAAACTACCAATTAAATGATGAACTTGGGCACACAGACAAGCCATTTGTGAAAAAGGCTTTCAAAGCGTACTTTAAACTAGAACGGCGAGATAAACTAATTGAATGAGAACTTGGATTTGTTAAAAATTGCAATTTTTTAGTTTGAGCTACATGAACCATACTATTGGCGGGTGCGCCTCCCTAAAGGTTGGAAACTGGCGTAAGTATCGTGCGAAAATCAGATCAACCTATCAAAAATGGAGTTCTGGATCTAACGGTCACATCGTCAACAGATACTTCTCAAGGTCAAGAAAAAACAACGCCTATCAAGTTGAATTAAAGCGATGTTTCCCAGAGTATCTGAAAATCGTTCGGTGGTGCGAAAAGCACAACAAAACACAAAAGTTCGCACAAATGTTTGGCAAACAGAAGCGTAAGATGTAAAAAGCGGTTAAACAAGACGACATGAGATCATTCGAACTATGGCATCTTTTAAGGCCATATAGTTTTCGAGTTTACACTTCTCAGACCATGACAAAGCTTAGCAAACACTAATTATTCTCACAAATCAAGCCGGAGGGACGTCAAAAACTATTTTGATTATACAAAAAGTTATCATGGATGTTGTTTGAAGCTATCACATTTCGTAAAGGGAATTAGTTAAGAAAAAGTACTGAAATTCTTGAATACGAAATCGTAGCATTGATACAGGCGGCATTTTAATACTTAAGACAAAGCACCCTCACAAAGCTAAATTTAACTGCTTCATCAGACAAAAAATGGCCCCTTGTTGGACTAGGCCCTTTCCAAGAACCAGTTTGAAGGTATTTTTTCAAAAGTCCTTCGAAGAATCGTCAAGCCCCGTGTGTGCACGTTGGGTGTGGGTGTGGATTAATGGACGCCAAAGCAACTGTTGCCATGGGGAGGGTTGCGTGAATGAACAAGATCTTGTTTTGGCTTGTCTTGGTCCCGGATCTAATTGCCACCACCATAAACCAGAACGCTAAAGGACATAGTCAACCAATTCGCCAATGAACCCGAACAGTAAGTCTATGAACAGAAGCCAGTCTTTTGATACTTGGATAGTTGCAAAAGGCACGCAATGGAAAATGGATAAAGTAGAGAATTCAACACAACTAAGATTCGTTTAAAAAATCCTCCTTTTTCGGCACATGTAAACAAACAAATAAACCCTCGGTCAGGACGAAATACTCGTCTTGATTCTGAAATATAAGCAGCAAATGGACTCCCAACCTGGGCAGACACTACATCCCACATCAATGCATGCAGTTTTAAGAAGGTGAAAAACAAATACAGCAAGCCTCCTTGAGATCTTGAATCACTAAATAGAGTGCTGCTTGCCAAATGCAAATGACGGGGGCGACTTGACGTGGCTACACTGGTGCGAAGGTAGTACAGTCAAGAGGCGAAAACCTTTGCCCTCGCAGTTGCACATTATTACCGCTCCGGGCCTCAGCGTTTGCAAAGAGCGTGGACAAAGTCCATTCTTGTCTATGATTAAAGCATCAACGCAACACACACAGACAGAGGTAAATGTGTGTGTAGTGAGTGCTAACCTTTTCCCAACCTGGAAGATGGACAGTGTATGAGAAGGTACGGGAAGCTCTCTGCTGTTTGGGCAATTTTAACAGGTATCCAAGTCAACCAATTACAAGCAGTATCTATCCTTCTTTGAAGAGCATCAGCTACGAAATCTCATCGACATTAACAAGTCTAATTCAAATATATTTTAAGACCTAGAAACCATGCGAATACAGCGTAAATGAAAGCTGAAGTACTGTATGATTTTATCCGCTACACTTTCCTTATCAAGGTGAACAAAAATAATGTCGGAGAAAGTAGAAATAAGCGACTCCTATCCGGCCAACAAATAAAGCAAATTTCGCAATCATAACATTGTACTTTGAAGACCATAAGCTCCATAAAATGGCATTAAAAAATAGAGAAAAAAGAAATGGACACGAAGACGTATTACGAAAAAGGCGACAATTCGTCTATGGGGGGTAATGTTTGCAGTCACCCATTTACGACAAAATATTGAGTCACTATTCGTCAAGGAAAGGTGCAAAATGAGACGTAAGAAAACGAGCAAATGATTTAAGAGGCTAAGAGGATATGCGCGTTCGTAGCTGGGTTAGTATGATTCTAAAAACCTGCTTCCTCTCAATACTTCCTGGTGGGCAGCTTTTATTCAAATGTTTAAGTAAGCAAATCAGATGTATGTGAATCCATGGCAAAAAGGAATCCTGAAAATTTTGGCCGGAAGTTAGAGAACTGCTGCAACTTAGCGTCATCTACACCGTCACGAAATGACCTGCAGAAGGAAAATAGCCGCTGTTTGTCGACCAGGCGTCGAGAATAATCACGCACCTCCGCATACCTGCAGTAAGCCAGTAACACCAGAATTTTGATGAAAAATGGAACAAGGTGGCATCACTTGCACCCGTCTTTTGAGAAAAGCATAAATTTAGTGACCAATCAAGAGGAGAAGCAGAGAACCAATTTCCGGCCCATTACCCACTAGGAAACGGCTCGGAGTGTTTAAGAAATGAAATTGGATGCAAGCAGCACTACCTGACAATTTTCCCATTCTTGGATACACACAAAATTTGAATGAGAATAAGGACAGATCGAATACAAGAAAGACAATTCCTTAACAGCGCGATATTGAAACTGACCGCTGGACAAACGTGAAAAAGCACCCAAAAATTCCTGAGTTTAAATGACCACTCGGGAGTGGAAATTAAAACGGGTAAAGTTTTGCAGTAAAACAACCGATTTCCTTGTGCGGTTACAACAAAACAAAATCTACTTATCTTTCGCTTGCGTTAGTGACGATAGCCACACCACCTAAAAACAACTCCGACAAAAAGTGCCAAAAGGGTAAAAAAAGTTACCGAAAGTAAAATGCCCCATGATTCTGCGATGGGTATTTTTTCCTTACCTTAGAGGTGTGCAAAATCATTTCTCACCTGAAAAAGTCAAATCATCGTTAGCATTTATTCACAGAAAGAAGTTACGGAGCACCCTTTCCTATTGATAAAACATGTTGGAAACTGCGTATTGTCAGGATACTGTAGTGGAACATACATGTAAGCGAGGCTTCTAAGCCTTGCGATTTAGTTCCCACATCAGCAACAGCTCTGTCAATAGCCTTCCGTCCCTTTCCTGTGCTCATAATGAGGCAACTTCCAAAATCACACCTCGCAACCGTCTTCCGTGACTGCTTAAAAGTTGTGGTGCATCCCGCAGAGGAATCGCTCACAAAACCGATGCCTTTTCGAGGGATAAAATAAAGGTGGGACCGCCTCCCATCTATAGGCTTCATAAAAAACGTCCGGGGGCAGAAAAATGAAACGAGAATTTGTAAGTAGCAACAAGAATTGGTAAACTATTTCTGAGAAATTTTGAAAAAGCCTGAAATTGTTTAAAAACACACGCTAAGTCAGAAAATTTCTATCGTAGTAGAAACACAATTCTCTCCTTCTTGAATGTAAAAGCACATCGTAAACGATGACGAACGGTTTGTTATTAACCCTTCTCATAAATAAAACATCCAAGCAGAGAGAAACCAGATACATCTCCATCAATTTTGTCTATGAATACGGTTTGTTCGCGGTGGATAGGTCAGTCAAATTCTACACTATCCAGCAATTACCAGACATTTTTTTTTATTGTAAATACCCAAACGCACGAAATGATGTAAAGTTCACGTTGTATTCACAATGGAGATTACCGGTAGATGTCATTTATTATTGACATGACAACTTTACTTCACTGCACTGCACGAACATTAAACAAAAGACTCGCGTTCACACGGTAGGAGGTCCAAACAACCGGCTGCCCTACATACACTACCAGAAAGTGCGTGAGTTTCATCGCACGGAGAGGTGATGATAAGCTCCAGCCTAGTCGACTGTTCACTATGCCACCACTATGTGCTCTGTTTACTTTGTAAGGGGATGAGGAGAGTAGCGTCCCCAAACATGCTTGGAATGACTCACGCCAAGATGCCTTCTGGAAGGAGAAACAATAAGTTGATCCGACATCAACAAGGCTTGACGGGGTGGAAGGAGTGGAATCTCATCAGGTATTCCGTTTAAAAGCACACTTTTAGCCTTTTTATAATATAATATATAATATATTATATTATATATATAATATATATAATATACATATAATATATAATATAATATATAATTTTATAATATAATTTTGAGTCACCCCTAACCATTTCAGAGCGACACAAATATGTGATGTGTGCTCTTCATCGGCTTATTGAGACTGTTTTTACCAAATCGTGCCGCAAGAAGAGTAACGGAGTGGAAAACAAAGTGGGTGTGTGATATTTTTGATACGAGGTGAGTTGAATCTCTAAACGGAAAATTAGCGGTAATGGCAATGCAACGGTCGATTCTCCCCTGAGAAATGTTGGTATCTGTTCACATTGAAGGATTATAAAACGAAATGCGTGCTTGACCCCAAAATAGCTCTTCCACAGAGCTGCTCTGCAAATTGAAGCAATCCAAGTGGAATGAGGAGAACCAATTATCCTGGCCATGCAAATGCACTTCAGGACTGGATTCACTGCCAAAAAAGGAAAATGAATTGCCAATTTAAAAGCTATAAGAAGATATAATTGGGCAAAATGAACTAACACTCGCTTGCTGTTTACTTTTAAACTGCATCTGCGGTATAGGTACTGGTGCCGCCTGAGTTTTTAAAATGCTCTTCACCAGTTCAATGAGTTTTAAAATGGGTTGTATTCTATTTCAAGATAAATTACTGAAAAATTCGAAAAAGACAGAATTCAAAGAGGCATTTGTTGTATTTTTCGGAATGAAACGAATTCCACTGCATTGTAAACTGTAAAAAGGAGGAAATTTCGATTGCAAGAACAAAAAACTGAATTGATGATTATCACATTAATGTTGAGCAGGATGAATGTTTTACTCTTCACCTTTAAGGATAAAAATTGCTCTAACGATCTGAAAAAATGCTTCTTATCATCCTTTTTAATTGTTTAGGTGACCTCAAGGCGTTTAAAAACGAGGCAGATTATAAATTTCACACTAACTCTAGCACGACGTTCGAAAGGGGCTCCGAGCACTAAGATAAGTACCCTAGGATGAGATAAAATAAATCAGTTACCTCGATGATAAAAATAGTATTCTAGAAGATGGTAGTGAGAAATGGGTAGCAAAAAGGCCAATGATGAAAATTTCGGGCTTCATGATGGAAAAGGAGAATGAAGATACAACCTGTAAGCCAGTTTTAAGCCTTAAACGAAATAATTTTGAGTTAGAAGACCGCATGAGCATAGGCATCTTCAGCACAACTAGAGTAGAGAAAGAACAAGCAAAACAGAAGATGCTCCTCACTGCAAAGCTTAGTCATTAGGTTGGCTACCACGTAATACACTGACTTCACGGTAGCCTAACAAGTTAGGGAGTGGCTTCACACTACCTTGTCCGCCTCATCTCAGCGTCAGCCAAAAGTAGATGAGGGAGAGGGGGGACTTTCGTTCTACGCCTTAAACTGACCGTCTTGCTCTGTTCTTGCCTCTTATTACTGCCAGCATCACCACCACCGCGACCGTTGTTAGATGCTAGATGGGTAGAAAGGCAGCGAGGGACGGAAAAGAAGCCAACCTCCTACTAAAAATAGTAGGCAAATATTCGTGCGCGCACACTCCGAGTGACTCACTGGGCCAAAGTGGACTGCGTTACACACCCGTCACCGTTGGTACGTGTGTTGGATTGAATTTCGCCATCAAGACACCCTCAAGAAGGCGAAATCGCGAACAAAAATGCATGCGCTAGATTGGACAGAGCAAAGGTCAAAGCATCTAACTACACAGACTGTCAGACGCAGAGCTACCACGGAGTCGGAGTTATTCGAGGGTAGTGGACCTGCAAAACACAACTTTGAACTCAGATAAATAGAGAAAAATTTGTAAATAGCTTCAAAGGCAGTAGATGCAGAGTCGATTGCAGCTGCATTCATGAAGAACAAAGAACCTTAGCATTGACTCGTGAAAACAGAAGAGCAGCACTTGAGGAGGTTACAAGGAACCTGAATGTAAAGGCTGTGGATCGGTCCATGTCCTGATTAATCACAGCCCTAACGTTAACTGACTGTGCGGGTTTCACCGTCTTAGGATTTTCAAGTAAAAAAAACTTCGGGTGATGAGAATACCAAAATGGTGCAGAAGGATAAAGCGTCAAAGCGAACTGAAGGAGTGGGCTTTTGGTAGTTCGGGCTCCAGCTAATGGCATTAATGAAGTTTTCGTAAGGGCTAATCACACGATTGAAGCGAGGTGTCAACCACAATCAAGTGGGCGAAATGACATGGCTCACCCCTTGAAGACGGGCTGGAGCCGCAGCAAAAATTCCCAGACTCCAAATTTTGGTACCAAAAATTCCCTCTTTACTATCAATATAAACATTATATTGACCAAGGCAACGACTTCTTTGACTGTTATGACCTTGGTACCACCAAAGAAACTGAAAAGGACTGACGACTTACTTGCACGAAGTGTTTTGACAGCAACCAGAGTGGTGCCATTCCAGACTGCTTTATAGACCTCACCGAATTGACCCTTTCCTATACGCTCTTTGAGAACGACGGAGGACTTGGGGATCTCCCACTTGTCCACTGTGTTGTGTGAAAGACCAACTGGGACGGGATGAACGGGCTACAGCCGAAGAAGGCGAATGCAAACACAAAAAGACGACATCAGATTACGAACCTATGCTTGGTTAAGTCACCATTTACGATATCTGTGAATGAGAGAGGATGAGCACACAGTTTTTAACGCGATTGGTACTCCAAGTAACCAGGGGATTGGATTATCTCGGAGCTCATATATGGTGATTGAAATGCTGTTTCATTAGAAGAGTGTAAAAGAATGTATTCGGACCCTTATAAACGAATTCAGCGAATCCAACTATCATGATTTCAAGAACATTACAAAAGTAGGAGATCTTGGTAATTTTACTTCATAGCAGTACATTCACTCGAAAAAACACGATATCCAGATTACAAAATTGTGCATAAAATACCAAGGTGCATTGGATGTTTGACCAACGCAGCATAACTATACGACTATCTTCGCATTCCCTTTCACCATATTTCTTTAAAGAGGTGCCCCAGGTCTAAATTCATTTATTCATTGCATATGATTAAGCGATTTTATGAGGTTCACTGGTCTAGGAGGAGTCACCTCCGCACATCTAAGACAAGCTGCTGACGCCAGACTGTCGGAAAACATTAAGGTCAAAGTTGCGTTTATAAATCGCCAAGTGAATGTCTGCAGATTTGTCTTACTTGTATCGAAATACCACCCAATCAACGGAGAAATAATTAGGCAACAGAAAATCATATTCAGCATCTTTTGTACTTTGCTGAAGAATTAATAAGTCGAGGGTGTATAAACTATAGCAGATTTCGGAAAGCGCGACTAAAATCGTTCTGCTCAATAACAACAGCTATCTCAACTAAGACAACGCAAACGTGTTTCTCTATTATCAAACATACCGGCGAAGTGGGTCATGTAATACCTTGACTATTTGTTTATAGCTTCATTTCAACTTAAAGGCCACTTAAGGCTCTACTTCTGTACTTCCGCTGAGCAGCGTCAGGTACTCAATGCGTTGATAACAAATGTTCTGCCCAAGTACCATGTCTTCTTTCGTCTTCAGGAAGTTTTGGTACGCTACATTGATGTTAGAGAAAACCGAACGCTATCCTATAGGACAAACACCTTCGGGTAGGAGAATCTGTGACAACCTTTAACAGAAGGGTTGAAAATAACGTCTGCCTTCTTCAAATGCCCCAGTCTCCTGATCTGCAGAAATGCTATTAACAACTGAAGCAACACTGGCCGTGAAACATCCGGAACGATTATTTGCAGAGCTGTCCACGGTACTTGTGCGAAGATGCCAAAGAAGTGAACACGGAGTAACTCCTCCATCTCTCTTCTGGTTGGGTTGAGCCCAAATAGATATGACTAGGGAGCACTGAAGTGAGAACAAAGCGCCAGGGTGGAATTGATGCAAAACCTTATGCCCATGGAATTATTTCAAATCCCGTCCTTTGTTATCTGACTCCGCTCTTAGGCCAGTGTTCCTACGACTAGCAATGGATATCCGAGCTGGCCCACACATTCGCCTCTCCCCAATACAGTTCCCAAACAAGGCAAAACATTAGATCCAGTAGAATTGCCAAGAGGAAACAGTAACGTGGCAGTCTTCTCAGTTTCATGCAAATTCGATGACTGACACGGTTGGGTCATGAGTGTTTCTCTTACGGCACCTGCTACGTTGTGATGGCTGACGCGGGTAGTAGACCAAGGGAAGCGTCGCGAACGGTAATCAAAAGGAGAGATGGGCTGTTTGTTTAACTCTTCGTTTTAATTTACAGACACTTTAGGCTCCGCTTCTGTACATCCGCTAGGCGGCATGGCCTCTTGACCATGCCAGTAGGGCCCCCCAGCCCTTCTGTACGTCAGCAAGATATTTTCGGCCCTAGCATTATGACATATTTCGTTTGCAGAAAAGGCTCGGAACGCCACACTAAAGTGATGCCAACTATCTAGATTGGAATCTACGCCGGCTATATGGATTTCTATTTTAATGGACCTCCATAAACCTCGCGAAAACCACCAAGTAGGAGCCTTTACAACCAATGTGCCGAAGTAAAGCGGCAGTCGGGGAACCATTAAACGTCTGCAAAGTTTGTAAAATCTACTTAAATTCAATAAAGTTTCGTGGTTTATTTAGTAGAAACGATATTCGGCCCGTTATTTATTCTTAATGCCATGATGTTAGCCCGAAAAAACAGCAAAGGGGAAACAAGGGCATGATTTAGAATGTATTAGCTTAAAGGTAATGTTAAGTGAAATCAAATTACACCTCAAGTAAAATATCATGCAAAAGCCTGATTGAAAAAACTTCGTGCAGAACACAAAATTCTTGCGTTTCGCGGCAAAAATTCCAACACACAAGTAAACCGAAATATCACCTTAAGGTCCCAAGCAAAGACACCGAATCACCGCGAATAAAAAGCATTTTAACAAAAAATCCACGAAAGCTGTAAGCCCAAACAATTAACCAAAATTCAAGTTTTCAAGATATCCTTTTTATAGTTAAGGGATTAATACAATGCCTTAATTTTTTGTTCAACTCTTTGATTTCGTGGTCACTTAAGTATCCGCCTTTGTACTTCCGCTGGGCGGCATGGCCTCCTGGGCATGGCAGCAACCCCTCAGCTCTTCTATGAGTCGGCAATCCATATTCTCTGCTAGCATGATGTCTACTTTCGTCCTCACACAATTATAATGGTAATCTCAACCTTAACTCAACAAGGAAAATTCAACAAAATGGAATGAACGCTCAAGACTTGGCGAAGCTAAGAAACTCCTAACAAAGAGCGCCAATACGAAGCATTAAGAAAAGCACCGGCTACATCAAACCAGCGGCACGCAAATTTAACACACCCTATAGGTCTAAAACTGCGGTGAATTAATCGGACATCTGACAGGGCACACAAATGTCATGATATTATTTCAGGTACTAAAGTAATCATGAGAGGGTGTGTGTGCATGTGGATGCATTTCCTTGCCTACTGCGCAGCGAATGCAAATACTATGCAAATACGGCATTGACAGCGGCTGCCGCAGCAGCATGGGCGACTGGAGAGCTACACACCTTCCCATGGAAAGTCCACACAGAGAAGCACTATCTGCCGCATCGATATCAGATAGGGAGAGCATCAAATGACGGTGACATGACAGCGTTCTTAATCTTTCGATGTGTCCGAACAGAGGATATGACAGTCTCGAAAGCGATCTAGAACATTGGGATGGTGTTCAGCAAATAGACATAACTAACCTCACTCCCTAAAAAACACATCTGTGCCAGTCTACCTTGTGAGCGGCATGTAAACGAAACAAGTGAATTAATTTTTTCTCCGAGGTCATGCTAATAGATAAGAGCTTGACAATAGAAAGGAATCGGTTCTTTTTACAACATAAAATCCAGCTGGTTAGGGATTCGCATCTTCCGACCAAATCTCTTTATTACGCAGTTGGATGTTAATGAGCCCACACGGTCAGCGGATGAAATATCAAAGACGCTGTGAGAAGTTTTCACAAGGATTTGTAAATATGGCAGACTGTTTATTGCACAACATATGGTAGGGAATGAGTATTTCTTGATCGATCTTAAGGAAGAGGAAGCGGATATATAACTCTTTTCTTCAATGAAAATAAAAAACTTGTTGCTTTAGAACTACTTGACCAAATGGGAAAATAAAAGGCATGCATAGCCGTGAACGCAACGACGATGTCAAACGACTGGGGAAGCAATTTGACAGTTTTAGGATGACAGCATCAACAGTGGCAGCTGCAAAAAGCTCAAAATGCCTTTCAAAAATACCGTTCATGATGCAAATTACGCAGGACACGTGACAAAGCAAGTGTAGTACTTGAAAATAACCTGATTCTCTGATCGTGATTTTAAATTAAATGAGGACTTGCCACAAAGTTAAATCTAAATCATGTTATGATTTACAAGCGCGCCGTTAGAAAATTGCTTCTTCAATAACTTCTTATATTATGACTTCTTCGTCGACGGTTATAAAATTTCTTGTGCAGTCTTCGGTGGTCTTGCAAAATTTTCTCGCGCTATTTCCGAAAAAAAAGCCGTTCTCCCTTGATCTAATGCCCAACCGTCAAGAGATGCTGAAATTGACTGATTGGTGGCCACTTCGGTGAAATTCTTTCCGAAGGCGCTTTTGCTATCTCTCATATCTTGACTAAAATCGCCTTTCAGCGTCCCATTGCTTCGTTTCCCTGTTTGAGCTAGTTTCGTCCCCTCAACTTCTGTTAGAAAAGCTGCTCTAATCAAAAAGTATAAAAAGGGACTGCTCTGGTTTTAAATATGGGGAAATTTTTTTAATCAGCAATATAAGTATCAGTGCGATGTGGTATCTAACACAAAATATTTTGGGAAGCAAACACCAAATACTGCTGAATAGAAGGGATATGGAAGATGCTAACATCGCCAAAGACTTCTAAACCATACCATTTTCGTTTCTGTGGAACTGAAAAGATTCCTCTTAAAATTTCACACAGGATTCATCAAAGCTATTCCGGATTTTGCATGAAAACTTTCGTTAAGTCGCACCCCATAAGGGAAAGGACGGTACGTAATAATCTTTCAAGTGACGAAAGAAGTCAGGGAATCCACCTGAGTCACTTGGGCAACGTCATGAAGGTGAGTAACGTTCTTTTTATCGCGCCATCTACAATATAATCGCATGCTTCAGGGGGACAGGCCCCCTTTTGCGCCCCTATGTAGAGGGGTGAGGGGGGAGGGAGGGGGACCCACGCAGCCGTAGCTTCTACTTTAATGACAGATGTAACAAATTGTTCGCGCAGCCAACCCCCACCGACGGGTCATTGGACCATGTGAGAAGAGCCACAGACAGCCAATTAACCAAAAGAGAGGCGTCTGCCAAGATTTGCCCGAAGGATGAGATTGAACTTAGGGCTATCAAACTCTCCTGCTCTTTTTCATGGAAAAAATGAGACAAAAAATTCTTCCCCTAATCTTAATTACACCATATCCACTTTGATCAGAGGAGACACACAGAAGATCATACCTTGATGCAGGGGGCAATAAGTTCGCAACAGAGGCCGGATTGATTTTTCATGTAGTGTTCCACAAGCTGTTGAATGCTGGAGAAGGGAAGTTGGCGTGAGATGAAGTAGCGTCGCACCTCGGGATTTGTTCTGGAGGGTCGTGATCGAATTCGATAGTGCTTGACCACATCACCGTCTCGTACTTCAAAGGAAGGCAATGCAAAATGTTGATTTTAGTTAGATATGTGATTACATGGGCCTTGCCAATCTGTTCCGATTCAGCCTCCATATTGGTGCTACTAGGGCCTACTAGGGGTTCTAGGCCCTTCCCAAAGATATCACTAAATCTATTCTGGACTCGTATGGCTCGTGGTTTCTTTAGGAAGACCTCAGGCGCTAAAATTCTGTAGTGCACCGCACTGTTTTCGGAACTAAAGTTTTATTCTCGTCTAAAATGGAGACCAATCAAAACCATTCAAATGGGTGGTAGAATTAGAAAAATTAAGAGTAGGTTTCAGTAAAAAAATTGTAACACTAAGGCCTGGCTGCAAGGTAAGGGAATGAAGAGACTCACAGATTACGAGCAAACTATTTGGCATTTCCCCAGTTAGAAACAAGTTAGGGATTTGGATCGAGGCTTATTTAAATGCTGTTCAGTTGATGTAAGTCGTCGAGCTTTACTTAAAAAAAAGATGTCATGGTAACCAAACACGAACGTGACAAATACAAAGCAAGCCAAAACTGAGTTCTATACAAAAAAATTGAAAGCACATTGGGGCTAGACCAGATTAGCGTGAACGTAAGGGGACTAGATACTGCAATACTACAATAAAAACGGATTTTTCATTAAACAAATGAAAAAAAAACAATAGGTTTTGCAATTGCCACGAGAAAACTGTGACCTTTGCGGAGACCTGGGATAATTTCTAGTAGCTAGCAGAAGACTACAGTACTGTGAAGGACCAAACTGGGACAGATCGCAATCACGGAAATTTGCAGGGAGCAGTGTTTACGTGCCTAAAGCAATGCAATGGAGCACCAGGAAACGCCGCCCCGAATGTAAAATGGCAGTGAAGATGCTGATAAGAGGCAAATTTTCACTCTGAAATAACCTAAAAATGATTAGGAATGCATGCACGGGTTGCGGTACTGTGGCAAAGGGATAATTATTCTAATTGTATTTTACTACAGCAGTCATTTCAGTCCCTCGCGACTCGACTCTTCTCTTATCATCTCTGCTACCGAAATCACAGATCCTATTAGAAAAATTGCCTCCAAGCTCATGCTTAAAAACGTCTTTGGGTGCCGCAGTGCTTCAGATACCATGTAAAAATTAGTTTTTGCCAGCATTTCCATACTCGTAACTCCGTTTGCCAAGAGGAAGAAAGCGCACACATTAGAGACGATTTTTACTGTCAAACGGCTCGGAGAGATGGAGAAAAGGCATACGCACACGTTTTACGTGTGGACGAAAAAGATGTGACCAGGGTTTGGATACCAATGATTGCAACAGTGAGCAACCAACTGGAAAGAAAATCTACGAAAATAATCATTCGAATGGAGAGTTATTTTTGTGCACAGATCGTTTTAAACACTCAAATTCTCTTAGAATTGACACCCCAATTTAAATGTAGGAATGCTTCGCAATCTCGGGAAAATCTCATCAAACAATGGCACAAACGCATTTAAAGACATTGGAGGTACATCTGAAATCTTCGACGCCTATTTTACCGAAGCACCGGGCTATTTGCATCGCCAGCTAAGTTTTGATTAAATTTGAATTGTACTATCATCTTGGTAACCACCCTTATCAATCGGAGGAACTCTGCCACAAAGAGTCGGAGAGCATGAATTTTTTGACCTATTTGTCTTGAATTTCCTGAACACGCAGGTGTTCAATCACGCAAAGGCGTTTCCCCAACAATTTAGGTGGATTTATGGCCTTTCAAAAGGGGTTCGTGATCTTAGACATGCAAACCTTGACCACGGAAGGGAAAGATCAGCTGGTGGATAGAAGCAGCTCATCGTTCAGGTTGCCCATTGGCTGGTTGGTGGTTAACCTAGAGGGAGGCGATTATTGGTCGAGGCGGAGTGAAGATGACCTTCGGGTGTGCTTGAGGGAAGAAGTGATGGTAGAAGAGGAAAAGTACATGAAACGTATTAATACGTCCATAATGCGGGCTTAATGCCGGTGTTTTGCGCCGAGGCGTGCGCACACATTGAGGTACTACTTTAATCATCGGAACATTGTGATCTTATTACTTGGCAAATAGTTGCATGAACCAGGTTAAAAAAGAACGTTAAAACTGAACAAAAAATAGGATGTTCATAGCAAAGTTTCAAAATATGCGAAGTTATCCATCAAGAAGAATAGTAACAATTACAAAAGGAAACCCAAAGGATCACCCACTTACTAGCTATTTAAAAGAGAGTCCTGAGAAAGTTCGTCAAAAAACCACAAAGAATCCAACTTGTTCTATTATTTAGGTAAAATATGGTTCCATCTTATGAAATCAAGTCAATTAATCTAGTTGTTTTATCACCATAAGATTGATTATGAAACAGTTGAGAAAATAAAATGAGAATCAAGGAATCCAAGCAACCGATCAGAGATGAAATCCCGATTCATCATTGAGAACATCAAAAGTGGAGAAAATAGATATGGAAGGTTTAAGTGTCGATGCACAGAAATAGCAAAACATGGCAATTATTTAGCGTCAAAAAGGGTCTACTTCGACAGATTTAGACAAATAAATCGATGATTACAATAAAGGTTGAGCCGTTACAAAGAATTTGCTCGACAGTTGCCCTACCTGAGAGCGAATATTCCCCGCTTCTGGATTCGCTAATCCGAACAAGAAAGGAGCCGTGGTCATTTCCTGGCATCATCAAACAATTCTCTGCTTCTAATCGCCGCATATCGCCAAAGTGCCACCTGCAGAAAGTTACCAAAAAACCGCTTTTAGCATGCTGTATTAGTAGATTTAAGGACGTCATCTCTGAGCCTTCTTTACATCATACATTTCTGTCCTACTGACGACAACAATAATGGTGCGGACGCAATCTACATGCCGTCGGAAATGGTAGAAGCATCCTTAAACCATTCATAGATAACTCAAGGTTATAGGAAAGAACCAATTAGGTCCCTCTGATGTCTTACAGTCATTCATTTCAATCATGTATTCAAATGAGGAGAGAAAAGCGAATACACATAAATGCAAAAAGCAGTCTCACCAAAGAGACCTACAGCTACAACAGCCTAGGAGGAGAAGAGAGGGAGAAACATACTCATTTGACTCGAGACTGGTGATGGGAGCGAGGTAATTGAAAGGCACGTAGCCCATTTTTCCAGTGGCGGCGCATTTAGCATACCACCAATAGCCTTGCGACCGGTCTATGACGTAGAAGTGCTGACCCTTCAAAATCGAGAGGTCATCTTCCACCCGCGCCGTGTAGTCGTGAAGGGCCACGTACTTCTGGCTCCATCGACGGTAGGTGTCGCCGGTGGAGTGTCGGGAGGCGACAGGAGGAGCTGCCGCCACCGCCCCCACCGACGAGGCATCAGGGGGTCGAGGAAGGGAAATGGGGCGACTGGCAGGCGTGGTCTGACACCCTCCCACAGCCGCCATCGCCATCGTCGTCTGTGTGACAGTTGGAGCCGTTGTATTGGCCGGATGAGAAAGGGGATCAGCAGTGTAAGGAACGGTGTGCATTCGATTTTGCCGTGCCATGTAGGTGGAGCTCCCGTAGGCCACTTTGTGGGGCGAGATCTCGGGCTTACTCCCATATGGGACGCAATCCTTCTGCTTCTAGGAATTAAAATTACCAAAAAAGAGGGGGCTGCAAATACATCAGTATATAACGTTAGAGTAACGGATTTCTATCGTCAACCGAGTTAAAATATGCAAAGAATTTAAACTCATGATTGCTACACATGTCTGTGGACTTTTCGGCACAAAGTGTATAACGATATGAAAACGCATTCCATTCGAAAGCCTTAAAGTGCACAAAAACATAGGTTTGAAAACTAAAAGAGAAGGTACATATGCAAAACATGGCAACAACCCCCACAAATTCAGTAAAGACAACACTTTAGCATCAAATTCCAGAAACAACCAATTTTAAGGCGATTGAAAAATATTATATCGCAAAAAATTAATTCGTTTTTTGCCTTGAATACAAAACACCATGCGCATTAAAAAAGAACATTAATCTTTGGACAGCTCGAGACTTAAGCACCTTAACTGCATGGATATGGTAAACAGAGCGGAATGCGTATTACAAAACACAAGGGTTTAGCAACAAAAAAGTGGTACAAAATATGTCAAAGTGTGGACAAAAAGAAACAGAATCTTACACTCCTAGAAGGTTTCCAGCGGGAATTAGGGAGTTGAGGAATGCCACTTCCCATTTTTGGACGTCTAGGTAGAGCGAATGAACGAGGAACTATCATATCAGTGCTAGACTTAATGCTCGAGCGATTGCCCATGAATCTTCATAAGTGGCTAGAACTTAGCCGAAAACGCACTCAACCAATAAGCCTGGCGATTGCGGCAGGACGCAAATTCACCGCTGTCAACCTTTTAAACAATATATAACTCGGGAAAACAAGAAAAATAAAAGGCTAGAATAAGGGACCCCTAAATAGTGTACAATTACTGCTGCGTCAAAAATTTGCTGCATTGGCACTAGGCAAAACTATTAATTTTTTTGCTTAAACTACAAATGTAATTAGTCTTTTTGTTCATAAGTAAAATTTTTTATTATAAAAACAAATTGTTTTAAAAGGCAAATAAGCGTGAACAGAAGGGCTTGATAGACAATGCGACTACATGCCTCGGAACCCAAGGACCCTAGGGTAGCAGACATTGGATAAATAACAAGTGGCTAATTATTTGACTGGCGGGGTGTATTTTAACACGATGGTGGTTTATCCCTTGGTATTAATGGGAAGCGACTTTTGAACTTTTGAATTTGCCTCCCTGTACCTCGCTATGCTGGCCGGCCTTCGGGCTATGCCAGTAGCTTAAACACCACTGTGCTCGGTACATATTCTGCTCAAATATTGTCTTCCTTCGTCCTCAGGGAAGTCCGGAGAGGATGCAGCATACTAACAAAATCATTTCAAAAATGGTAACATTTTGGTTTGGCTGACTAAATTACCAATGCAAGTGAAAAAGAACAAAGGCATACGAGGTTTTTTATCATCGATTTGCAATAAGTTTTCGCTTTCAGTTTAGATCAGCTATTGCCACATCAAAAGTGCAAACTAACGAAGCAGTATTAGCAGGTAAATTTGTTTCGTTACCCAACCCTTTTTTGTTTCAATACACTGTCTGCGCCTAAAACGTTTTTTTCGTTTGGTTTTTTTGTTTATATAAGCCGTTTTAATTGAGGCACGTTTATTTAAAAGCACTTAGTCGCGGATTCTCTGAAAATTATCGGTCTGAGTATTGAAGGTGAATGCTAGCATACGGCATTTAATGAGCCGTCCTTCGCTGTTTTACTGACTTCTCGTCTAGATTTTTTGCAGACCTACATTTTTTCCTGAAGCACGCTAAAACCTGATAGATTTTTAATGTACGACTTTCGCCCCGCAGTGTCTTCTTTTACTACCTTGCTTTAGAATTTTTCCATTTTTTCATTTACCTCTTTTGTTTTTGCAGTTGTTTCTAATGGTGTTGCTGAGTACGTTGCGATTGTTCTGAAATCTACTTTTTCATTCCCGTCGGCAATATGTCCTGTGTTTTTTCTTGTACTAGATCAAGAAATGGCTGAGCAGCAGCAGGAAGAGGAGAACCTCTTTCCTATTGCAATCCTTATTGACGAGCTGAAAAACGAGGATGTGTCTACCCGTCTGGCCAGTTTTAAGAAGCTCTCAACCATCGCCCTGGCTTTGGAGCCGGAGCGCACTCGCAATGAATTCATTCCTTTCCTAACGGAGTCCATTTATGATGAGGATGAAATCCTCTGTGAACTTGCAGATCAGTTAGGCAAATTTGTTCCTCTGGTGGGTGGACCTGAGTATGTTTCCTGCCTTTTGCCTCCGCTTGAGGGGCTAGCCTCAACGGAGGAGACAGTTGTCAGGCAAAAAGCTGTGGACACCCTTCGTAGCCTTGCTGGAAGCTTCTCAGCACAGGTACTCGCGTCTCTTTCATACTACTCAGTGTTTAAGTGGTGTATCACGCAAAATGACCCTGACCCTCGTTGTTGATTTAATTACCAACTTGTTATTTTTAAACTCACAATCCCAACTTCCCTCATGTGAAATGAATGTCAAATGTTTTAATTCATGATTTGAGAGAATTTGCCTTATGAAAAGTGTTTTATTAGCATAGGTGCCGATGTCCGTTCCATGTATACATGATGTTTTTTATTACTATTTTTTTGGTAGTTAACCTTCCATCCTCGAATCATGTGTGTCTGAACATTTAGCGTTACTCCAAAGATTTCTGACGAGCATTTAGGCATGGCTTCTATTTAGGTTATCTGTACTACTTCTACCGGTTGTGGTTACTAAGGCTGTAGCCTTTTTTCATGTATCGAGCAGTTAAACTTTCGATGTCGACCTTAATCTAGAATTTGGTCGAATAGGTCAGAGCCGTATCATAGATCATGGCACCATCCTTTCATCTGTTGCCTAGGCTTCTCAACAAATAGGTTCGTGAAGTTTTTCTTAATGAGCTTTCAAAAGCACTGCCTTTTCACTCCATATATACACTAGGCCATTCATTATCGACTTTCTGTGTTTTCTACTCTTATGTTTGGTGTTTTCATCGAGGCGCTTGACTGTCTCTATTACTTCATACATTCGGGCGTGGCTTCTGCTAAGGACAATCGCTCCATGCTCAATCATTTCATATCAGCTTTGTCATGAGTCCCTGGACCTAATATACTACTTGATTGTGCAAGTGTAGGTTGAAGTATGCACAGTTTATGAAAGCAAATTTTTCATGCCTTTTATAGGCTTTGGAGACTCATTTTATCCCGATGATTGAGCGCCTGGCGACTGCCGAGTGGTTCACCAGTCGCATTTCCGCCTGCGGTCTATACTCAGCCGTCTACAAACGTGTCTCGTCCCAAATCGCGGCGGAGTTGCGGAGCCAATTCCGTCAACTCTGCAGCGACGACACGCCCATGGTACGTCGCTCCGCCGCCATCAACCTTGGCGAAATGGCCGCCTGTCTGGGTTTGGACACCCTCCGCTCCGAGTTCCTCCCCGTCCTGGCCAACATTATTCAGGCATGTCTCATCCATTCGGCCGGTTTCCGATTGTTCCGGTAGATGACTACTCGTTTGTTTATTTTTATGCAGAAAGACGAACAGGATTCGGTGCGTCTACTGGCAATCAATGCATGTGTAGCCTTTGCCGAGGCGTTGCCCACGGAAGACGCGCAGAAGTCACTGATGCCTTTAGTGCGCGATGCGGCACAGGATAAGTCCTGGCGTGTTCGCTATCAACTTGCCGATCGTCTCACTGATCTTCAAGCTGCTGTTGGTCCCACCGTCACTAATGAATTCCTTGTGGATGTTTATCAGGTGCGTACCTTTCAAACATTCCCTCCAAGCCTTATCTGATTGGAAATTCTCTTTCGTGACGTTTGTTCCGCAGCATTTCGCGCAAACTAGGGTTGTTATAACCGTGAAATTGGCAATGTCAAGATTTTACGAGCCTCATCTCTTGTTTGTTCGTAAATCGAATGCTTTCCTGCTTAACCATAGTAGGTTCTGGCTGCGATTGCTAGCTCTTTAATTAATTCCTTGTCAGGTGTTTCGGTGTTTTTGTTTCGATTTCTCCCTAGTGAATTAGTCCAATTGTCGACTTCGGTTCTACTTTTGTATCTTAATAAGATGCATTACCTCTGCTCCCTTTTGTCGTTTCGAGTGCAGTTGAGTGCAGATTATGATTAGCTTTTTTACTTATTCTTTTCCCCTCTTCGTATTGCATCGTTTTTGAGCTGGAGAGATTAAGCGAAATGTCCGCTTTCTTGCTCGACGAGTGCTTCCTTGTCGATTGAATAGTCAGAGCTTGCAAACTTGTGCTCACGTCACACACACATGGCACTGGGAGTAGGAACAGTGGGTGAATGTGAAAGGATTGGTTTTTTTGATCCGGCGGCTAACGTTTCTTGTTTACTTTGCAAAAACTGCGAGTTAGTAGGAAGCAAAAACGGTCGTCTATATTCAAGATAGCAGGGGTGCTGCAGCAACACTCGGCTATCGTATCAGCTGCTTACATACACGCACCACACGTGGGTGACCGCAATCTCAGTGGTACAAAACTTTGCCGTCACTACATGGCCGTGGTTCTGCTCTTCTCGAGTTTCGTTGTTCCGCCTTTTTCAGCCGACTTTCTTATTGAGGAGCAGATCAATCGCAAATTTACATTGTGGATTTAGACCAGTTATCTGCTGTACTACTACTACCTTCCTCCCTCAGTTTGCCTTTTCAAGTGTAGGACTTTGTTGAATCACTTTATATCCAACCTTATCTTAGTTCAGCTTTCTGCATATCCATGACCTGGGCTTTTTAGCTATGCAACGCTGGAATAAGGTTATCTAGTAGCGCAGCGTGCTCCTTAAGCCCTTTCGTCCATTGGCACAAATAGGTATATGCTTACGTGCGACCACATTTACTTAGAATCCACTCTAAAGCCTTTCTTTAACATCCCGATAAATGTGCACTTGTGGAGTTGGGTGACTTCCTGTCCGGCGTAGACTGCACGGGTTCTATTTTCTTCATAGAGTCTGTAACCTCCAATTTTGTATGGAATATGTTCCCGTCTATTCAAATTTACCCGTCAACAGCCCTGTTCGCGCACTTACGATCACCTTTACAATTACGTTTGCTGCTTTTTTCCAATATCAAACCAAGTAAAGAATTCGAAAACGTTAGGTGTTTTCCCTAAGCCTTTCATTTGTTTCCATTTGTGTGAATCTAGCTGCATGTGCTTGATTCGGATCTTTACCATAGCTACCATATTTGAATCGCTCTGTACTTTAGAAACTTTCTATTTTGGGGTAAATCCTACGCATCTTCAATTTTTATCCCAGTTTATGTGGGAGGGCCATTCACATTTCATTCCAATAAACTAGGCTTACTGTCAGTTCCTCCTTTCGTGCACCTACGATCGTATTTTAACTATTCATACATCTCTAACCCCAAAATAAATGGGAAAATTCAACGTCATGAACGCATATGGTTGTATGCATTTCATTCTGAATTCTATTGTATTTCAACTTAGTAAATAATTAAATCGCTGTCCTCTCAGAACATAATAGGTTGAGTTCCTCTCACAAATCTTCCATTTTTATTTCATTCTGTGACTCCTCTTGTTGCAGTTTTTCATATTCACCTTAGCGGAATTAGAATGGTCCAAAAAAACCTCGCAGTAGCTCGGTTTATTTACCTATGACCTGAATTGAGTGAATCAGTGCAGTCCCTTCTTCGCTCAAGCTAAACCGAAACGGGCTTTATTGCAGTATGTGACGTGCACCTGCGTGCTCACGTGATTTCGTGCACGAGCGTAAGCAATCACCTCACTTACCGCCTTTTTCTTTCACTGCTAGATCCTCCTCAAGGACGCCGAAGGCGAAGTGCGTGCAGCAGCGGCGAGTAAGTTGAAGGTCTTTGCGACAGCGCTGGCGCCAGCGGAAGCACGCGAGTCAATCATCATGAAAACCCTCCTGCCCATAGTGCGAGAGATGGTGAGCGAGACGAACATGCAGGTGAAGACGGCTCTGGCCGGTGTAATCATGGCACTGGCGCCTCTCCTTGGCAAGGAAAACACAATTGAACATCTCCTGCCTATGTTCTTAGTCCAGCTCAAGGATGAAAACCCGGATGTGAGTTTTGAAATGACTTTTTGATTCGTACATGCTAGGATTATTTTTAATCCATGCACCTTATCTTGGTTTTTATTAATCCCATGGCTTGAATAGGTAATCTGGTTGAGCCAATCTAGTGGAGAACTTCGCTACAAGTTTCAGTCTTACTTCGTCCAGCAAGGCTTTTAAAAGTTTTCCCCTCAAAGAGCTAGCGAGACAGACTTAAGCTGACCCTCGGCGATAGTTACAATTCTCCCTTGGGTGATGTCGGTTACTGAGGTTGAAAGGAATATGTTCACTTTAAACACTCAGCTAATTCCAATGCGAGTTTCAAGCTTTGCCTTAGTCTAACCTTCATTGACTAACATAATTTCTAAAAGTGTAATATGAGTGACGAGGTGCACTACCAGCAAACAGATTTTAAAAATGATTGGCAATAATTTCCCATAGGAATGTAAGCTGAAAAGAATGCATTGAGGTTGTAGTCTTTTTAAGCAAGTCTAGGGAATTGTTCAATGTTTTGATCTGTTCCTGTGAAAGGAGAAGGGTACAAGGCCTTAACGGTGGGTCGATTGGTACTCTAGTACAAATTTGTGAAGGGCAGGCGAATAGAAAAATGGAAGTGATGGGATTTTAAACGGATTAATTAGGTCAAATAGAGAGACTTCATTGTAACTCATCCCCGGTATGCACTTTCAATATCCCTATTTGTGTAACTACCATTTGCCCGTGAACACAAGCAGTAAACATACGGAAAGACGTTATTTTTTCCAGCGTAAGGGATTTAAAAAATACCTCTTCGACGCGTAATCGTTCTACAGCTGATTTTAGTGAGAAGAGTAATGAGCGGAATTTTAAGAAGTGGGATGAAGTGGGGAACTTCCTCTAGTGCGGGGTAAGTAATCGTTAAGCGGAGCACGAAATGCCTACCAAGTAGGTCTTTCTACTGTAGACTCGTCATATTGTTGCATCAGATAGTATTGCACACATATCGGGGATGACTTGATACTTTTCAGAGTTGTCAGACAGTTTGAAAATTGCCTAGTCCACGCGGTATAAACACTTCCTGTGTTTTGCTTTCGCTAGCCTTGAGGGTTTGGACCTGAATGGCGGCATTGCTATTAGAGGTGGAATTTTTCGTAACAGTAATTGGCGCTGGTTTGGCATCGACGCTTACATTTAACTTTTAATCATTAAAATGTAGCGAATTCGTCGTGTCATTCCCACCAAACTGAGTTCTTCCATTGTGTTCCTGGACCAGCAACCTTTGATATATTTTAATGTCAAAAAAGGTGAAAAATAATTATTTACATATTCAAAGGAAATGCAGCTGAATCTGATGGTCATTAATTTCAGGCTGGTAGTTTTATATCACCTTTGGTAATCATTGCTGTCATCTCTGCTAATCATGTCGAGAATCTGCACTTCATTGGGAGAGGTTGTGAAATTTTCTCTAGATGCCTTTGTTTACAACTCAGCTTCATTCTCTTCATAAAGGTCGTCTTGAAATTTCTTGGCTAAATGGAATTTCGCCTATTTTTAAATGTTGATATCTTATTTTTGGATGTATGGGGAGGTTCCTTTTCGTTTATTTGACGTCTGTTTTAGGAAATTTTAATAATTAATCGGATCTGTGAATGGGATCCTGCAATCCATTCTTTATGGGAGGTCAATGTGGTGATCATGTTTTAACTCACAAGGTAACGAAAAGGTTTTGACTGATGGATCATGTCAGTGTCACTATCATCGTTATGGCCTCTAAACGCGGCTTTCACTGTCTCAAGAGGAGCTATTAAATATAGATTCGTGAATTGAGTGCCATCTTTGACTATTTGTTGATTGCACACTGATTTCCTTTGTGTGGGCATTGGGGGAGGTGTTTCCCAGTTCTTATTCAAAGTCCTGGTAGCTACCATCCTCGCCTTTCTTTACCGCTCACTGATTTAAATTTATGCCTGAATGTAATCCTTAATATGCACTTTCCATAACTTGATGAGAATGTGACAGCAATTTTGCTTTCTTTGTTGCCTGACAAGGTGACGTGCTTTCTGGAACCGGGTTTTGCGGTTGCCTGGTGTCGAAAATGGGTTAAGGTGCTCTGGGTGTGTTCTAGTCCAGTCTGGTGTGCAATGCCAAGTGGCTTCTAAGAGTTTAAAGTCTGTGTTTGCACCGCCTTTTTCAGTGCATCTACTTATCTCTCGTCGACCAGTGATGTGTTTTAGGCGTACCTGGTTTGACTACGAAATTTAATGCAAATTTGAGAGCCATTCCGCTCTTGTTGCAACTTATTAAAATAATTTTTTCCTAGAGCTGGTGTTGACAACTGTTCCATGCAGCTAGCTGATGCCAACCTGTTGTTGTGGGCGTTGTTTTAGGTGCGTCTGAACATAATCTCAAACTTGGAGTGCGTGAACCAGGTGATGGGTATCACCCAATTGAGCCAATCCCTGCTGCCCGCCATTGTGGAGTTGGCGGAGGATTCCAAGTGGCGCGTACGTCTTGCCATCATCGAGTACATGCCCTTGCTCGCTAGCCAGCTGGGCATCCAGTGCTTCAACGAACAACTCACCAATCTCTCCCTCAACTGGCTTGTCGACCATGTCTACGCGGTGCGCGAGGCTGCTGTTTCTAATCTACGTAGCCTCATGAACAAATTTGGTATTGAGTGGGCCAATTCACAGGTCGTTCCGAAGGTATGACCTCCATCTTTCATTTGTTTTGATTTTTCGCTCTCTTTCAGGCATTCTTCCGTTAGGCTCCGGCATTCATGGTCTCAGCTTGCCTTCCGAAGGTAGCGCTTACGATTTCACAGTCTAATTCCTTCCCCTGTCTCTGCTGGTATTTGAAGCGGGGAGTGGGATTTCCTTTCTGTAGACACTGTTGATAGGAGGCCCTCCTGGTGTTTCCATTGAGATGCCATTAAATGTTGGATTGCTTTTTTACTTATTTCGAAATCGTTTATTTTGGATCCATTCGTTCGGTTCGAGTTCTCCCATCAGTCCATCCACCCGTGCGTTTTTCATTTATCCAACAGCCTCCTTATCCATCCTTCAACACGTATTTATAAATTCATCTTTCAATTATTTGATCCATCCAGTCATCTATTTCTGCCTTATTTAATCTACAGTCAATCTGTAAAACATGATTTGCCTTTTGAAAGTGTCTAAACACACTGCCTCGTCAAAACTCATAAATAGTCTTTGCCTCAAAAATGGACCTCGGAAACGGTCGTCAGGGTATAGCTTCAAGGAAGGAAGCTAGAGGCATTCTACGAAATCTACTGTATGCATTGAGACATCTCTTTAAATCAGTGGTTAGGAAACAGCCAGCCATGCAACTTCACCAAGAAGGTGGCGTAGGTTTTTTCCCTGTAAATTAGCAAAGAACATACTTTTTTCTCGCCAAAATCTTTAGTTAAAAAACCATACCGTAAGCGCTGATTACTACACTGTTTTGCTTTCCCTTGCAGTTGATCCAGTTGGCGAACGACCCGAACTACCTGCATCGGATGATCTGTCTGGCGGCGCTGCGTGAACTAGGAGAGGCGGAAATTTGCCATCAGGAGATGTTGCCAAAGAGCCTCTTGCCTACCATCACCCAACTCAGTACCGACGCTGTTCCCAATGTCCGGTTCAAAGTGAGTGTCTCTCCCATGCGCCTAGCAGCAGTTGAATCATCTTTCTTTACTGACTCATCCATGCCAGCCCGCTCAGCCACCACTTCCATTTCTAACTAATCTTTAGGACGCAATAACCTCGATAGCACCGCCTTTTGACGTTTCTATTGCTACAGTAATTGGATTTAGCTAACGGCTTTTGTCCATATTTTTTGGAGCTCAGCCTGCACTTTATTGACTTAGATGTTTGCACTTTTTGCCATAAGTCGAGTATGCGGGCATTCCGCAATTAATTCGCGTTTCTTCTGCCTCCACACCGCTGTGTGGCGCATTAAGGTCTTCGGACGCCATTAGTCAAGCCCCTACCAACTCCACTTGGCATCGTATGCGCGCGCTCTCTTATGGGATCTGTTACACGTCGGCTGGACTAAATGTAGCAGCCGATAAAGCTGAATATTTAATCATTCTCATCCACCAGGAGTGCTAGCAAAAGACCTACTTTATAATGTCATCTCTCCCCACTTTTACTCAGTCGTCTTGCTGCCGTCTTTTGCTAGGTTGCTCAAGTGCTGGGTAGGCTGGCGCCCTTTCTGGACAGCAGTGCAATGCAGAACTATGTGAAACCGACGTTGAAGAAGTTGGGCACTGACCCTGATGCAGACGTCATCTTCTACGCGAAGGAGGCCTATGAATCACTCGCTGTCACTGCACGATGATTGGCTCCTGGTGCCACCGCCGCCACTACTATCACTGGCGCATCGTTTCCGCAGATGGTCGATTCTGTCGCCCCCACCTCTCCTTCTGATGCTGCTGCCACCGTCATCGATTCCCCATTTTTATCAGACTGGTCAGCACATACACGCACATGAACACAACTACACCTCTTTTCCCACCTTCCTCTCTCCTTGTCTGCTGCTTGAATATTTATACACACTCGTGTTTGAGCGAAGGCGTGTATCCCGTGCACATTTAGGACGTCTCTGCTTCCACCTTACCCCACCCCATCCCACCTTCCCCCTCTTCTCTTGGATTTTTTACAGAGTAAAATGTGTGCGTTCCACGTCCTTTCCCCTTTGTCTTCTCTCGATCTCCCTCTTTCGCCTTCACATCCCAGCCGATGACCCGCCTGCCTCTGTACGTCTATTTATAAACGAAACAGACTGAAAGAAGGCTGTAAATTTCATTCTTCTGTCAGCGTGTTCGGGGAGTGGGGAGATAAGAAGGTGCGAGGAAGATGGGGGGGCGAAGCGAAGCGACTGATTTCTAGCTTCCCCTCTCTTCTCGTCCGCTGTTCCCGGTCTCCCCTCCCCCGCTCCCCCTCTTCCTCTGTCTTTGCTGCTTCCTCAGTCGCACTCCATTTCTACTACTGTGTTTCGCAGTTAATGTTGATAAGAGTGGTGCCGATAGAAGCCGTGACCTTTTTAGGGCGTCTTTTGGGGACATTAGACCTGAAGTGTCATTTGCAGGGTGTGGAGTTTGTGCGGTGAATATGCGACTAAGTCCGGTTGGGGAAAACGTGGGGCGATACGCTGATGGCATTCGTTATAATAACCTAGTCAGAGATATCATCAAATTGTTTGGACTTCCACTCGTGAGCTGGTGTCGTGCGTTTGTGTCATATTTTTACAAGGTGGCAATACTCAATGAATGAAGTACCACGTCGAGATTCATACGCCAAAGTGAACGCAAACGTGAGGCCCTAGTCGACGGGGTCATGTTAACGTTTTGGCGTCATTAATGTGATAGGGATGTAATCTGATAACTGGCGGTGAGTCCGCTGTTCGTCTTCTCGTTTATCCTAAAAGGTGAGTTGAAGAGTTTTTAAAGTTAGCATTCCATTAGGCACAAAACTGGGCAGCTGAAAAGACAATTTTTGCGGACCCGTTGCCTGGTAATCACTTTTTGGATACAAACTTGCATGCATGCCCGTCGGATTTGTGTGCTAATAATGGACTGTGCTTTGTTCATTACTTAGATGTAATCGGCACGGAGTATAAATGGGGGTCATACTGATAGTAATAATCAGCATTTTTATTAGCATATGTGATGGTTACACAGGGGATCATAATCCATCAACGATTTTCGGGAGATCACGTAGACTGCAATTTCGTCATCGTCCCTATGGGGAAAGGGGATAAAAATTGTTCATTACAGTCTTCATCATTAACGCCAAAAGAGGTAATGTGTACAAGTAATTAACCACACAGAAGCCAAATTTGAGGGGGAGGGAGGTGACAGGGATGGGGAGAGTATAGTTTATAATCAAAGGGCCTCGAAAACGTCTACTCGGCGCTTCGTGTTGCCATGACGGATCTTGCGGATGGTGTCAAACTTATCCGCGGGTATTGTGGGTGTCTCTTCCTCCGCTCCAACGCCGGTATCGGTGGTGGTGGTGCTGGCAGTGTGGCCGTTTCTCCCCTCTCTACAAGGTTGATGTTGTTGCTGCGATTTCTGCAGCTGCTGCTTGGGTCGCAGCTCTCGATTCAGTTTCCGTAATTTCGCTTGAAGCCTGGGATCTCGACTTATCGCCGACTGCCGAAGCTCCTCGGAGCGCAAGTTCTCAACCACGGCTGGAGGGAATTCAACTTCTGGAATGACAAAATTAATGGTGTGAAGGGGTTTGGTGCGACTAATATCACGTGGTAGGTCAAGAAGATGACTCATTTGATCACCAGCCCACTCTCCTGATGCGGTTGGGTTGATTGATTGCGCCGAAACACAACAAGTGATCGTGTAAAACCTCTAGTTTCTAATTCTATTTCATTTTAAAATTAAAGAATGATATCCGCATCCGACATCTTGAAAATGGTGTAAGTCCTGTGTTTAGCACTTATTTTTAGAGGCTCAAACTAGCGCTGTTTTAAGAACCGAGGTATTTTATTATCGAAATCAGACATCAGGTCGTACCGCTGTGTCGTGGATTCGGTTTATTTGCCTTTGTTCAATTTGTAGAATGAGTAATCCCTCATAAATTGACCTTGATTGTTCAACAATTGGAAGTAGAAATAGTGCATAATATTAAGCAGATGAGAAGCCAATAATAAAGTCACAAAGGCCGGACGAAACTCAGTGGTGATAAATCGCTTGGCTTATAATTAATCCATCAACATTGTGCCTTGAATTCACTTTCAGCCATGATTATGCCGCTTTTCACAAGTACCGGTCTCGTGATAAATATAGGATCGTAACTTTTGGTGTTGCATACGCAGTGACATATTAAGGGTAGGTGCAGGTAAAAAAGATTACGAATGAACGTATAAATTAATATTGACACGATGGTGAGGTGATATTTCGTCCTTCCAAAAGCAAAAACACGCTCTAGTTGAAAGTTATGGGTACTTTCAGCACATTCAAAAAGCAAAGCAGAGTACTGAAGAGCTCATTGGAAGAGCTGTAGGCTTACAAAGATGTCTGAAATCAACATAAACCCGGACCACTTGTAATGCTTCATTACCTATCTACAGGCTTAGATTAAGTGGGTTCTCATCCATTCATGAATGGGTGCACATATTTGACTTCAGCCATCAAACGGTACGGCCACCCAATGGCAGACACGGAGCACCATATCAGGAATAAGCACACAAACATCACAGACAGAAGATACGAAAACACTGAAATGCGGAAAACATTGAAAATTTGGCAGTTGAGCGATTTCAATCACTGACAATTAATTTCTGATGCTGGGTTTTTAGGTACTCAAAACAATGACTTCTGTTTATGCGCATTTAGTGGCTATTAACTCTCACGAGTGATCAGTTATTTGTACCACAGTAGGCGAATAATCAGGTAAGTGTTTGTCTTCCAATTCAAACATTGAATTTGTCTCTATGCTTCAACAATTTATTCAAGTCCAAAAAATAATGTATCATTAAATAATTATAATTTATAGAGATGGCTCAGCCTTTAAAGTGCAAAACGGCGGTTTTGAACTGTTCAGGGGAAGGGCTCAAAGTTAATGCCGATTTCTGAAATCCGAATTCTAGAATTAGTGCTAATGATGTGTGAAATGTCAGCGATAACCATGTGTGATTAGCACACGAGCTTGTTAATGCACAGAATGGAGTATTTCGATGCGGAATAGAATATCTAGCAGAAAGACCGCAAAAACGAACCGTTATATCGAAAATGTTCACTTTCGCTGCAAACATTCAATGTAGCCATAAAGCTGCGTATAAACTCTTTATATTAAGTTAAAAGACAGGAAAGTCACTGTTTAGAACTATCAACGTTGGGTTGGTTCTGCACATTTACCTAGAAGCAATGATTTAAAATCTCACTCCTGATAAGTAGTAGCCTCCCACTGTGATACCACATATCTTAGATAGGATTATTATTGTCAACCTTTCTTAGCATTTTTTTGACAGACAGCTTTTTAGTGCGCCACTCCTTTACAAAATTAACTGAGTAAGTGGGCACGAAATAACGGAATAGCGTACTCTAAAAATTAATAATTGCTAGTTTCCATGACCGGGAGAGTGGGATGCGGATATGGCTGGCTCCCTTCTTCAGCCTATGCCTAGCCTAGCCAATGAAAGGTGCTTTATCATTTTAAGCCCTAGAATAAGGCAGCACGTTTGACATAGGCGTTCCATATGTGCACGGCGCTGCACTTCCATTATTTGAGCCGGATGTCACAGCATGAACTGATGTGGAACATCAGTTCATGCTGACTGCACTAAATCGTGTCGCAAACAGGTTGATGGACTTTGCGGCAATGAAGCAGATGTGATGGATTCATGCTCCGAGAATTACGACACGCCTTTATTTTCCGGTCGGCAATTAGATTGGTCAAAAAATCACTCTAAATAGGTACCACATCAGAACAACAAAGCGTCCAAGAGGGAGCGGTCGATTTTCCTCTGTTAGTCAAGGGGAACTCATGCATCATCTGTATCACCACAAGCTTTTCGTAACTATTCTGTTAGCGAATGAGGGCATGACACCCCTAGAAGGGCAATTCCGTGTTCAGACGTCTTGAAGTAATCGTGTGACTGACATTTCTTTTTCATCTTACACGTTTACTCGTTTCACATAAGTAGCAGCTTCAGGTTCATTGGAGCTTGACGATTGCTAGCGTTTTCCACCACTGTTATGAGAATATTTTGACCCGGAAGCCCCACATCAACTACTCTAAATACACTATTCAGTGATTTATTTGACCATCTTATCAAACGAAGACAGCCGAAAGTTAAAAAGGTAAATAGGACGTCTCCGACTTCCGCGATTTCTTCATCCAAGACGACGTGATCAATGATTCCCGGTCAGAAAAATACAAAAAGGGGTCGAGTCAGCAATAGGGCTTAACATTATGTTACTCGAATATTATTAATAGCAGGTAGATGGCCTATTCTTTCAAAAAGTACTGTTAAGGTAGAAACATAGTTTCAGTTTAATAACTTTGGTAATGATAGCTTATAAAAGTGAATCATTGAAAAAACTACACCTCATTTTTTGGCGTGCCGCAAACAGGCCATTAATTGTGGCACAAGTAGGTGCTTTCTGATACTTTTTCTTCAAACAATAAAATTAAGTATTAAAGCGCTTTTGCAAACCCGTTGATTGAATTGACCAGAAAATGCAGAAGACTCTTGAAAACAAGTTGAATCAACTGTTTTGTAGTTTCCTTGCTTTATGTCAAAGTTGAATACGATTTACATCCGTTCTGCATTATTTTCGGTCCCTATTTCATAATGAAAGGTTTAAGAAGGCTATTTAAGGGTGTGTGATTTTGTCGTTCCGAAAATAAGACGAGAAAGCCAACCATAAAGCGCAATGGAAAAGCGGTAGGCGCTAACAAACCAGTTCGTTCCGTCTGGACTTAGTCAAATGCTTTTAAGTGCCCAAAATCTTTCAGAAGAAATGGTATTTTTAGTTGCCTAAAGTCATTAATGGTAAACCGAAGGTGTAAAAATCTTCCAAATGCACTTTTGAAGCTTACCCGAAAGCAAAAAAGTTGATGCAAATGAACAGGAGACATAACAAGGTATTAAGGCATGGCTTAAGAGTAACAACTTCAAAATTAAGCTCTCTCTAGATTTAGGATGACTTTATGTAGAACTTATGCCTTTCACTCTGAGTGCATTGTAAAAGCAGCGAGCTCATGGAATTGGAAAAATAACTTGGAAAGGGCTTCTCAATTTGGATTGTTTGAAGAGTTTATGTTTAGATAGGTAGCAACGGTGGTAGCTGGTGTGTTTTCAAAGGCAAAAAACAATTGGTTTTTCCAATGGGTCGTGCACGGTGAAAAAGGACCCCTTCAAACCTGAACATGTCAGTAAAGAAATCTCTCAGACCGCAGGTTACTCCAAAGCCATATGACAAGGCCTAGTAATCTTATCGCTAGCGGATAAAAAGGTAAGTCCGTTAAAACTGTCCTACCTCAGCTACAAGTTGCTTGATATAAAAGGCTTGAAGGACTATTCCAGGCTACAAACTCTTCAGCCAGCTCGAAAATCAATGAAGAGGGGCAATCAGAAGAATAATAGGAAGGCGGCAGAAGTTAGCGAAACAATTCGTCTGGCCTAGGCTCACAAAAAGTCTTCAATGTATACAAAATCATAATAAAGTAATTTTTCAGTGGTTTAAGATTTAACGTGGCCATCAAGTGAAGGACTTTCTGGGCGAAAGTGCGAAATCGGAAGGCGTAGGTTTGTAGCGTTCGGAAACTAATGCAAAATAGGGCCGTAAGAAAAGTCGTGCTAAAAAAGAGGATTGGAAATCCGCTTAACGTTTGGTGGGAATCATTCGCCTTATCCAGGCAATTTATTGAGAGAAAGGATTATATCTAAATAATACCATTATAAGGACTTGCAAAATGTCCTTTTGATGAAATCAGAAATAAGAATTACCTTAACATTGGCTCTTTAAACCAGTGCCGCTGAAAATGAACCGGGTGCTGGGGAAGCAGTATGTGTGTTGATAATTATGTTTCAGTTAGGTAGTGAAGGAATGAACCATTTGACAAATTACCACACATACAACACAGGAAAGGATGCGCATGTGGCTTAAATCTGTCTCCCTAAAAATTCTTTGGATCGTATCCTCATACCACTGCGTGATATAGAGTCGTCAAACCCTTGGTAATGGATGAAAAGTATTTGCAGGTCCGGCGAAATGACTGTTCCGCAATTGCGTATTTTCCTGCACAATTAAATCTGCGTTGGTATTCGATTTTAGTGCATACTCAATATTTAAAAGTACATTTTACTGGTTGAGGATACTAATGGTTTAAATGTCTTGGAAGCTAGTTTCGAATGTAGATTAGACCTATGGCGGAAGGGTGGTAAGAACCAATGAGGCAATTCTCTCGGTCCAAATTTAGCGAAATGCCTTAATGTCTGTTGCATTTCTGAGTTCAAAAATAGAAAAAAAAAAACAGAAAATAGAGGTGGGGATAGAAGCCGAGCCTGAAAACAGTTATATTTTACAAATACTGCATGTATTCATGGTTAAATACTCCTAACTTGCTCTCTTCTCAAAAGTAGTTAAATGTTCCTTTTTGTGGGGTCAAGTAGGATTTTTAAGTAAACCGTATCTCCTTAAAGTGGATAACCAATATGCCTAAAATGAATAACTTTTAGCAGTCTATGTTATCTGTGGCAAGACTTACTGCTTCTACCAGACAGTGAGGGTAAGAATAATGGATTGGATGATCACATATGTCTGGCAAAACAGAAAATGCATTCAATTTAAGTTCCTCCGACCTCATTTCATCCCCACATCAGGTGGCAAGAAATCGTTGCCTGATCAGTGAGAGGGTAAGGAAGGTTTTTGCGAGAGAGTCAAAACCACTTTTGTGTGCTAACATTCCACTCTGTTCACTTTAATTGGCACCATCATTTGTTCTGCCCATATTTCGACCAAATTTGGGGCTTGCATACTTGGATACGGAATATGCAATGAATAAGAATTTCCAGTCTGGAAAATTAGAAAGCCCACAAAATCTCACACTTGTTTAATTTGCTTGAAATAGAGGAAAAGTGTTTCCGGTAGTTTCTAATTTGACAAAATGGGCAACATAATGTAGGCGATTAGTTGAATGCATGATGGACTCCGCTCCAGAGTGGAAAAAAGAGCAGAAATTTTTATTAAAAAAATATGTATACATTGAGTATAAACTTAAAATTCTAACGCATTTCAAGTACATTAATCGAAATGCAGGGCCTAATACATAACGGTGGATCGAAAAGAAAGGAATATACTTAAATACATATTTTCTTTGAAAGTGAGTCGCTACCGCCACATTAATGGGATTTTTAGCATTTGCTTAACATTCGCCCTCCCACTCGTGTTGGTTGAAAATGACGATGACAAGCTATTAACAGCAGTAACTGAGGTCCTTTATGTGAAAAAGGTTTAGTTATTTTCCATTAGGTTGGAAAAAATAAAAAATATGAAGAATCATGTACATGTACAGCGAAAAATAACATATTCTATCTATTTGTCAGCTAAACTGTTACTTTTCTCTCATTTCCCTCCCCTTCACACAACCACCTTGTTTGTCCATACAATTCAGCCTGTCCACCTACCTTTGTTCGATGGTGAGGGAATACGAGTTTCACTATCAATGTCTTCGTCCTCAGTATTACTGTTACCACCGGAAACAGCAGCAGTAGTGGGATCAGTCTCCCTCCACGTAGACTCCAGCAGTTCCACCACTTCCGCGGAATCTGTAGTTTCCAGTCTCTGACGCGGCAGTCGGCACTTCGCCCCCAGCCACCGTTTGGAAGGCTCTTCAGCAGCCGATAGAGTGTTAGGTTGGGGTGAGGAGCGTCGACGTTGACTCCCTTTGGGTCGGTTACTAGGGGGTGAGCGGGGGAAGGAGGAAGAGGGAGAAGAGAGGTTGGTAGGAGTGATTGTGGAGGTCGCGATGGTAGTGAAGGCATGCAAGCTGGGGCGCCGGGGCATTTCATTAGATCTCAGAGGAAGTTCGTTCGGGGGAGTGGTTGGAGAGGCTGCCTTTGTGTAATTTGAATTCGCCTCGTCGAGGGTCTAGTAGGAGAAAAATGTTGAAATGTAGAAGGGATAGCCCTATTTTTAATAAAATCAGTTGATAGATGGGAGGCCCTGTGGTGATAATATTATGATTAATAATTCCAATAGAGGATCAAGTAGGGGATACACCGAACCCAGCCTGGTCTGCTGGCGTAGTGACAAAATTATCAAGCCATTATTTATTAAATTTTCCGACACCATTACACAATAGACCTGACACTTTGCCCACAATATCGAGCATGGGTAGTGTGCATTTTGCCAGCTCTATCATACTTTTAGTCGTGAAACCGATAAAGGCAGTGGAGATAGGTCAAGACATAAAAGAATTAACTGGTGCTAAGTCCGTCAATTTATGGATCGTAAGTGACTCAAGCACTTTCGGTTCAAAAAAATAAATTTTTCAAGATGATACAACTATTTGAGGAAGTGGTAGGCAGTGGTGCATTAAAGGCTGCTTCTCCATTGTCGCACATACTACTCGAATATTCGTTGGCGTACTTTTCCAGTGATAGGTAAGAGAAAATGAGATTCTTTACTTATTGGCTATCTTGAATGAAATAAATTAATGGAAATGGTTTATACGGTTCTAAGAGCAGTAATCAAGGAAATGAAATTTTACCACCTAGGTAGAGCATCAAAAGGTGTATTGTAGGTACAATCTGACTTGCTGAATCAGTAGCGGCGTGTTGGTTTATTATGAAATGCTCTATTTCAGCAAGTATGTACTTGCCATTTGTGAAGTAATTTTAAGCACTACTGGTCACCGTATCAATTTGGAGAGTCCACACAGTTTAAACCACTAGCGAAGTTTTTGACGAGGCTAGATCTAATGGAGGAATAGTTGACATGGGAGTGCAAATCTTGAAAACATAAACAGAGACCAAGGCTGCGAATATCGATGAGCTGCAAATAACTGCAATGGAAGCACTTAAACCTCAAAATGCTTTTTGGAAGCTTCAAAAGCTACTTTTAAGGAGCCCTTCATGATTTAATTACTTCCTTTGGAGTTCCAAACCTCTTCTTCATCATTTAAAGTAAATTAATGGCCATTAGTAGTGTGTATACAACCTAATTAACTGTCGAATCACAGCTTTTTTGGTATAGGCAAACAAATAGGTGCCTTACTGTGATGATAATAGTTTTAATTTTTAACTTATAAAAGTTGCAGTAGTGTAATCAGCGGCAAAGAAAAAAGCCAGATACAATCAACCCAGTAGTTTGTTACGTGAGACAATATTGGCTTATTAAGAACAAAATTGTGGGTTTTTTAACCCATCTATCAGTATTTTCGACAATATTCAGTTTTGAATGACCTTTGCCCTCTAGTTTGCTGTGAAGATGCGCCATCAGCACTAATTCAAATGCTGTAATTTGGAGGCATTAAAAATGAACAAAATGTCATCTATAGAATTATCATTGGAAAAATTAAAGGAAAGTACTCCAAACGATCAATTGTAGGGTCAGCCTGACTAAATCGTTTGTTTATGCACAAGACGTGCTACACTCAGGGGTTGAAAACTTGACAGATGTTTTAAATGAGTTGCATTTTTAAGTTATTTTAGCATTGTAAATTGCTTTTGGGGGAAAAATATTAGAACTACTAAAGATAGATAATAATTGTATATCAATTTCTAGCATGATTTCAGCAAAGTTCATAGAGGTTAAAAAGGGTTAAACGAGAATTCCACCAATTTATCAAACACCAGACAGTATGGAAATGTCCTCCAGGGAGATTCGAATGTCAAAAGAAATTGTTAAATACATGGAAAAGGTAAATATTTATGATCGAAAAAGAAATGTCTTAGTAGCTAATAAACTTCAGTAACAATTCTTACAAGATGCAAAGAGCAATCATTTTATCCTAGCAAGCTTTTAAAGATGCCTCTCGTTACTATTTGGCCTAAATGGGCTTTTTACTAATAAAGCGTTGTAATATCTCTAGGTGGGAAAAAAGCAGGCTCCCTAGCGAAAGGCAACATTTTTAATTCTTTTGTCGTAGAGGTAGAAAATGGGCAAATAAAATTTACACTGCAGTGGCATTTCATCCGTTAGGTTACGTGCCAAATGCAAAGGCATCACGTGTATCAGAATTGTCTTTGGAATACGGACATAGGTATGGGGTAGCCCCCTCTAATTCCATGCATAGATAGGCAGCTGATTTAAAGTTGTTTTAGCGTGGCAAAGAGATCGAAGGCGCCAAACTCACCCGAATGTTGGATCCCAAAGGTGAAGGAGGACTGGCTGACCTCTCAGAAGAGTGCTGTGAGGTGGAGGTCCAAGAGGTCCTCTGCAAACGTCTCTCCGCCTCCTGCAACCGTGCCTCTAACTCGCGCACCCGACGTTCGGCCTCTAGCCGGGCCGCTCGTTCCTTTGCCAGACGCTCCCTGGAATTAAAATAAGGAGTTTTACCTTGCAAGAAGTGATTAAAGTACAGAAATCTAAACAAGAATTAGGAGCCCAAACATAAGGTAAATCTCGTCTTTTGTCCGGTCTTAGAATGAAAAACCCAAATCTAATACAGACAATGAAAAGTGTAATATTCTCGTCAGCTCAGCACATATTCGAGGGCTTGAAACGTTTTTTGTACCATTAAGTTCCTCCTGCATAGAATCCAGTGGGCTCTTTCGCTACTGAGAATGTTTCCTATGTGCAAAGCATGAAAAATTCTTGCCAGAAGCGTGCAGTCGACACCAATCAGCCATGTCATGCCCCTTCACTTTCCATTAGTATCTCAAAATCAATAGCACAGCCTGAGCACCCACCCTTGAGCGAAACCCCATCTCCTAAATCAAGAGACCTTCGTATGCAGCCTGTCCAATCCAACAGTGAATGAAGATGCTTCTCAAGGTAACATTAATTCTAGTTTCTCCTAATTGAATACCTTGGGCTGGTATATTTAGGCGTATTAATCACCATTTTACCCACAATGTAGTCGTCTTCACGCAGGCCTTAAATGTGGTTAACGTGTTCTAGATTAGAGGAACTGCTCCAAAACTAGGCCCTGTCTCAATTAACCTTTACAAATCAGGAGGAGATGGCAGAACTTTTTATTGTTATATGTCATCCTAACATTTGGCTCACTGACTTTGCTGCTAAGTAAAATATGCTTTGAGGGCCGTGAAAGAAGTTGTTTATTAATACTGGTTTTAAGAGCACTTCGCAGTTATTCATGAGACGAATTTTATCAAGTAGTCTGTTGCCATGTCTACTCTGGAGTAACATGTTCATTTTCTTAAACTAATATTTGTTCCCAAATCCGCGTTAAAGAAGGGACATGGTAGGACTAAACGAACTATCCTTCTACAATTCCTTTTTACTTATTTATCTTCCATATACATAAGCTAAAACAAACATTGACCACTACTCCTCGGCCGGGAAAAAGATTGAAGAGGGGACCATGATGGCACTCATGCGAATGACACTGTAGAGCCATAGGTATCCACAAAACCAGCTGTTGTTGCGCATTGTCCAAGGCATATACACATGCGCAAGTAAAAATTACATGTGCTGGCCACAGAAATAAGTTGAGTAGGCAGTGTCGAAATGAAATGATAATCGCTTTATTTGTGTTAATGGATTTGCCGACTTTTTGGGCCTCTAATGCACGTCATACCCTATTTAGATGCATAATAAAAATCGAAATACATTAGACTACAGCTACTACCAAAAAAGGCATTTTATGCAAAAATATTGGAATTATATTTGCAAAAGAGCGAAAATGGCTCCCTCTATACGTTGATTATAAGGCTACTCTCTCACCCACTTCCCTCATGATACCGCCGAAGGGAATTCAAGCGGTACAACCCTATTGATTTCGAAATTAACGCGTGTGGCATTTGCTTAGCTAAGCTTTGTACATTGTATTATATGAGCAATCAATCCAGCAGCATAATTCTCCGCATAGATCGTCAGGAGGCTGTACCACTGCCAAACGCTATACCAGCGCTGCATCACGCTCCACGGTTCGCATTGCATATAATTAACTCCGACCCTGCATCGTCTGTCTGGCCTGAAGTTACTCATCCAGGCCTGTACTGCCCAAAATGGCAGCAAATACGTAACTAAGATTATGGATACGAAAAATTACACAAGTGTATACGACAGATATGTACATATTGCAAATCTGCATACCATGTATCGTTAGTGGGAGCACAATATTAAAACAGACGCACTATCTGATACGATGTAAACGGCACTTTTATGACCTCCAATAATTAAGTCTCCCAAAAAGTAAGACATTGCTATTTTTTGATGTCCAGCTTCTTGGTGGGTTAGTCAGGATTATTACGATGTAATTTACAGTTTGCTTCGCATTATTTATTAAAAGATGTCTCTACCTCGTTACACTTGATAATTTATTTTTGCGAGTTTTACCTTTCATTCATTTAAAATGTACTTAAAGTTCAAGTTTCATTTGCACAAATGAATCTTTTTCAGAACTGATTAGAAGTGCAAAGAAATCAAGAGATCAAGGACATTGGGAATAATTTGTCCACATCACTCGATAACAGGACTACCTTTGAGCCTAACGATTAACCAATGAGGCGCGCTATTTCCTACCACGGTAGTGAAACACAAATATTGTGCTTCGCATGGCCCGGGTCATAAAGTTACTACGCGTGCATTACGACCTAACAAAGTGTCAGCCATGTTTTGGTGCAATACATGCAAATGGTTTTTTTATGAATGTGCTTGGCGAGCAATAGGGTGCGATACTCTCTGACATGTAGAATAAAAGCTAAGCGACTTTACTTGTTTAGTTTATATCTCCAAAATCAACTTGGTCTCTGTAGTTTGGTATTAGACTATCTTGTGCTTTAACAGTAATTGGTCTTTGCTAGCTGGCTGTAAAAAAAACGGAAGACGAGTGAATGAGAAGCGCTGCAATGCCTACAGTCAAATACAACGGGTGAGGTTTCCGTCTACCTTTTTTTCATAGCCTAGTCGGCGTTGTGAGGCAATTGAGTGTTCCCTCGACTCGTTTTAGCTGTGCATGGCTCCTTGGTAGGTTGATGGAGACACCCATTGCTGTATTACATTAGCCGACAAGGAATCACAGCTCCAATCAGGCTGTGACCGTATGGTGCCAAGCGTAAGTGTAAGCGCTTCATGGATTCAGCTTATGCCTAATGAGAACTAATTTGCCTTTGCAAAAGGCCACACTGAGCCACCACTCATAAGACGCCCATCAAATTACCGTAAAAAGGAGTCCGCTTCCGCCCCGTATCCTTTTCACCTCCCCATTTTGTAAATGGACTTACCTTTTGATGAGTACTTTTTTGCTGTGATGGATTTAACCTGCATGTGAGCAAGAACATTCTGCTGTCTTCAATTTGGAATCACCAAAATACTGGTTGCTCATATCTACTTCGTGTATGAAACCCCTAAGTTCTAATGTTATACTAAGATTTGCTTCTATTTTTATTGCGGTGTGATAAACTATTCTATATTATCAAGCAGTACTCTTTAGATTAAATCGCTACAAATTTTAGTAATTTTGCACTGTATTAAAATCAAAGCATTCTTTGCTAAATTTAAACCCTTTTTTGATTAGTTGCCCAAATAGAACAAAACTGTCCATTGGCTTTGCACGCAGTAATGAACTGGGTTACATGGCTTCGAAATGCTATGTTAGCAATCCAGTGATCAGAAGATAGATTCAAATGGGCAGTGCCTAGTACATGGCCACCTGGCAGCCTGCGAAGCAGTTTTCGCTTTTGCCCCCTTTTCAAACACATAACTCAGACCTGCATGGCATTTTACCATTAATGGACCCTAATTTTACTTTTACGACATATACGATCAGATTATTATTTAAAAACATTCATTTTTACTTCACTGTGCTACTAAAACATGCAGTTGGTAAAAACGGCAAAGTATCCTGCAAATTTTAATTGATCCGCATTAGTCCATCTAACTCCAATAATTATAATTGGTTTGTGAATGGCCTGTCCCTCTTTTTACATTAATATTTTCCGGTCCCATGCTGCAGCTACTTGCCTCTACATAGCCAATAAAATCACGGACGATCTACGTGCGCTTATTACCTAAAGTTTACAACCGTCATGCTAACCACCCAATATTGCAATCAGGGATCAAAAAGAATGTCTGTGCTGCATTAGAGCCATGTGAGAGCAACTTATTAACAGGCCATCTTGGTACCTTATTGCTGAAAAGAAAAAAGGTGTGAGAGATGGAAATAATTAATGGTGAATCAAGGGTGACGATAAAATGACTTCCATATATCCATTCTGCTCTGATGTAGCAGTCAGATTCCTCATAAATTGCTTTAATTTTGCCTTGTTTTCTTGTACGCTTTAGTTTTTTATTGTTTTGACTGACTATTTTAGCGATTCTGAATCATTGAAATTAATCTGCTGAAGATGCCGCTAAATATTATAATAATTTACTATAGCAATATCTTGTTTGCCCAGAAGTAGAACAACACTCACAGATAGACAGTGAACTATAATTCAGTGTTGTATAGTTATGCATTAAAGATGGAAATATTGCATCCTGAAGAATCGTGATTATCTTTAGTGGGAAACCGTTTGCGTATGCAATTGAGGAGCACTAAATGCCAAATGTCCTCTGTTAGGAGAAATAGAATTCGAAAGGCAGTGATTCAATGAAGTCACACCTTGAAGTTCCGAATAACGATATAACGCTTAATGTTTTTGGCATTGGCGCTGTGCATTTCTTTTTCAGACATCATCCTTTAGAATAGAATTCGTCAGGTGTTGTACCTAATGACAGTCAAGCTTGCTACTTCATGAAATGTCATTTTTAGTAAAATTATAAATTTTCGTCTCGTTCTACCACGTTCTTCAAATTCTTCGAGCTTCATCGCAACCAGGGGACGTAAATGCATCAAAATCAAGATAACATCAATGCTCTGATTCGCTACAGCAGTTTTTACCAGCGATATGATAAAACAACTCTTTGATTCTAAATAAGACCGTCTGGATCAGATGAATGAGCAATCCTGTGAGCTCCTTTATCTTGCTCGGCCATTTTACAATTCATTCTCCTGGACTCACCGTTCCAACTCTCGAAAAGCATTCTCCTCAAGAGCCTGAGAACGCATCTGCTGTACCTCAATAGGAACGGGTTGGCGGCGTCGCACGTAGAGCTCGTTGTTACCTATGCATAGCGCTAAAATCTTCTTGTTCACTCTGAGATTCTTGGTCAAGAAGACGAGGTCCTGTTGGAAGACATGAAATGCATACCTTCACCCATCTTAGAGAGAATACATAAGGAGAGAAAAAGGAACATACAGAACTCTTTTTGTCGATCGGTTTGATGGTAAATTTGCGATCGTTATAGGCGATATTGCGGATCTCTGACCAGGGAAAGCCCACCTTTGGATTTACTCTAAAAGCACCAAATGCTTGTTCATTTAAAAATAACCTTCCCATCTACAGGAAAGTATGGTAAACAGATGGTGGAAAAATGAATCCACTGATTCAATTATGCTAAAAAATTAACGTCCTTTAATCAGTAACCTCATTATAATTCCTATAAAATTCCTCACGACTTTTTCAGTAAAATACTAACAATAACAGCAATCCAAACGCAAGTTCCGGTTGACTTTACGAAAAGACTACCAATTCATTTAGTTTGATGAATTTCAAATGCTTTAAATACTCATCTCGTCCGACTTCAATTGAACTGGAATTGTGTAGAAAAAGGTCTTTTACGGAAAATCAAGCTGATCATCCTCGATAGGATAAAGCAACATTTTAAACATTCCCCATATAAGTTCTTCCCCAGAGGATCATAATATCTTTTTCCCCTTAAGACTTCTATACAATTTTAAGTTTTATACTCCGAAGCCCAAAATAACCTCTTAAAATGATTACTCGTAAAGTGCAAAAATGATAGCAAATTGCTCAAAAAGATTAAGACATCTTATTTGAGAACTATTGCCTCTTTTAGTTGCAGCAAAGCAAACTTAAGGTGGATTCATTAACGATACTTTAAATTTGATTAAAAATGTAAACTATTATTAAGAGTTGTCGAGGCGCCGAAATTTCTAATGAATGCGCAACATCTTAAAGGCACGAATGGATTTCTTCCCTACAAGCTCACTAAGTTTTGCATTTTTTTACCAAAACGTGGAAGCATAAGTTTCAGGCTTATCTATGCAGAATCTTTAGTGTCTGCGTTCTCCCTGCCATCATATTGTCATAGTGCTGTTTTGCTCCCCCTGCATTTACACCAAAGGTCTATTCTGTCTCATACATTCCTTGACAGCTTCAGGAAGAACTCTAGCCCCGCGAAAGTCAGGGACGATTGGCCGCTTTCTTCGTCCACACCAAGAGGAAATTGGAAATGTGCCATGCCTATATCAGTTCTAACTAAACGCCTTTTTTGTCCTAATAGTAAGAACTGCTGCTCTCTCTAAAATAATGAAATGATAAGCAAGAAGATTTCGTTGCCTGACATTGTGAATAAAATTAACCTTGTTGAGATCAAATTACTCTGGAAATTGAGATTGTTTATTTACAGATCGTTAGAAATCAGGCTTTTTTATTTCCGCCCTTAGAGGACTTAAATTTACATAAACCATAGCAATAATAAGGTTATCTCGCCTTAGTAGCTTCCAACAGATACTCTAGATCATACCCAATGCCACGACAGAAAATTTTCGAATGTTATAAAGGTTTTTGATAAATAAATGATTGAAAAAGTATGCTTCACCTTTTTATTAATAAATTTGACTACATTCTCCTAGTTCTCGTCTTAATTTTAAGAGAAGGCTTCCGTAAAATCTGCCGCAATCCGACCTTTTATCAACTAATTTAATGTCCGAAAGCTAGCCGCTCAAACCGAGAACTGTTTCAATTTTAATGTCCACTACACTACATAGCGAAACTGGGACTCCTAAATCATTGCATCAAACGAATTTTTGAGTGTTCTGTTTCAGTGGATTAAACTTTCATCTGATGGATTAAAATATGAGAATTGATGTGACCTTTCAAAGGTGTATATACAAAAACAACACTAAGCTATGAAATTGGCCGAACTTTAATCAAATGAAAGATATTTTGACTGAAATGAACCCCTAGAAGCGAACATAGCAGTATTGGGTCGGATGGTTGTTTTTTGTGTTTATTTCGGATCGATTTTTCGAGGACAATTTTAAAAATACCTGAGTGTTTTAAACTTTTCAATACTAGTAACTGAAAATCACTGCAAAAATTATTTTTTGGAATAGAAACAAAAGCTGCAGTTCTTAAGTTAAATGAAATTGAGATGAAGTGAGCGTTTTACAGTCGCCTGCGCAAATTACATTCTGTCAGTTTTGAGCGTCGAAGTAATCAACGAATTTTAAGTCTTATGAGCGAAAACCATCGCTTTTGGCTATTTGGCATTTGGATGAATACCCCGTCGAAGTTAATGCTGATTGAAAGTGATTAAAAACACTGCTGATTTCTGTTAAATTTCAACTGGTAAAGGCAAATATTGTGGGAGGAAAACTGGAAATCACTAGCAAGTCGCTTTAGCTACTTAAAAGTACGCTTCTTTTAAAAGTCCTAAGAAGGTCGTTTAGATACCGTGAGTAGAGTGAGAAGGTTTCATCCTTGCACACTCATACTCACATCTGCAGTCACATGTTCGAGGACTAATTGCGTCGTTTGCGGAAAAACTGCGAACGCCTCGGATGCGAGTGACTGCCAAGGCCGGCAAAGATTGCCACAGTCGAAAACCAAGAAAACTCAAGAGCTTTTTAGAAGGCACCGTAAAGCTACGGTAAATAACGGCTTATCCAAGGTGACACGAAAACATTACTAAGCAGAATCGGGAAATTTCTTAAGACAGGAGTGGGCAAATCAATAGATTATGCAAAAGTGCATTTACAGTAAACCTGTATTTGTTGATTGACAAGTTCAAAAGATTAACCTCAACGCCGTAACAGTTAATGAAAATCTAGATTTGAAGCAATTCGACCCATTCAAATTAATTCACACGGGAAGAGTTCAACCACCGTCTGATAACAATAAATACTGTATAGTCATAGGTTTGCTCCAAAATTGTCAGACTAAGCTAACGAATGAAGCAAAACAGTCCCTAGATTGTTCTGAATACGCAACATGGGAAGTTTTATGACCATTTAAGTGTCACTAAGTGGGAGCGTTTAAAAAAGCTGGAAGGAAGGCCCTGCAGACCATAAAACTTTGCTAGACAAAACTTACGATTTACTGTCAATGAATGACATTCGTTTTAAATGTAAAAGTAGAGACTTGAGGCGCAACATAACTAGATGATTTTGAAAGCTGATAAAAGACTTCAGTGCATAAATAGTCAAAGTGTGACTCGAGACGGAACCCAAAAACACCTCAAGTGCTTGAGCCTACTCGTCAGAAAGGTTTGAGTCTAAAATGGGATGCGAAATTCTAGAAAGAGTAGGAAGTTTTGTTTCACTTATCTAATTTCACTATGGTGCTGGCGTAAATTCGAGCCTTAGATTTCAGGAATCATCGAATAATCTCAAAAACGGACCAAAACATAACCTGGACTCAAAACGTATTCCGCAAATCAGAATTAAATCGAAGTGCAATATGAAGCATTGGCTACAACTTCTTAAACACACTTTTACAAAAGCACAGATTCTTGCTACAAAAAAGTAGCAGCAGAACCTGAGAGCTGGCGAGAACTCTGATGGTTCACAATCAGGCAACATAAGGTGCGACATAGGATTTACAGCCGTTCACAATGCGCAAACCTACTTATCTGGAGGTTTGTAGATAGCTAGACCCATAGCGTCGATCCCGAGGAGGAGGTCCGTGCCACGTCGGTTGCAGATCTCAAAGAATTCCACCCCGTAGGTACCAAGCCCCTCGGCAATTTCGAGGTAGTGAAGCATCGCAGTCTGCGGATACATACCCTGATGCTCTTCATACCACCGCACCACCATGCGGATCCAATCCTGTGACTGCAGGTCGTAATTCACCAAGGTACTATAAACAAAAAGCTATTCTTTTAGCTAAGTATAACACAGAAATGTAATACTAAATTCTTAGGTTCCTTGGGTGGACAGGTTTGCTACCAGTGATACATATATGTGGCGACTCAGAGTACTCATCTAATTTTAATGCTTTACAGACATGTAAAGTTAGGAATTATGGGAAAAAAAGTTGAAAAAACTGTTTTACGTTTAATCATTCAAACGCATCTGCTCTGGAGTGGTCGCTTTCCTGAAAGACCCCTTGGTCTCGAATGTGGCAAGGGTGGAAAAGACCCTAACGTAAAAATTTTGTTCATCCCGTTCACTTTGCATTTCTAAGAGTTTGACTTAAACTTTTATTTGATGGCCCTTTATGCGTTAAAGGAAGGCGAAAGTTAGTGCCAGCAGGGTGCTGCGAATACAAATGTACATCCATGCTAGGCCTTGATATATGGATATGACCTGCAAAATATCCAAATCGCGTAAATTAATACTTCGAGAATCGTTATTTCTGGTATTTTCGGCATCGTTGTTACTTAAATGGCACCTTTTTGGAGCCTACAATCCCTTGCGCATTAGTCATTTGCGTTTTTCTTTAATTACGGATAAGTAGAAAAGCGGCTGTGAGCGCTGTCCTGAAATCATCACCATCCAATAAGGAAGCACTTAGCTGCCAAGAATGTGACTGATGAACTACAATTTTTAAATATGAACTAAAATTATCCTTTACCAAGACTAATTTTCATGGACATTGATCTGTACATTATTTTTTTTACATTACAGCTTAAAATAATTTTTAGTTACTAGAGTTGTTATGACAACGCATCGCACCACTTCCTCAAAAATAACGGGATTCTAGAGTGCCAACATCAAATTAGTTCCCCGTTTTTTTTTAAACCACTGAGGTATCAATTAACGTTTGCATAAATTTCCACTCGCTACTGCATTGGAAACAGTGTTGTACCACAGGCGGACTAGACGCAGATAGCCACAATATTTGTCCGGCATGTCATTTCGACGTGCTTATTCGTTTTAAAATGCCTTAATTTTAAAATCTCGGCCGGTGTTGGGTGGTGATGCACTGAAAGCGTCGTGTTAGAAACCAAAAATCAAAGGAAGTAAATACATGGTGGTTTTGCGGAAAATTTACAAATTTATACTTCATATTTTACTTGTTGTCATTTAGAAGAATCACCATAATTAGGAATTAGATGTAATGAAAACTTCCAGTTGTCGTTGACATTTGATTGCTATCACTTGCGAATTCATTTCCGTTAAAAAATGAATATAACAGAAACTATGAAACATAGACTGAGATTATTTGCACGGAGATTTCACCCAATTAGATGCATTTAATCATCCATTTGCATATAAAAAAGGAGCTCAGGGAGTTAGTTACCATTGTGCTATCTAAAGCAGAATTGTTGCGCAAGCAAATGGCAGAATCACTTATCTAACAAGTATTTCTGCGTGTTTCATTGCAAAGCACAACGTGCAATACCAACATATCTGCAAGCTAAAGTTTGTAAAACAACTCTGTGATAGTTAAAGTCAACCACATTTGTTTTTTCGGGAAACTAAAACCGTTATTAGACAGTTATTTATTAAGCCAGGCAAATGATATTTCATCCTTTCTCCTAATTAGGTAGTAGAAACGAATCAAGTATAGTAGATTTTCCTCCGAATTGCAAGACAATGGTTTTCTTTAATTACAGATTTAATTAATGGCCAAGACAACTTCTAAAGGTTCGGCTCTTGCCATAACATTTTGGCTGTTTTCAAAATGTGTTCCCTTCATTTTATAATGCAGCAGATCGCTGCTTCCACCATATCTCCTAAAATTACTCGACAAAAACAGCTCAATTTCTTCTCATAGACGCATACTTTTTTTTTGCATTCAGTGCTGAAAATGCTAATATTTCTAGAAAAAGTGCAGGACTACTTGTTGGCTCATAAAGTACGATTGCCACCGATGTTTTAGATCATTTTGAAGAGATAGGCCAGTGTCCGTGTGCTTTAACAGCTTTCTGGGCCTTGAGGAAGAGGGACGTAATCGATTCACAATTGGACCACCGTGCACATTGTCAGCACCCCAACTTGCATGATATTTGCATACTAATATGCAGCTGGCTCTATACAATCACCAGCTGCACTTGATGTCTCATTTGGCAAATTATCGAAGAAATGCAAAAAAAACAAATAACTCTTATCAATGCGATGGCCGGAATGACGCAGATCAAGGCAGTTGTTGACCATGATGATTTGCCAATTTGAAAGTAGGGTTTTTAAGTAGCGACTGTTTTCAATAAAATGCCATGTTAATAATGATGATCCCATCACTGGTGCACGAGGGCTTGCTGGTCACCGTCAAGTCTATCTGTCACCTTTGTAACCAATAGTGCGAGCATAAGATATGGCATTGCCTATGACATTCAATAGATGCTGTAGGTGCGAAAAAGAAGCATTGATCGGTAAACAAGTGCTTTGGTGGACCTTTATATTGCACACCCACGGGGAATGTACAGGCAAAAACTAAACGAACAGAGATAGACATTACACACACGGGAATTCGTTCAGACAGTGAGAGGAGAAAAAAGGACAGCAAGATAAATAGGGGCAATAAAGATTGGGGAGTACTAGCATTTTGGTAGCTGGTAAGACTCACCCCTCATCTAGAATGAACAATATGACTTCTAGAGTGGATTTTTCATTCCATGAAGCCTTATTTAGCGGGCAGACTTTACAATTCACATAGAACTGGTTTATTAACTTGAATCTAAAAGATAAGTACCTTAGAGGAAGAAAATAAGAATTATTTTTTAGTCAATTCGACTATGTGAGGGACACCTTCAATGTTGGGATTCTGACGACGTCGTATCAACTTTTCACTTTATTTTTGTGAAGAATAATTAGAAGCACTTCATCAAATTTGTGTTTTTTTACTGTATACTACACAGTCTACTGGCTGCTACTAATGTGGTAACTCCATTATTAAAAAAAAGGAAAAATAAGAGGGAGAAACTTGGATGGCAAACTTACTTAAGTAAGAGCTATCATAGGAGCAGATATTTTCAATAATATACTTATCAATGTGCTCCAAGTCATAGAAAGCAAATCTCGGTCTTCTGTTTGATAAGCACGGTGTTTAATTCGTAATGGTACCCTTCATTGCACAAAAATAATTTTAATAGGTGTATCGGTTACATAAAATAATAGAGAGGTATAAATAAGATAAACCATGTTTAGGACCACAAATTTTTAAGTGCTCAATGAACCGGGACGCACATAGACAAAGGATATTGTGGAAGCAAAAATAGGGCAAAGTCAGCATTACAACGTCCATTGAAAGCATTAAGGCATCTTCATTTTCTTGGCAAAAATGCACACCTATTCCTCTCTCCAGGGTACGTGAAAATTCCTCAAATTAATATGGGATTCTCACTACTTGGTCTTGCATTAATCTAGTACAGTTTCCGTACACATGCTATTCATGTGATAAATATGCGCCAAATATCACAAAAATGACAATTCTTAATTGCGTGCATGGATTTTGGATCGCAGGGGGAGGAAAGAGCTGCAGCACCCCGACATACCTGGATTAGTGATGGCAACGAACCGAAATTACGCCTCAAATAGCATTAGCTTATGATCTTGAAGAAACAACGCCCACTAAGCTTCCAAATTCCAAGTGCCGGAGACTCTCCATTTATAAAAATCTACTGAAATATGCGTTAATAGCTTTAAAACCATACAGGAGTAATTCGAATAAATGCATTTATGCGAGTGAAAATATTCAGCGACATAAATAAGGTAGTTTGTGCTCACAGTCGTACAATTTGGCGAGGAGCCGATAAAGTGGGATATACAAGGAAGGCGGGCGTTAGAAAAATTAAGGAGCATTAAATTAAACTAATTAACACGCCTGAAAAGCCAACGGATCACGGACTCCTGAACCGCATCTATGCTTATGCATAGTATTCACTTACCAAGTCACCAAAAACGATCAAATATAACTGATATTTACGCTGATCACTTTGTCTCTTGGCAGGTTCATTTCAATAAGCGCGCTGCTTATGCAAAATGAATGTATTAAGTGCCATATGATAATTTTTGCAAGCGTATATTTTAAAACGGACCGTATTTGGAGTAATGTCACTGCACAGGTAAAAATAAGCATTAACTAAAACTGTCTAGCACTCTGAAAGCAAAAATGGGCTACCAAGTCTTTAGATTTTACAGGTGCCCGCGCTTATCTTCCGTCCATTGCAGGTAATCACCCATTACCTAAGTTGGTGCAGCTGGCCTTCGCACCGAGTTTTGATAAATCCCATAAACACACTTATTAGGCAAAACAAATGCATAGGCCGCCGCGAAAATAAAATTCACTTTCAGAGGTATACATTCTGGTTTACAAAGGGGAAAGGAACTGCTAAATCCTGAAGCATTAGCTAACGCTGCAAAGGAATAGCACGCGGCTGAGCTTGAAAGCTAAAATGAACCTTCATCTTTTGGTCATCCAGCAACTGAATAAATCCTGCTCATTAAAAACCTTGGGATTTGCTTCGGTCTTCTTAAGAAAAATTCAGTCTCACGCTAATGAATGGCCTTTGGATGAGAAATAAACGTGGTAAGTGCCAGTAACGTGCCAATTTGCAAGCAGACACCCCCAGAGGGACAGAACGGGAACGTACTTAGGTGAGAGGAGTCGATCAATAGGGATAGGGTGCTTGGCGAAGCGGGCCACGTCGTAGTCGCCGTACTTCGCCTGACAGGCGTAGGAGGCGAGGAGTACGGCGGTCTCTGGAGGGCAAGGCAGCTTGTCCTTTAGGATGGCCTCCTTCACCTGATTTGATTCAGCAAAGCATTTACGTTCGTTTGTTATAGTCAATTCAAAAAGAGTTAAATGGGTTCTCTCGAATATGCCAGTGAAACGCGGCCCAAATGTCACTTTGAAGATGTGTTTAAATCAGAAATCAGAAGTCGGAATTTCAATTTGATTTTAATACAATTAAAAGGCTCATTTGATAAAATCCAGCACATAAAAAGCAATAGGCATAGGAAGAAAAGGGAAAAATGAATGTCAGTTGTCTTAAACGCTAGATAATCAGTCACCAAGGTGATGAAAAAGAAATATGGGTGTATAAAGGACCTCGTAGTATGAACTAGTTTGTTTTAGAAGGTTATGACCGACTAAACGAGTGGATTTAACGAATATGATTCTATAAAATGCGACATAGGTCGTCAATGCATCACAAATATATTATCAGTGTAGTTGAATGATGTGTGCAGAATATATCCGAAAATTATATTTAAATCTTAAAAGCACACACTTAACAGAACGAGCATTAAGGTTTTAACTTGTTTTGAAGAAGAGAGCATATATACACATAGGCTTACATCTACTTTCTCTAGCAGAAGCCTAGTATTTACCATGGTTTTTGCTTATTACAAAAAAGCAGTCTTATGTTTTTAGTGTTTAAAGCAATCTTTCAATAAGCTGATGTCTTTTAAGCTACAAAAAATCAGCATTAAGTCGATTTAGTGATAGCTACCAAATGGACGGAGGTCGACCATATTCAGAACCCTAGACCTGACAACCCCAAATTACATAGTGAAGGTAGGTAAAAGGTGAAATGAGAACTTGTAGATGTTGGATAACAGGCACCGACCGTGTGCGAATGACTGTAACTCGCAATAGAATCTTCACAGGTCGGCGATGTTGTGGAAACACATTGTAAATTAAAAGTGGTTTTAAATAACCATAAAACTACTAAAGCTTTATAGACGTAAAAGTTGAGGCACTTTTTGGATTAAAAAAGCTGTATAAACTATCAGTAACACAAATTTAACTGTTTGGGTATTTTTAAAGATGGTGTTTTGCAGAAAATTTTCCATTGGATACATATATTCGAAACAAATTTCACTAAAATTAATGCAAGTGTCAACCAGATAAGCACATTGCGTGCAATGAAATGCTACTGGAATTGAGTAAAGGTGTAAATAACCGGGAAAGAATTATGAATGTCATAAACTGAGGGCAGCCTTCACCCTCGGGAACATAGAACTTGTGTTCATCTTCGGTAGGAGAGGGAAAAGCCATACCACAGGTACATTTGTTTTATATTATTATAAAAGGCTCTGAGCTTATCAGGTAATTAAGAATCACATTTGATTTAATAAAAGAAATTGCACAAACACCTTATTTAAAATATTCAAACATAATAGGCCCAAAATAGCCAAAGTTTGTGTAAGATTCATTAATCACATTTTATTACTCCTTGCTATGGTAATTAAAAGCACACATTTCTATTTAATAGCAGGCCCAAAAGACCTGTCAGTAATCTGTCAAAGCCAAATTGTGCGTCATTGCTCGAGTTATCTAATGCATGCACGACAGCATGTAATTTGCCCTAACTGAATATAGGAGTCAAATTTCATTTCATCAAAATAATCTCACTTGTATGTAAAGATATAGCGGAGTTTAATACCTGTATGTCTACTTGGTTCCATCTTTTCCAAAAGGCGTTGGGCTAATTATAGCATCATACAAAAGTGACTCAATTGCTTGGGAATTCAATCGTTTTTGCCTTCTTGGTATTGTTTCTTGAAGAAAAGTACGATTAGCAAACCTAACATGTACGTTAAAAGACTGACTGATTAACGTCATTTTAATTTCCTATCAGCGACTCTAACAAATATTCTGCTTACAACAAATCTTCTTAATCATTTAATTTAATTAGCACGTGCATCGATGAACAACAAACACAATAATGTATGATGCTCTCAACATAACACGACTTCTTTTTTATCGTTTGAAATTGTAAAGATCAGTTTAATAAGAGTAAAATTTCATAAAATAGACGTCAGATGAATATCATTTATGCAAAGCATAATCAAAAATGGAGTATTAAAACAATAGGAGTAGCTCAATTTAGTTATAGCAGAGATTATATTAGAAATTCATGGGCATGAATCAATTTCAAACCAAGTCAGGTATGAAAACACACTTAGTCATATTTGCCTATAAATATATAAGCATTTAGTCCATATAACAATAACGTGGTTGTTAAAAAAGAACTGGAAAGTTGAAAACTCCTTTATTTGCAAAACTCTTGCAAGCAATCATTAGGAACTGCTAAAGTGGCTATTAATGAATAAGCTTGCAAAATCTACCTGAAGAAAGAAAAGACGCTGGGTAATCTCCTGTATCAATTCCTTCGATGCATGTTCCGGAAAAAATTTCGCACGAAAATTAAACTCAATTGGATAATTTTTCTTTGTATCAATCGATGATATCTGCATTGTGAAAAAAGCGTAGAGGGTTTTACTTTACCATACTTTTTTGTCAAGATTGAGCCAAGTTTCTTCACCATCATTTGTACGGTAGAGCAAACCAAAATACCAGACTTCTCTAAGACCTATTGTTCGTGCAACCTATTAACCATGCAGTAATTCCTGAAATGGTTAATCTACATTATCGAGTAAGCGCTTCCCATTAGTAGATGATTTTACCGCGAAATCCAGTTCTGCTTCAAGTGTAGAAACGCATACATTGATCTTAAAAATAAGAATATGTTAAATCTTACGGTTTTGGGCTTTTTTGAAAAGAATAGCATATTGGATTGAAAACCACACGATTTCTCATTTCCACATTGTCAGCTTTTAATGAAGCCGCGATTTATCTTTGTTTATACCATTTTTAAGGTCGAAATGCCAATTCACAATTCCAACTAAAAATGAGGGCAGACACCAAATATAAAATATCTATTTTTTAATGTTATTTGCTATTTAGGTGACGCGTTTTTTACCTGCAAGGTGCAGTAAAAGCGACAACGATTTGTACCCACCCTACATTTATGACAAACAACACCAAAGTGCCCAACAGCCACACTTCGTTCCTCTACTTGTTCATTTACATATAGATTTTATTACATTGCGTCCCAACGTACCTAGGGAAGCTTTGTGAGTTCTGAACCATTAGTAATGCATGTTTGCGGCGATACCATTTCCCGCACCTTCGATAAGAAAAGTCATGCCGCCTACACAAGGCGCAGAACACACCCTGGCCGAGACTTTTTAGCCCTTTAATCTAATAAGACCAACTGAGATCTTACCCAAGTCTGGCAGGCAACTAAACCCACCTATTTTTGAGATCAAGCCGACTGAGCCATGTTAAAACACGACCCTTTCGCGAAACACGTAATAGCAACGTTAAAAACAGGCAACACTTGGGGAAAAAAAATTTCAGGCCAATTTGTACACGTTGTCCTCGTACACTAGTTCACCATTTCTAACTTTCCTTTCCAAAAACTGCCGCAAATTCTGTCTCGTGCACTCCGCACCGTCGTTAGATCCGAGGGCAAACATCCGTAGAGTCGAATGAATCCTATCCATGGTCATCCCGCCCAGATTGGTCAGCATACCCAGAATGTAAGACCAGAACACCTACAGAATAAAAGCCATAAGCCAATCAAACTGCCACTAATTTAAGTTTAAGTAGGGGCACCACTAAATACCTGTGGATCCGTACTGGCGGCTTCGCGGACTGACGACGTTTCCATGTCCTGTGGACCCTCCTGCTCCGCCACACTGACATCGATGCTTTCATTATGCTCCTCACCACACCCCACTACTGCCTTCATCGTATCATTGCATACACTGTAGGTTTCAATATTCCCAGGGGTCCGTTTTATCAGGCTTCGTTGTACAAAGGGCTGTAGGCTTCGTCGCACTGCTGACGTGGTTGTTTCCAGTTGCTAGAAGGCGCAAAACAGAGGTTCGTTTGAGGGAGGAAAAGATCTATACCTGACCGATATCGCAGAGATTCCAACGTGACTTAAGGGTAAATAGGTGGAGAATGGAGGCTTGAAGAGGACTGACGTCCATGGTGACACTTTGGCCACCAAGTTCGAGGGTCACATTCACCAACCCCAACTTGGACATCCAGTCAAGGGTTCGGTTGCCCTTCATCCTCTCAAAACACCTACGACAAAATGACAGATGACAAATTGTGAGTGGTGACTAAACGAAAGCTTCAAATATTGTTCATGTACAAACACCATAAGAATAAGCTTATTTTTCGTTCATTTTGGAAAAAATACAGAATATGAGACTAATATACATTTCAATAACTTGGGTAAAAAGGATTCGAATGATTGACATAGCTAGGACAAATGATTTTGTGTATAAGAACGACTTCTACTGGAATAACTCCAAGGTATTTGATATACCTGGGTTTGACACAAAGTATATGCTGTTCTACATGAGCCAGGCAAAAAGTGGCAAGGAATAAGATCAAGTACAGCAAAGAAACAGAGCTAAAACTAACTCACGAGGTGAACTGGGAGAAGGCCGGTGTGAGTTTCTCGGGCAGTTTGAATTGCTCTCGATGGAACTCAGGCCAGTACTCGCCTGAGAGAATGTAGGCCTGCAAGGGAAAGTACGAGGAGTTATGCTCCTCCGCCGCCACCTCTGTCCCATTTCCACCCTCCGCTTTCACAGCGTCGGCAATGAGGGCACTGACCCGACGCGAGTCACGAATATCCTTCAGCATCACCTGCGAAGCAAACAAAACGTGTAGAAGTTGAATGTATGAGAAGTAAAGGCATGAACAAGTAAAAAGATAGGATATTTGTTGACTGATAAGTGGCGGGTGATGAAATTGCAGCGATTTCAACTCTCAGAAGGAGTTTTATTTTTAGATGGAAAAATCATCGCTAGCTACATTCACTCTAAATTTACTACTGTATACCAAAGTCTCAGTTTAGGCCTCCCATGCAAAAGCCTTGTTATGCAATTAACACTTACTATCAACGTGCCATACATGTGACGCTAAAGCCTTTATATTCGGCCCCACATGTCACACCTATGTAAAAAGTTCAAACGGAAGGTAATAAATTAGATTGGGAAAGAGTAATGGAATAAAACAAGGATTAGACTTTCCGAACCGCCGATCAATCTACTCTCTTCATCAGCTTCACTTATATTTGCAAGTGGCTACGTTGCCTACTTCAAATGCGTGAAAGGTCGGTAATCATGATGTAGTAGAGGAGGGACGTTCCGGAGGCCTGGTATCTCTGTGGTCTGTCTTTCTGATACTTCCAATCCCACACGCCAACATCTCATTTCGTCTCTTACTCATATTATTTTATTTTTAAGCAGCATGAGTACCAGGTATAGTATACGCTAGCTTTAAGATTTTACACACTTGATTTAGCCTCGTGATGCTGAAATGGGTGGTAACGATATTGTCCCCAGTGAATCTTCCCATTTCAATTGATGCAAAGGCAACGTAAAATACATCGCCAATGTTTACTTTAAAGTTTCCACTTTGGGAGCCAGGCTTTATAGCCTGTTCATTGTACGTTTAAGGACACCAATTAATGGTTTGATCCCTTCAAGAAATCTACTTCCAAGACTTTCTGAGTGACTTCCACGGCAAATAGTACCAATTTCCACCTACATCCGAAATCGACGCTTCTAATCAAAATCTAAATTTCAAGAGACTTCTTTACCTTCCAAACATAAGAAGATAATAAAGTGGAAGATCAGTTAGAGAAGTTTTAGCATTAAACCCAACGCTAAGATTCATTAATAGAATGTGGTTGGAACGATTTAAGAGTCTTGAAAACACTTAAATGGGGTACATTACCATAGAACTTATGTTAGCTTCAATCAAACCTACAAGAACTAATCCGGAAATTGGGCTCAAAAAGGCAACCTACCTCACACTCCTGCAAATCAGCTTCTCCAAAGCGGAGTTTTAACAGCTCCAGGTGTCTCATCTGAGCGGCAGTGTCAAAGGTAAGTTGTCGCAGAAGACGCTGGCTCAGAAGGTTGCGGTACTCCACCAGGAAGGACTTTTTGCTACCATAAATGCCCACAAGAAGGCTGAGCAGGTCAATACGTCGCTTCCACGGTGGTCCGGTATGGTGAAGAGCCTCCAAGGGGTCGGGCATCCACCGGTCCCAGTCCTCGTTCACTACCAATTTCTCCTCGTTCACCTCTTCACTCGCCACAGCTTCGGCCGAGAAGCACTCGTCAGGATCTAGGGAAAAAGAATACGGGGGTGGAAAAAATGAGTCAAACTTGTCCTGTGCTAGTTTTGACCAATTCAAAATGGTTTGGTGTCCACCAAATGGAAGGGAGTGACTTTGGTAGCCCAAAACTGATGAAGCCACTATTGCATTACCTGCAAAGAATATATATTAGTCCTTGCTAATCACCATTCAATTGTAAACCATGCCAGAGCACTGCCAAGCTTATGGATTCAAGAATGATAAGAGAAGTCGAAGCAGGAATGAGAGTTAAGGCTCATCAATTGGGGAGAACGAGGGGACGGCAAACAACATCTTGCATTTTGTGAAGTTGAATCGAGTGAGACCCCATGAGCAATTAAAAGCGGTTAAATTGAATGATGGTCCTTATCGGAAAGAAATAGAACGAATTTGATGATTTAAAACTGATAAACCGATAAATATCCTCAAGAAAACGACTAGTACAAACCCCAATTTGTATGTGATATAAAAGTTGAGACCAGTAAATGCGTGTAAGTGTTAAGGTCTCTTGACAGAGAGAAGCTGAATCAGCAATACAATGACGGGTCATCGATGTGCAGGCTTGAATTTGGGTGAAGTCACATTAGTCAATAACAGTGCTGAAGTGCCAAAGGTGTTCTTTTTTGACCAAAAGGTAGTGGTTTTGCTCTTGTAGAACTGATCATTCCGTCGTCTTCTTCCTATGCACAAAATATATTTCTCAGAGAGCTATTATCCTCTTAACTTATTAGGGTTCGTATGATAAGGTTTAAGGCAACATCTCCCTCAAATTCTACAGAGTTCATTGAATCAAATTTCGAAGCTAAAACACTTCAAGCAATGGGAAATTAGACTGATCGGTGAAAGAGTTTTCAGGTCTGCGTTTCCTGCAAGTTGGTCAGGCAGGAATGTGATCATTGAAATGAGGGCTGGAGATAACTACACCAGTGAAGGATTGGCAACGTCATTTTACCTTATTATAATTGTAACAGCTCAATCAGATAGGAGGGGTCAGAGAGTACACTAACTCAAATTTTGAGACGAAACCATAGGTGTGAGTGGCATTTAAGGGTTCTCAGATAGGGGAAATGATTCGACGGCCTTTAGGTTTCACAACATCTCCCGCAGTGCTACAGGCAATATAACTATGGTTTGACGAGCATTAATGACAGTGACCAACCCAAAGAAAGGTGAAGCAGACTTACCATGTGCAACGAGATGTGCGTCACAGTCCCTCATCTCATCTGTGGGTTCTACCTCCAGCGGCGTCGGCAACAGCAGTTCACGCTGAAGACCCGTTATTTGATCGGTTGCGGCTGCATCTGCGATATTAGTATCAGCGTCGGTGATGGTGTCGGTAGTGGCGGAGAGCTGGGGTGGGGCGATGAGGCGATCAACAATACAACGTACCGCATCATCTCGTTCACGCAGACACGAAGCCACCGGGCGGCAGACTATGTCTTGCGCCACTGAAGAGGGATCGATCTCACGCAGTCCGCGCACCAAACATCCGTAAGCTAGTAGCACCTCATCGGTGTGCACGCCCGGTTGCAGCAGACGGGAGCTAACCTGGGCACGAAGTGCACAAACTGAATGACTACTTTTTCAAGAAATCCGCTCCCTTGACTCCATCCCCAATTAGGTAGAAAACCAAACTCGTCGAACTCGCACTACGGCATCTCCTCTGCTACAAACGAATAGACATTTGATATCTGTCCTCATCTAGATGGCAAGTGATGCTTGGTAAATTGCTATCGACTCAAGTACTTGTCGTGGCAAGGTCGACAGTATTTGGTAAAGTAAGTTTTACGGTGGGATATATCAAAAAGTGAAGAGAATGAGCTATAATGGAGAATTCAAGAGGCATAAAAGATAATCCCACTGTTTAGACTTTTCGACAGACCCATAGGTATCCTGGGATGTTTCTTGTATTTAAGCGAAAAGCACTGTACGAATACGATTGAAATAACTAACTTATTTCAGCAAGACAGTCAACACACACCTCCTTGCTCAGAGTATCAATGAGATCCTGCAACGCCCGGGTCTCCATAAGATATGCCTTGAGATCCATCACCGCCGGATGCGAGTCAGGATAGTCCATCATAATAGTGAAAAGCTCCGAACGTCGCACACTGTAGAAAGTGGTATACACCAGCTGACTACTCCACGGACAACTCGCACAGGACGAGGTTAAGGAAAAAACACGCGGCAACCAGGTTTCGAACATCACATGCTCCACGTAGTTATCAAGCGGCTCTAAAAAGGACGTGGCGTAACGTCCCTCCACCAGCTCTCTCGTTTTGTGCAGAAAAGCCGATTCAGCGAATGGACCGACGAGATCCTCTAGAAGGAAGCGGAGCGAAAACTCCTCTGTAGCGAAGACACCACGACACTGCTCCTCTAGATCTATTGCAGCAGTAGAGAGTCGAGCTAGGAGACGAGCAGTAACCGATGAGTCCTCAAAACAATTGTACTGTGAGGCCACCTGCTCTGCCGCGTTGAGTTCCAGAAGAAGGTATGCATAGAGGTAGGGTTTGAGGGTGCGATAGACGTCAGGAGTGAAGACGCCACCCACCACGGCGACTTTGAAGTGTGAAAGGTGAGGGGAGGGGGGAAGGTGGTGGGCGATGAGATTGTAGAGAGACTGAGTGTTTACTTGAACGAGATGGAACCACTGAAAGAGACGGATGAAAGCGGGCAAATGGTCAGAGAGCATGCAAACTGCATGTTCGAAAGGATCCATGCTGGCTGCGGTCTGATAGTCGGTCTTGATTTCTCCAAATGCGGGGGTGCAGTTGGAACGAAGGTGATGGAGGGCGCAGTCGACAAAGACCGACGGGTACTCAATGTGTAGACCGGACTGGATGAGCTCATGCAACTCACTAGCCAGCATCCTGCTCTGCAAATTAGAGGTTCCATGTGAGCAAAATGTTTCATCCACGACTACTCGGATGCGTGGATTAAAAGTGGTACTTATTCTTCTTCTACTAGTTTTCCCTCTCAACTTAGGAAAAACATCTGAATATTCACCTTGCATTTCACGATATTACTCTATATTGAAGGAGTTTACATAAACTTTGGGATTCCACATGTCAGGATTCATCAAGGAATCATAAATTCACCTGAATGCCAAAATGCAAATCCTTCAGTTATTCAACATTCCCATTTTAACTGAAAATCCACTAAATAGCAAATCTAAACTGCCTTGTCGAAAGTCGGGATCATGGTGGTGGAGGTACTTAATCGAAAAAGAATCAGACAGCAAATCCTGGTGATTACCACACCTAACATCTTCTGTTACGGAAAGCGACATAACCGGTATTAGTGCAACCACCAAAATATTTCGATTACTGCAAAAAGGTATCAAACCCAAGCTGTGTAAAGCAACATCAAAACCACGATTGTAAACCTCCACGACCACACTCGGCACATTTGGCTATGGGATTCGCCATCGCAATTTCCGCAATTAACACTCATCGAGGACATATTCGATCACTTTAGCAGGAACTCTCTTTCAAACTGTGATCATCTAAAGATTAAAAAACGGGGCGCTTCAAAGAATTTTGTGCTTTAAGATAATAAGATTTATCGACTTGTCAGAACGTGATGTTTGGTCACTGAAAAATAGAGCTCTCACACATGAAGAAAGTGAAGACCGTAGAAACCTTCTAGTTGGCTATGGCTTCAATAAACAAATTAGGCCTTAAATCCTCGGGTAAACACGGACCAAATTTCCATCACCAAACAATGAAGCTAAGTAGAAATTTTCGGTAACCAAAACATGTTATCTGCAGAAAGGGCACAGACCCATCACTGCTGTTATGAAAATCACGCAAATAATAGAAAGCATTTTTGGGATTGACATAGGGGAGCTGTCAAAAATTTTTACTCCATTTTTAACTCCATTCCAAGACAAACTTGATCACATCTCTTTGCAACGTAGCCTTCCCGACGTCATCTAACACTGGACGCGTGGACCTCGATCTACCACCATGTTTGCACCCCGTAATCCAATTACATTGTCTTTGACCACCTCAAAAGTGCTAGAAAAAACGGATCAAAATCCAAGCTGTAAACCGAATGCTTAACTCTGTTTTGAAGAGAAGTCTAGCCAACATTGCATACACCAAACATGAACATGGAAGCCAAAACTACCATCTATTCATCAGCGATCCTGAAGTCATCCCCAAACAACGAAAGCTGTATTCCACATTATGAATAAGGCAAGTCAGCAATGGAAACTTCCTGGTAATAGAAGCACCGGCTTATGAACAGAAGTGTTTTTCAGGGCCCGCTAAAACGGAGTAACTAGTGTCCGGTTTCATCAAACAAAGCCTGACAAGTTAATCAATCAAACGACGCAAGTAACTCCCCAAAAGGGGAAACAGCCTGCCGATATTTTACAAAAACATGATTCAGCTCAAGATGAAAACCTTGATTCTGTTCATTCCCCATCAGCTATTTCCAAGCCAAAAGGGTAGGAAAGGAAGAGAAAATAAATACTTTAGTCATTCTCGGTACTCAGCCTTGTCTCATCATTACGATCCGAAAGGCAAAAACAGAGTGAGTCCAGTTGGACTAGTTAACTATACGTCCCGCGACTTACCTTTACTGAATGAACTACGTCACCCAAATGATGGAGACCTTCTCACAAAATGATCAAAAAACCAACAGAAAAGAATCGCCACAGCAGTCAAATCAGAAGGAGGACCTTGGTTCTTCAATTCATGGTCATTAGCTTACTATTGGTAAGCCCAAAGAGTGTACAAAAGAAAAATACAAATGAGGCGGGAGGTAAATGCTTTAGTCGTTGTCGGCACCCAGCTTGATCTCACCACTGCGAAACCGTCGAAGCAGGTCGACTGCGGATGCACCCGTCTCCAGATGAAGGCGGTAGAGGTGGCGGAGGGCGCGAAAAGCTGCCAGATCGGCGTAGGGTGTACGGGTGAGGGGGTCGAGGTAGCGCGCTACTCGGCCCGTCAGAGGACAGTGGTGCATCTGTCTCTTTCGCGACGGAGATGAAGTGGAATCTGTCCGCTTGCCCGATGTTGTGGTGGCAGCGTAGGAGGGAAAGGCGGCTGCGAATGAGGCTTCATCAGCAAAGGAGACGAGAGTGCGGGCGCAGCGCGCGTTGCGCTCCACCAGCATCCGACGCATCTCCACCTCCCTGCAACAAGAGAACGTAGCGCCGTTGATTCTGTCAGAGACTCTTAAAAACATCCACATTTCCTTTAGAATAAATGAAGATGGGAAAACCACTTATAACTCCCCATATCTTAAAACACTTTGTTAGTTTAAGGCGCACCAGTTGCCCCTGCAGCTTAGCATAAGTTATCACAATGGGATAAAAGTGGCTGCGGAATCGGATCGGCATCCTATCATAATTTTCAGCAAGAGAGTGGTACACAAACTCCAAATCTTTGTTCCAAATTTTCAACGTTTGGTAAGAAAAAATAAATAGGGAATAATACACTTCTTTTTATCGTTGGGAATTGAAGTTTTAGAAAATTCACTACTCCTATGGCGCCCAAACTAAAGCGATTGAAGTACAACAAAGTTTTCCACATTCTCAAGCAATATCTTTTTCTATTTCATTCGCGTTTTACGGCAAAACTTTTGCTCGGTTCCAATATCTTTCCAAGTTCGCAACCTGGACATCAAAAGTGAAGAGCTCAATACGTTTCCATCTGAAATGACTCAATAAGACCGAAATCGGCAACTGAGTTCGTCAATTTAAAGTGTAGACTTAAATTCCAATATTTCACCAAAACATGCGCGAGTGTTTTGACAAACTGTTTGAAGAAAAGCAGCGCTAATCTGTTCCAGTATGGATATTTGGCTACGGTGAAACTTTAAGGAATTGAGCAACCGTTTGAGAGCGTGAACTACTGAATGCTTAGAAAACTGGCTTGACTACAGCCAAGGAAACGAGGTAACAAGAGAGGTGAGATGGCGACATTTCACAATATAAACGGTCACATCGCACCAAGTTCTTCCACTACTCTGCTAGCTACAACTCTAACCACTTCCAAAACAACTAAATCCTCTATGTATTCAGTTTCGCAAGTAAAGAGGTCGAAAAGAGAAAGTGGAAAGGAACTAACTTGTCTGGATTAACAGAGACATCATAGACTTCCGGCTGGTCGGCCAGACAGGGAACAGTGAAGCTGTGAGTACGGATCATAGGCTGCTGAGAGACAGTCTTTTGGACACGGATCTTCTTTCGCTCCACCTCCATACGCTGATAACGGGCTATGAAATGAGGGAAGGGACTGTAATAAATTCGAGAAATGAGAAGGTTTTAATCCAACATTCGAAATGCGGACATTTAAAGTTTTTCGAATAACCTTACAAGATAAGCTGAACAGGATACTACAGAAAGATGTTAATTTGCAATAGAATGAAGAAGCGGTACTTAAGGCAATTAAGTAATCGACCATAAAATATACTTCAGAAAGCGCTTGAACAGGCGGCCCCCGTTGAGCCAATCCCGAAGGCAAATGAATGGACTTGTCCCAAAACCAGGCGTTCGAGACTATTCAAAGATTAGACGGCAGCATGGTAAATACCCAGGCAATGTGTGAACAGGAGTTTTTGTAAGGGGTCAGGTGTGTCACAAAGAAAGTGCCCTCCGAAAAGAAAATAAGTAGGACCAAGAGCAATGCACTTAATTTCCCTTTTTGACTCATAAAGAACATCTAGATGGATAAATACAATTGCAGAAGTAACTGACAACCCACCTTCACAAATAATTGCTATAAAATGTTAGCAATATGAGCTAGACGAAAATTTGGTACGAGGACCTAGGGCCATAATTCCAAACGGTTTTATTATGCATACGCATCATAACGTGGTAATATATTTGATACAACCAACCGAATTTCTGTAAGAATTGAATCAAATGACGCTCCTACCTACTGCTCGACTAAGACGGCTTTTAACATAGTCTAAAGGTTATTTTAGGGAACACTCTTACGACAAATTTTCCTCAAACCAATGATCATCACTTTCATTAAAGACAACCGAGGATTATCAATCGACAAACATAATGGAATCTTTCTTACATTCCACAGAATAATAACTTTTACAGAAACGCATCGCGTCTAGGTATGATGGATACTCGGAATACTAGACAACGATCCACCAGAAACTCTATTCTAGTAGCTTCTGTAAGAAAGTGGCTCCATTGAAGGGTGCAGAAGGAATGATCTGGAGAGGAAGTGGATCATTTACCAAGGGAACGTTTGTTGATCTCCTCAGTGATTTTGGCCTCCGCAAGGAGCTCCTCTTGGGTGAGACGGCGCACCTCCGGGAGGTTCTTACGCTGTGCAATCTCCGCCATCAAAGCCTTTCGCTTCACTGCTGTCACTTCCGCGTTCACACTCGATGCCTCCCGTCGCTGTGCCGCCGTCTCCGTAGCTCGCACTGTGCTCGCCCGCAGCTTACGGCTTTCTATAAGTACGAAAGGGGAACATATTACACAGACAAAAAATTAGCACTGATACAAATGTAATAATATGGTGCAGTGGAGGAACTACCGTGTTATCATCACATGAATCCATTAAACAAGATGCATATTTACTCTTCCTGACTGCAATGACACAAATCTAAGATGAGGGAATACTGCGACTCGCTTTACACCAGCGGCAACATAATTAGATGAAATGATGGCTAAACCACAGCAGCTACTCCAATATTAGTAGCATTTAGAGCAAAAGAAAGTCTGTAATTAAGCCGAACAAGAAACATGGAATTATTTCAAAAAATGACAGGACTGCTAGAAATTTCCGTGGCGTTTGGAAAACTATGATTTGATATAAACAACAGTTGAGACTACATTTAACAAGACTAGTCTCTACTTAGTCCTCTCGAACAACAAATAGGGAAATGATTTCAAAAGAAAAAAATTAGTACTGGAAAACTGCATGCTTATGAAGTTATCCTTAATAGTTCTGTAAACACAGCACGCTGGTCACGCTAAGCAGTTGTATAGACCAAATACAAGTTGAATAAGTAAAACCGTAGCGCGTTCTTACGTTAGTTGCGGAAGGTTAGCTGACTGGTAGTCACTAAGCGTAGACACAATTTCATCAATAGCATTAAAGTACGAAAAATATCCTCCAATTAGGATTAAAAATATGAACAAAAATCCCAATGAATCAACCACCATGTCATGAACAAAACTACAAAGCAAGTAGTTCAGATGGTTACTAGCTTCGAAGAAATGGCAACACGGATTATAGGCAAACCAATTTTCAGTTATGATGGGCTAAGTACTCACCTGCTATGGTCTCAGTCAAAGTTTCTTCGGCTGGTACAGCCGTTTTGATCCGTGATTTTGACTCGGGCGTAATTTTCTCGTTCACCTCCTTCTTGGTCTTGGGCTCCTGCCAAAAAACAGTACAAATTTAGCCGCATAAGCACTCACTTTATAACTTTTCGTAACGACTCTCCGTGTGCGTCGCTTTCTCTTCTCATCATCCATAGCCTCACCGCCACTGCCCTCGTCCTCATCATCCTCTTCTTCACTGTCAGCAAAGTCCGTGTCAATGGAGTCGTGGCCCGAGCTCTCTGATTCGTAGTCGTTATCATTTTCCTCCTGTTAGGAGAGGGATTAAAAACAAGCAAAATCCACAAACCTCCGCAAAACCACCATAGGCATTTGTGTAGAAATCATCTTCCTCCTCCTCATTTAACAGTCGAGCCATTCGAGAACCGGCGTTGGGACGACGGCTCCTCGTCATTGTCACCGAATTCAACATAATTAGTACTTCTGTAGAAAAATAAGGGACTTCACACAACAGGCTCCAGAGGTTCAGCATTTCAAAAGAAAACAGGTAGAAAGCAGATTTAGACCAGCTACTTTATTTACAGTTAGACCGAGGGGAGGTTAGGCTAAACGAAAATGGAGGGTATAATCCTAGGCTTCAAGGTTGGAGCAGGTCATCTACTTGCAGGAACGACGAGTACGTTTGTCCCATGAGAAATTGGCTGCATAGCTCTTCGGTTTCACGGTGGTCTTCTTTGGATTCTCAATAAAGTAATTCCAGCACTGACTTTTGCAGTAGGCTATAGCAGATTCAACGTCATGAAAATCCATAGAAAAGTTGGAAAGAGGATCGCCAGTGCTAGCCCAGCCCATCAGAGGGTTCTCCCAGCGTCCCAGATTGTCCACCTCAATACGCCACTTGTTACAACCAAAAGTACCAGATTGCGTGGCCGATTTGCTTGGCATATAGATGCGAACAGTCCGGGTTTCCAGTTGGTCAAGGGGTATGTGCCCCAGAGGCGTAATGTCAGTCTCTTTTGGAACAACTACAGTGTCTGTCATTGAGAAATCAGGTGACTTTTTCATGATTGCTTGGGCCTAAACAGAATAAAACTAAATCAATCAAAGGCGTATAACATGGAATAACAAAATGTAAATCTGTATATTCCGTATATGAGCGCCTAAGTGATGTACAACAGAAACCAAATAAGTCTCAATAATAAAGAGCATCACTAAGAAATAGCTGGCAAAATCAAATACTTACCAAAAGAAAAAATGACTAAATGACAATACTTGAAACAAACCTCGTATGTTGAGTCGTAAAGCCTAGTTCTAAACTGGGGGTCGGATTCATCGAGTATGGCACCACGAAGTTCCAGAGTCATTTTAGCAGGCGGCGTCTTCGTAACGATAAATCTGACAGGGGACGTAATCATCTGTTGGAGCGAAAAGTTTAGACAACGAAAGAGCGCCATCCTTCGGGAATACACAGATTAACAGCAATAAGGACAATCGAATGACCCACATTAACATATGATTAGTTAAAACAAAATTTCATTATCCGTGAATTTACCTAGACCTACTAATTAACATTACAAATAATAAGAATTTAAAAACATACCTTATAAACTTAACTAAATAGCAAATAAACTTTAAAAGATATTGCATGTAAAATGTTTGCTAATGAGAAACATTCTGCTTGAGATTTAGGAAATTTGTTTAAAATTCTCGGGTTTTGGAAATTAACGCCTACTTTTTAATTACCTAGTCAGTGAATTACTTATAAAATGCCTGCTTCTTCTGGATGTTTCTGTCACCTATTTCTGTTGAAATGATCGTCAACATTGCATAAAACACTTTCTCTGATGCATTTGTGGCACCTAGAACTTTTCTGATGTGGCGTCCCGGGACTCCCTGAAGACGAAAGAAGACACAACACTCAGGCAGAATATGTGTATTCAGCACGGAGAAGGTGTCTGGGCTATTGGCATGGCCCAAAAGGCCAGCCCACCCAGCGAGGTAC